CCTCTTCATCCAGTCCAAAACTATGTTATCTTCTCCTCATTTATGTATTTTTATTGCATAATAACAAAAAAATTGAGAGAGAATTTCAATATTGACAGTGGAGCAAAGAGCTGGACAACGTTAAAACTAAACAAACAGAACTACATCACCAAATAAAAAGGAAACTATATTAATACTAAGAAACGCAACAAAGCTCAGTATCCCATAAAATTACGGAAAGGTCTCATCTTATAGGTGAGTTTTCAATTACGGAACTCATATTTTTTTATAATAGACACTGGCGCAAAGAGCTGGACAACGTGATTAAAACTAAACAAACAGAACTACATCAATGAAACTGTAGAAGAGACTTGTCACCAGATAAAAAGGAAACTATTTTAATACTGGGACATGCAACAAATCTCAGTGCCCCATCAAATTACGAAAAGGTTTCATTTTGTAGCTGCGTTGTCCATTGGCATCAGTGACCAAGTAGAACATCACTTCATCGCCGGCTCGAAGCTTCTTCCTCCTCACGAAGTTGATCCAGTCGCCTTGAAAAACAGGTTGTTTCCCGTTTTCTTGCAGGTAATACCGAAGATTCCACAGAACTCCAGTCTCTTCCATATCCTCAACGATTAAATCTTGGAAGCGATTGTTGCCCACAAAAGGAGGGAGATAGTTAAGTTTATCGATGGGGATGCACAGCCTTTTAGCAATAGCTGTTTTAGGTAATGGCTTTGAGAAAATTAATTCATCCATTATCATGAACTTCAAGAAGGAAAACGAGAGAGTAATATGGAATATCGAATACCAGAAAAGAAGCAAAGGAAGATGTTAGTGGGTGAGTGATGAAGTTGTGTTTGTGTTTCTTTTATAGGGACGGACGGAATTGACAGGTCGAATTTTATTAATTCATTTTGATTCAATTCTATCCATGTCTTTTTTGTTTCCTTCGAAAGACGCAAGACACAAAAAGACGGCATTACAAAATGCTTTGATGCTGACACCAACCAAACATATGTATGAAATACTGAGTTGGTCAGATGACACACATGAATGAGAGAATAAAAATGAAAGAAATGAAGAACAGTGTTTAGAGTGATTCGGATGCTTAAGAAAGCAAACCTTACGTCCACTAATTTTGTATTAATAATAGCGATCAAATTGCGTTCAACGAGCTGATTTACAAATGATTACAAGTAAGAGAGAAAACGTATACTATTTTTTAGAGAGATTAGCTAATCCTTAAAATGAGAGAGGAGCTCTCAATTTATAGCGGGATGGGTTCAGGTAATGATTACTAAATATGTGATTTGGTGGGATTATCAGTGTAAATCCTTCTTTATGTCCCATTGTCTGCATTCTAGAGCGATTTACGGGATTTGGTACAGGGATTGGACACATGGAACCTCACTAGCTCCTGGCTAGTCTGGCGCGCACCCACTGTACTGACAGAAGCATGCTGCTTATGTCACCATGTGACGTGGCTACATCTGAATGGTTACGGGTCTACCTAAACTCTGACTTTTTATACTGACTGAGCTTTGCGTCAGCCCTACCTTTTTCAGGAATAACACAAAATGAATCAAATATTTGGAATTTTTTACGTTGCGCTTGTATGTTGTGCCTTCTATTAATACTTTAGTCAAATACCCAAACATCTTTATCATAGCCTTATAAAGACACTGTCACTCTATTTTCATTTTATGGGAAGTTTTAATTTCATTTGAGTAACACTAGCATTACAAAGAGGCATACAAAGAGCTATACAAAAAGACAATCTTCATCCTTAAAATTCATGATTATCTCTTTCTCTCTCTCTTTTTCCATTCTTTTAAGGGCAGAAATTATCTCTTTGTATGACTTTTTGTATGCCTCTTTACAAGGTTAGTGTTACTCATTTCATTTTATGGGAAGTTCTAGACCTTAGTTTATGTTGATATTTAAAAACGAATAATACTATACCAATTAGGGATGGGCAGGGCTCCGGCCCCGGCCCAAAAGCCCAAAAGCCCAAAATGTATTTAAAATGGTTAGAATTCATACCAAAATGTTTATTCTTCTTTGTCGTTGTCAAACACTTATTGCTTAACCAGTTGGACATAGAAATTCTAATTTCTTGATTTATTATTATATATGTATTCAGTGAAGCTTGTTGTGAAGATCTTGACGCTAGTTGTGGCTTCATTGGTCAGTGTTTTTCTCTGCCAATTGTTATTTTGTATATGTGAATATGCATCTGCTGTGTCATGATGCCTGTGCTGCTGTAATAATGAATCTTTGTTAACGATCTGATCAAATTCATAAAAAAGAAGACTACGTGGACATAAAATCAAACATTTGGACGGTTGGACCCTCTATGGGCCTGATTGGTTTGTCCCGAATAAATTTCTCAAGTCACCATATGGAACAGTTACGTGCGTGAGCCAATAATTTAATTTACAAAATTAAAGGAATGGTGGTATCTTTCAGCTTACCACAGAAATTACCTTGTATTTGGATATTTTTACGTAATTGACCATCTTGCCATACCTTCGTTTTTACGTGCAAGATAATGGGAGACAGCCTGTTTTGGCAGGCCAGTGGAAAGATTTTGTCAAGAGGAAGCAGCTTCAAGTTGGAGATGGAGTTCTTTTCTACATGAACATTGATGCCAATGGACAAGTCACCTTCAAGATGAGACCTATCCGTAATTTTACGGGGCCTGAGCTTTGTTGCATTTCTTAGTATTAATAGAGTTTCCCTTTTATTTGATTGTGAGGGCTTTTTTTCGTTTTAATGTTGTCTACATCTTTGCACCACAGTGTATCATTTAGTTAGGGTTTTGACAGAGGGTGCTAATGGAGTTTGCTATATTAATTGTACTTGTTCTTATGCAATAAAATTCTCGCTCAATGTTCTCAATGTGTTTGTTGTGGGAGCAGTTACGTACGTGAGTCAATTCATTGCTTACATCAAATTATCAAAAGATTTTTGTTTTAAGAAAATAATTTAATTTCCAAAATTAAAGGAATCGTGGTTTATAATTTGTGCAATGAGGCTTATTTACATGCAAAATTATATCATTATGGAAGAAAAAAAAAAAAAAACTAATTGTGATATGCTTTCTGATAAGAGTACAAATAAAAAGGTTGGGAATTAATTAAAAATTAATTGTAATGATAATTTGATATTAACTTTAATTGACATTTGGAATGTGCAATTCAAACATTATATTCTCCGATGGAGACATAAAGTATTAGTGAATCTCTCCCCACGCATGCCTAGGTGATCAGTTTATTATAATAAGAATACAAAGGTCAAAGTAGTTTATTATCATAAGAATAATAATAATAATGATAAATAAAAATATTAGATACTACTTTTATTGTATCATCAGTTTTTCTCTCTCTAATAATTAGACTGACCAAATATTTGGATATTTTTACGTAATTGACCATCTTGCCATACCTTGTGGTCAAATACCAAAACATCTTTATCCTAAACCTTATAAGGAAGCAGCTCTTTTTTGTCATTTTAGGAAAGTTCAAGACCCCCTCAGCTTATATTGATATTTAAAACCTCTCTACTTTCGGAAATTACACTTAACCCCCTACAGATTAGGGGTGTTCAAAAGAACCGGTTGGAACCAGAACCGACGGATACCGTGGGTTTAGTTCCAGTTCCTACCCAGAACTAATCGTCAATGGGTAGATTCCGATTCCAAATTTTTGGAACCGTTACTGTACGGTTTCGATTTCGGTTCTTATAGTTAGGAACCATAACCAGAACCAGGAACCGAGACTAATAAAAATAAAATTAAATATTAGGGGGGTTAATAAAAACTTTTGTAGAAAAAATAATGTGAATATATTTATATTTATATTTCATAACATTTAAAGTAAGTTGGTTTGACTTTTGAGAATCTACCTTTACAAAGTAATGGAGTTTGTAATTTTGAGTTTATAATTTACAATTTTATTTTTGTTAACAAGTGCCAGGTGGGGGGGTATTTGTAAGATTTTAAAGGTTTTTTTGCCATTTTAAAAACTTTTGAGGGGTCATGAATTTTATAAGGTACCCAGAACCAAAACCGGAACCGTTGTTACAGGTTCTAGTTCTGGGTACCTAGGAACTGGAATCGTCTGTTCTGGTTCTGGTTCCAAATTTCAAGGAACCGTCGGTTTCGGTTTCGATTCCGGTTCTTTCAAAAAGTGCAAAGTACCCGGAACTGAACACCCCTACTACGGATCTGTCACCTAACACTCTAAAATCAATTAATTTCCCTATTTCTATTTTCTTTTCTGATTTCAATAAAAATAAAATATAATGAGAAATTATTAAATAACCCTATTTCCGTGTGCGAATTGAAAAATAGTTTATCAATCTAGGGTTAGGCCAAAGGGTTATGTTGAGTTGAATTTGACTCCTGATAAAGTATGGGACAATGCTAAGAAAAAGTGAATAGTTTGTTTGTATACGGGTCACCACTATAGATATATGAGCTTAATTTCTCTTTATGGCCTTAATTTAAAGAGCGAGCTGGCACACCTCCATGGACATACAACATAGCTTCTTCTTGTCCTGTTGTTGCACTTTACTTTCAGCAACCGTACGGGATGATGAAGCCGACATAGCTCTGAGATTAAAACACCCTCCTCTTCTGCCTAATCACCAAATATTCCACTAACCCATTGAACCCCTCATAAGAAAAACCATACTAGTCACCATTAAAATCAAGCAAAAATACCTGAAACCGACGCCTTTTTAGGAGTCTTCCCATGGGCACACTCATAAACAAAGATGGTTGTTTCCCATTTTTTAAAATTTGTAGACTTCGAAAGCCCAAGGGATTCAGAGGTTAGCGTATTTTACACTTTTTACAATGTCCCAGTCTTTATGTATACATGACGTAATATATCAGTGCATGTTTATAAAATGGAAGTGGTTTAAGACTTGTTTTTGTAGATGGAGATACGTGAGTCTATAATTGAATCATTTGTTGCTTATTCATTCTTTCAGGTTTGCAGCTCTTAAAAATGGGATGTCTATCTTCAAAATTGGTGACAAGATCACTGAGTTTGAGGGAAGAGCTGAACCAGAGTTTTCAGAGGACAGCAAATGGCATCTCTAGTAGTGGCGGCGACGGTGATCACTTCCATGCTCTAGTTTGCCCTGCCAGTCTACCACCCAATCAACTCCTATTTGACTGTTTCTCTTCAGAACCAAATACATCCCACAAACCAGATGTTTTTGAGCTCATAAGATATGAATCCACCAAAAAAGGGAAATTGACAACTAATGCTGACAAAGAAGAGGAAGAACAAGTGGAACATGCAGCTTCATTGCTTCCTGAAGCTAAAGAATCCACTGGTGCTGCTGTTCTAGCAAGACAGTCCAAGAGTTGTCATTGGTCTGAAGATGAGCACGAGATGTTCTCTCTTGTTACAGTAAGATACGATGGGAACAATAAGGGTATTACACGTGCTAGGAGTACGTGCTTCCATACAGTAGAGGAATATGACGCACTGGTTGAAAAACTCCGCTCATCCAGGGCAATGGCAGATGCAGAGCAAATCAGGTTTAGTAGCATGGAAGAGAGTTCTTGGCAACTTCACCATTTTAAGCAATCACAGTCAGAGGATGAAGCTCAAGTAGAAGAAAAGGGTGTCCTATTTAGCTCAGGAACAGAAACCACAGTGGCTGGGACAAAAGAGGAACCACATGTTGAAAATGCTGAAACAAGCATCTTTAAGGGGACAAAGAGAAAGGTGATTGCAAATGGGCTAGAGTCGCTAGAAATCCCAACCACCCTTGAATTTCCAAGAGTTGCAAGCCTTAGGGAATGGGTACATGTTGGAGGACAAGTTTATTCTCCAGGAGCTTGTGTTACTCCAAAATTTGGTAGCTATGCTTTATCAATATCGGAACCAGAAAACAAATGCATTCAGGGCACTATCTTTGATCCAGAATTGGTGGCCGCCTTTGATGAATGCATGGAACAGCTTGAAGAGGAAGAGGAAACAATTCTCAAACAAATTGAAGATAGTTTCGGCAAGGACAAGCAAGAGGAAGAGGAAATTCAATTCCACACAAAAGAACAGTGCATGGATTTGGCTCCACACCAAAATGCAAATTAACACCTCGCTTAATTAAGCATTTCATTTATTAAATTCATTACCATGTTAGTGCATTTAAGTTTTTAATGATTCATGATTCTCCAGTATCGCAAACTAAAAAAGGCAAAAGACTCGATACCAATGTGCCTCTTCAGCACTATATTTAAGGCAAATCTGCCTTCCCACTTCGAAATCAAATGGAAAAAGCATTAACTCGATTATTCTACAATCCTGTTGAGATTAATTTGATCTACATGGTAACACAGAACCAGAACAAAATACATGAAAAACTCCAATATACGCATGGTAACAACTAACAAGAAGCAAAATAAATTTGCAAATCTAGTTTTACTCGTGGTATTATGCACGGTTAACTTGAGTTTTGCTACATAGATACACTTCAAAGCCTTTTTACATTCTCCATTATTTTACACACCTTTTTGAACTGCTCAAACCCTCCTTCCCACCCACTACAACCCTAATCATTTTTCTTTTTTTTTTTTTTGTTAACCTAAATGTGTGGCAGCATTATTTGAAACCAAGTTCAATAACATGACATTACAACAAAGAAACAAGAAATACGTAACCTTTTTCAAGTATATGAAATGTCAGACTCATCATCCTCTCACATTCCATGAAAAATGTATATAAACTGCAGGTATAAACTCACCAGAAGGTATACAGGTATAAATTCACATAAGGGTGTCAAGATATGTATAATTCCTGCATCGGTTGTACTGAAAGAGGCTACCATAGGTGCGATCCCACACTCCAATGAAGAGGGATTCTGTGTCAGGGCTAAAAGAGACACCAGAGATCTCACCAAAAAAATCGATCTCCTGCTCTTTCTCAAACCCGTTCTTTGCATCATAGACATGCACGAAGTCGGCTGGCTCTGCTGTCGCCATGAACTGCCCATCAGACGAGAAACGAATTGATCTAATAGCTCCCAGATTCCCCTTGAGCACAGCCACAGACTTTGATAAATTCCTCACATCCCACACTCGACAAGTCTTGTCTTGGTTCCCTGTGGCAAAGATGTGGCCACCAGGATGCCATGCAGATGCAAATGAAAAGTCCAAGTGTCCACATAAAGGCATGACAGTCTACAATGAAAGACTTCAAATTAGCTAAAAGCTTTCTCACAAGTGTATACACGTGGTTGCATACACCCGAGATGCAGCCACAATAGTTTCTGCCAAACAGAAAATAAGAAGTACTACCTTTCCTGTTTGAGAATCCACCAGTAACCCATCTGGGTTGTCACCAACAATGACAAGAAGCTTGCCATCAGGACTCAAAGAAGTGTGCTGTCAACAGAAATCATTAAATGAATATATCAGTTACATTCATCAAGAACAACTAACATATCACTACATGAAAGTGCAGTTATGGTTTATCAATTCAACAGGATAAGCACATGTGTGAAAAGTTAGGTAGGTGAATCTACGTTGCTTATTGTTTACTACTTGTCATGTAGGCAACATCTTTTTTGATACAAGTTCAGGTAACATCAGAAATCTGTTTATGTACGAAAATAGTCAATTGAAAGCCTCTGGATGCTCCTTGCTGAGCCATTAAACACAAACCTAACAGGTAAAAGCCAGACCTATGTGATTAAGTTCCAGATAGCTAAAGAAAACTTACACAAGATTAACAGGTCTGCACGAACATATGTCTCTCACTCTTTAAACATAAAAACAGATGGATATGTATAGTACACATACAATTAAAAAAAAAAAAAAAAATTATGCAGTATCACCCAAGTAAAAAATATCTACTGGAAGCTGCAAAATTCCAACAGGAATACTTACATTCACAGGCCAAGTAAAGCAGAAATGCTTTGAAAGTTGAAATCTCTCCATATCAAAGTCCCTAACTCCACAGTCATTATTTGATGCCATGAAATGAACTGCACCACTGGCAGATGAATGATTTTAAGTCAGAATCCATTATCCCACTTACGAATCTGACCTTACTCCTAAGTCCAACCAATTAATAAAAGGAAAACAACAATAATAGATAACCTGGGACAATCATAAATCTCAACAGCGTTTGTGATTGCATTATCGTCATATGTTGTCCTGGAACAAAAGCAAACTCCTGGTCGATCTAAGTACTGCATCCCAATGGGGAAAACAATTTATCATACATCATATTCAAAATCAGAATAGACCAAACCATAACCAGAGTAGCAAGTACAAGCCCAAAAATAATGACTGCAGGACTTAGCTAAATGAAATTACTTTTTTCAAATTCAAGACTTTAATATTTCTACAGGCCTTCTGCTCAATAGCAGGTTTTTTTTTTTTTTTTTTCATGCATTTATTTTTTGCAAAAAAAAGGAAAAGCAAGCTAAACAAAAATGATAGGACAAAATTAACATACAATGAACAAACAAGATGATGAAATGTCATGTAAGACGAATGAAAGGAAAATAAGTATAAGTGAATGAACTAGACCAAACTAAAATGTAAAACTAAATGGAGATGTTCATCCATGAAGAGAAATAAGTGAAACTAGTGTCGGTTTGCTTCCATTTTTGCTTCAGGTATTTTTTACTAGTGATGATGACAACCACAGCAAAGAATATTTGTCAAGAAAGTACCCAAAAATATCAAAGTACCTTACAAATAAGCTCTCCTTGAAATCCTCCAGCAATCAACAAATTATCTCTTACTGAAAGTGTACTAACTTGAGTCTGTGTAAATCCTTCCAACAAGCTCCCAGGATGTTTCTATCATATAAAACAAACTTCAGTCAAAAATAAATTCCAACAGCACAATAACCATATAAGTAATATCATGAAATATTATGAGAAAGACTCACCTCGCGTGGCGCCACATGCCCTGACACATCAAGAACTTCAGTTCTCTTGCAATTTAAGGAAGACCAATGAACAATAGAGAAATGTGACATGAGGTAGACATCATGCTTTGATGTTGCCCAAACCAAATTCCGCAACTGCAAAGCCAAAAATGAATGAATTTTCCCCTAAAGGTGAAATATTTGCAAAAATTGGCTACAAGAGCCTAAATTCTACTCAAAGATCAGTTGTTGTCCCAACATTGTGACTTCAATTATTGTATCGAAAAGGGGTTCAAGGTGTGAATATTTAGTGGATCCTACAGATAGAGAGATAATCCAAATTCATATGAAGCAAAAAAGATATCAGCATACTTGGAAATGAAGGATTGTTGATTTCACAGATCTTGTGTTTCGCCAGAACTCATAATAAATGCCTCCTTTTTTTGTAGGCTTGCATTCCTGAAGAAAAGTAGAAAAATAAAACTAAAGGTTGTCAAAAGAATGTAATTTGACCTTAGGGTTCATTTTTTAATAAGAAACTAAGGGAAAATACATGTTACCTTCTCTGAACCTTCTCCTGATTGAGGTATGTTTTCATAATTCTTGTACTGCTCTAGTCTAGTTTGCCTATACTTCTCACGAGAAATGCTCAACCTCTCCCAGGGAATTCCCTGGATATCCTTTCCCCTCCTAGCATCAGCAGCAGTCGTATCTGTTATCTTATTATCCTGCAAAAACAAGACACCTGATAAGAAAGCAAAAAAATAAAAATAAAAGTGGTAAAAGAGAACTTTTTTAGTGAAACTTCCAAAATCAGTAAACTCCTTTACATGAAAGGCCAGAGCAACGACCTAAATAACTAAACCTAGGAGGGAAGTATTCTGAATCAATGCAAAGACCATAAAGCCTAAATTTTTTACAGGTATGAAGTTCACAAACCAAATGATCATAATCATCATCATCAGACTCCGAATCACCCATAAATCTAGCCTGGAAATACATATCATCATCTACTTCAGCCATTTCATAATCATCCGCCACATAATAGATCTCGTCATCATCCCCTTGGTACTGGGACATGTTCTGCAAGTAGCTTCACACCTGAGCCAACAAAAAATCATAATATTACAAATAGGAAAAAAAAAATAATAATAATAATTTCACCCACAACAAAGTTAAAAATAAATAATAAGAAAACAGCGGCTTATAATGCAATGTCCACAACCAATGAAGACTTGGAACACAACCAACAAACGTTAAAATCTCCGTACAAATATTAACGACGACAATTCCGCCTTAATTCCAACAGAAACAAACTTGATTCTCCTAAACGGTGTCGTTTCGTTAAATTAAAGTGAGACAGAGCGAAAGAATGGAGGAAGGAAACAAAAAGAGAAATATTGACCTGGTCTGAAGAATGGAGGAGCGAAAGATAGAGCAGCTGGTGAATGGGAGATTAGATCTTTTGATCCACCTCAAATCGATAGAGCTTGGTGCTGCTGCTGCTGCTGCTGCTTTGACGTTAATGTTTGTTTTGGATATTATCCCTACCAGAGATCATCATCATCATCATCATCATCATCCGAGAGTCGAATCGAAAGTTTCAGTTTTACGTTTATAACCCCGATTGTTCGTGGGAGGAGTGTGGAACTGGAGACGCAGCCTGACGTTTTCTATATGGGCTAGGCCTGTCATATCATCCATGTGGGCTTCATCTGGCCCATTAGTAATTTCTGGTTTTTATTTATTCATAATTTCTCCTAGAAGGTTTTGCAAAACTACACTTATACCCTCTCAAGGTTTAAGAGGAAAAATACCAAGGGTAAGAACATCATTTTATTTTTGTATGTTGTTGCCCTCATCGGTGTCGTGTGTGTATGTTGTCGCCAATTCTATCTATCTCGTCAAAATATGAGCAAATATCTTTGTATATAATCATCTATCAAGATAATTGTTACGAGCCGATACGTAATCTCTATCATCAAAAATACTAATTTCTTCGGTAATGAATGTTTTAATATATAAAATATTTTATAACTTGTTCTCTATGACTTCATAATCATCTACCTGATATTGTTAATTAAAAGAGGACAAAGTGGTAATTATAATTACGTGTATCATCGACATTTGAATATAGGATATGTGTAGTAGCATAAAATATGTTGAAGTTTATAGATCATCGTTACATCGAAGCTCCGGCAGTTTTTACTTTTAAGGGAGGTTTTTGTTGATTTTCCAAATAATCGGGTATAATTGAAATTCTCAAAACATGAAGGTGGTTACTAAATTATTTTTTAACCAAACCAAGTGAAGCTGAAACAGCAGCTAAAACTGAAACAAGAGTTGAGCAATATGGCTATGGCTATCGCTATGGCTATGGCCACAACCTCCAAAATATCAAATCCTTTGATGTATAATTGGTCAGCGCCTCCCATTAACGAGAAAAAACCCTCTCTCAGAATGAATCGGAGTTTCCGTTTGCGAACTCGATCTTTGTCAATAGAGACTGAAGTCGCAGACACTGTTGAATCCCAGTCACTCGTTCGTCGCCTCATTCTTCTTCGGCACGCTAAGAGTTCCTGGGAAAACCCCTCACTTCGAGGTATTCGTTTAACCAATTTCGTTTTGACTCACTTGCTTCATTACTTGCATCCACATCTCAAACGTTTGCATGTTTTACTTTTAAATTTAAATAATTCAAAATGCCATAACTCTTTAATTAGAAATGTGATATAGGCTCCACCTCGCTCAACAATTTCATTACTTGTATTAAAGAAAAAAAAACGAAGGAACTGTTATCCAGAATTTTATCCGCATGCTTGGCGTTACTTTCAGAAATTTTATTTCATAAGGGTGGTTTGTGATAAAAAAATTAATTTTTTTTTTTCTGTATATTTGACTAAGCGTCAGGGATTGTTTATGAAATTCTCGTTATATTTTATTGTAATTACTTTTTCTTTTTGGGTAGATCATGATCGCCCTTTGAGTAAAGCTGGGCGGGATGATGCTATCAAAGTTTCACAGAAGCTTCAACAATTGGGCTGGATCCCTCAACTTATTTTATCCAGGTTTATTATTAGTATTGATTTAAGAATGAGTTTGTGGGGCTCAATTCTATACAATCTCGGTGCATTATTTGCATGTCATAGATTTTGAAGATTTTTTTAACTGGGTGATGCTGCAGTGATGCAGTGCGAACCAGGGAGACTCTTAAGATAATGCAGGAACATGTGAAAGGCTTTTTGGAAGCTGAAGTTCATTTTATTTCCAGCTTTTATTCTGTTGCAGCAATGGATGGACAAACTGCTGAACATCTTCAACAAGCTATATGTAAATACTCAACAGATGAAATAGTTACCGTCATGTAAGTTTTGCTAGACTTTATCACATCTAGCTTTTTGTTATTGTATTTATTTTCTTTGGTCTGAAGGAAACCCCAGAGAAGTGGAACTATTATTTTGTGTATCATACAGCATTCAAAATATTTTCTTTCTTCAACAGACCATTTCTAATGACTGAGCTAAAAATTATATGTTAAGATCTACCAATGGTGTGCGTTCAAACTTTCTTCATCGATTTTGGTGGTGGTTATATTGTATGGTTTGGATTGCTGGCTGTCTATAATTTCCGTGCAAGACACTGTAGAATTTTATATTTCTATGGGATGTTGCAAGATAAGGGTAAATTACCCAAAAAAAGAGAAAGATAAGGGTGCATACCTTTGCTAGATTATCATAGAAAGAAAATTAATGCATTAAAAATATACAACTAATAATGATAATTTGACAGGTGTATGGGACATAATAGAGGATGGGAGGAGGCAGCATCAATGTTTGCAGGTGCCTTGATAGAACTTAAGACATGCAACGCTGCTTTGCTTGAAGCCTCTGGAAAATCATGGGAAGAGGTTAGACCCTTTATCTTTTTATAAGCAATCAATTAATCGAGTTGTTACTATTTACGCAGAATATTATTGTGAATTTTAGTATATTCAACATCAATTAGTTCACTGATTTTTCTAAAAGACGTTCCATCTTGTGCTGGTCCATGTGTTCACATTTGTTACCAATTAGAACTATGTGTTTTGAAAATTCAATCTCCATTTTAGATAGAATTTTGGTTCATGTTTTAGATACTGGTCTTGGACTTGTCATTTTAGCATCTCCACAGGCGTAATTTCAATTTTGATTCTGCCATCCAAGAAGTGGATTCCAGTTCTCCTATAAGTGAGAATCTTTGATGGTAGAGTAGGCTGATTTTGCTTGTGGATACTTCTTGGGGGATGCAAATGAAAAATTCTATGTTGAGGACTGAGGCAGAATCTTAAGACACTTAAGATATTAGAAAAGATTAGCTGGAAGAAATTAAGGCTCTATTTGGTACATATAGTTTTCCCAATAAAATTAACACAAAATTTGTGTTTGGTTCACCTATTTTCAAAATATAATTCTAAATTATTCAATTTCTTTTAAACCCCCTAAATTTGTTAATTTAACTAAACAACCCAATTTTTTTTTTAAAAATTGACAAAAAGACCCCAGTAACCCAAATTTACCAGATTCCGGCCACCACTGCCGAAGGCTGGTTGGAATCTGGTGTAATGGCGCATTACCGGGCAGATTAGCCTTTTTCGGCTAGATCCACAGTGGATTTGGCCAGAAAAGGCCAGATCTACGGCCAAAGACGGCCAAATTTTTGGCCGTAGACAGTCGTCAACGATGGCCAAGAGATGGCCGTCGTTGACCATCAACGACGATCGTATCTTTGGCCGTCGTTGACAACCAAATGCGGTTAGATCTAGCCTTTTCTTGCCAAATCCACGGTGGATCTGGCTGGAAAAGGCCATATCGGTGCACAACCGGCAAGATCCAGCCGGTCTTGCGTCAATACGGTGACTCTGGCCACCCTCCGACAGTGGTGGCCGGCTGTCTGTATTTAATGAGTGGGTTGGGGGTGTTTTTGTTAACTTTGAATATTTTATTATAGGGGTGTTTAGTAAATAAATAAACATAGGGGGTATTTTTGTTAATTTTCAAAATTCTACATCGTAATACCCACTCAATTTAACTTTTTTTAAAATATTATTCTAAAAATTATCCAATAATGAACCAAACGGAGCCTAAGGCATTGCAGCCTGAATGTGGGAGTAATGTAGAATTTTAAAATTCTAATGAGATCATTTTCCTTTTTACTATTAAGCGGAAAAGATGGTAGCACGGTTTTGTTTTATCCTTTGGTCTCATAAGTGATACTTATATGGTGATGGGAATCTCAGTGAACAAATAATGATGTTAATACTTAAGATCCTATGTACCTTTTAGATGGCCTTTAGCATGGTAGGGAGACTGTTACGAGTTCATATGGCTACCTTGGTTTTATTTTTGAAAGAGGAGCTTCGTAGCATATCAATTGGGAATTCACATTAGTGAAAGGAAATATGTTCTAAGTGAAGGCAGGTGCAGCAAACTTGAAAACTGCTCATATATGTTATCGAATCAGTAGACAGTAGCTTAGGTTATTTATAACTACATTTATCTCAAAGAGAGACTTTACATGCATTCATGGTATCATCATCATATTAGTCTGATGTCTTTGACCGTAAACAATATATTGTTGATTATATTTTCTTTGAACTACAACTACAAGTGTGTGGTTTTAGTATCTGCTTGGAACTTTAGCTGACTTGAGTGTGTTGCACTTTTAGGCATTTGCTATTGCAGGACTTGGGGGGTGGAAGCTTCAGGGCATAGTAACACCTAGTAGCGTGTAGAATTTTATAAAATTCTGAATGCTAGCAGAACTGATGCGCGTCCTCTGTCGTCTGAACGGCTAACCTTTAAAGAAAGGAAAAAGAAGAAAAATTGTATACAAGTTGTTCTACTTGTCATTCGCATTTCTCCTGAATCTATTCCTCAAGAAAGTTAATATAATCGTGGCCTTAAACACCAGAAATGCAATCAGCAAAGTTGCAATTAAATGGAAACTAATCTTATTAGTCACCAGAGATTATTCTTCATCTACTCGCTGTAGATGTTGTTCAAGAGTACATGCAAAGGCGATACGCCAAAGTGAAGTATGTTGTTGTTTTTACAGTGGGTGATGATCTCCACTGGTTGAAGCACGGCAAAGCTAGAGCATCCAGAAATAATCTGAAATGGCCAAAGATATAAAGTTGTAATTAATGTAAATACGTTAATCTGATTTATGGAAAATTGTCAAATGATTGCAATCATCATCTTGTATAGAAGGAATTCTATTTCTACTACACTTGGTGGCCATTGCCATGAATGAATGACCATTATTGTAATATGCAGAATTGCAGATTGTAGAAGGATATAGTTTGGCATTGGTAGGTTGAGAGAAAAGCCATAATATAATGGGGCCATATGTAATAATACAAAATCAAACCTATTTTGTCCAATATAGGAAAGGTAGGTATGTGATGTAATTTGAGACCAATAAAACTTCTTAAAAGGGTGGAATGATTGAAAAAGGGGAAGAGGGTATAAATGTAAAAAAGTGGGAAAAAGATTGAGGAATAGAAATGTGTAATAATTTAAGATATTAATTTGTAATTTTAATAATAACAGAAAAAAAAAAAAAAAAAAAACAAAACGCGAGAGAGATTGATTTGCTTGTCTTCTCTCTCTTTCTTCTCCTCATTTTCTCATTCTGTCGCTTGAGTGTGATCTCTGTCTCGGCCGTTCTCTTCTGCTTTTCCTACTGTTCAACCTCTCCCTGAGCTGTACTAGCTCACCGACCTCTCCTCTTTCTTCTCTGCCCTTTTTTTTTTTTTTCTAATTTTTATCTGTTCACGACTTTTCTTTTGAGTTTGAGATCTAAAGTTTTAAACTTTACTTGCAATTTGTTTCTATTGTTTCTTTCATTCTTCAATTCGTGTGGCATTTGTGTTTTCTTGTGCTGGGTTGATTTTCGAGAATTGACCTACATTAGATCTGAGATTGTATTGTTTTCGAATGTTTCATTTTTGGTTTTTATTTTGTTAGGGGGAGCTGGCGGAGTACAACATTATGCTGAGACGTTCAGCTCTAGCTTTATTTTTTTAGATTTCGTTTTTTTTATTATTATTATTATTATTATTATTATGGTTTTTGGTTCTGGGTTTGTAAAGAGAGAATTAGGATAGGAGGAGCTGAGGCGAGGTTCAAGTTATGAAGTTTGCTTGTTTTTGTTTTGTTTTTGGAGAAATTAAAAATGGTGGAGTTGAAGTGAATTTTTGAGCTTCTCGGAGAATCCCGCGTGGTTGTATTCTCATGAGGGGGAGGAGCTCTGAGCAACATGATTGATCAGTTCATCAATTTTGTCATTCGGCCCCCCAGGTATTTTATTTCACTTAATTATTATCCTTTTTTTGAATGTGAATGCTGCTGTTATCTATGATTTATACTTCAGTTTTTTTATGTCTCTGGCTTGTTTGCTTTGTATATGTTTTGTTTCAAGAATTATAACGAATACTTTTTGAATTTGACTTAATCTTTGGCTCTTTTAAGAGTTACTTCACTGGAAACTAATTCATTTTTTCAATGCCTTTTTTTCCTAGAGGATTTTTTTAAGAGAAGCTTGCTGAAACATATTGCTTGTCTTTAAAAGATGCATGGAGTGGCATCAAATATTTTTCTTATCATAAACTCTTATATGATTATTGGGAAAATAAATATTGTCTACATTGTTACTTAAACCTGGGGATGGATTTCTTTTTCATTATAACTTTTGGGACCCATTTTCTAAGAGGGTTGTTTGAGTATACTTGGGAGTGAACATCCGTCATTTTACGCAGCTCAGCTATGCTTCCAAGTTAGGCTATTTTTGTTTTTCTTTTATTCGCTTCATGTAAACTTCAATCTTATGCAGATATCTTGTTGCCTGTCCTTCCTCTCCTCCCTTCTTCTTTCTTTTGTGAAGCATTGATTGGAGAGGCGGTTTTAACGGCTCAGACGTTTGAGGCTTATTCTTTGTTTGATCTCTGTTTAAAATTAACTGGGCTATGGTGTTGTTGCAGTCCACAATACTAGTGTGGCATTTTGTTGCAAATGATGGAACTATTTTTATTTTTGCCATCTTTCGCTACTTTTGTATTCATTGCTACCTCCAAATGTCATTTTTTTTTCACTTGTAACCTAGTGGTACACAACATTCTTGGCTTCCTCAAGTTATTCTTAAATTATTGGAGATTCATTGGTCATTAATCTGGTGTACTGATTGCTGTGGTGCATATTACAGGGCAGATTATAACCCAGATCAGTATTTATGGGAAAGAGATTTCACTCTTGCAGGCAGATCATACAAAAGACAGGACTTGGAGGCAAGTATGGACATCAGTTAACTAACTGTCCCTAATTTGATTATCATTATTTATGATGGGAAAAATATCTGTAATGGTTTCTGAGTCTGCTATTTTATTTATTTTCGATATTTGCAGCTTAGGAATGTAAGGGGTCATGCCTTGCAGTGTAGTCATTATATGCCATCAGTTTTCCCGGAAGATACTCCTTTGCCTTGTGTCATATACTGCCATGGAAACAGGTATGTTCTGTTCATAGGGAAATTTCATGCTCTGTCAGCTTGTAGCTTGTGGATACAAACACATGTAATGGGTCAATCCATGCTTTCAACATATTATTTTTATGGAAATTCTAATTTTTCGGTTATTATACTTGTTGAAAGAATTGCAACTTGTTGTCAAAGAGTCCTTATAAAAAAAGAGTGGAAACTTACTCAATTTTCTGTGAAAAATTATACAGTGGATGTAGGGCAGATGCTAATGAGGCTGCTGTCATTCTTCTTCCATCAAATATTACTGTTTTTACCCTTGATTTTTCTGGTTCGGGCTTATCTAATGGTGACTACGTTAGCCTTGGTTGGCATGAGGTAAATTTCTCTTTCTATCAGTTTTTATTGTTTGAACTCCTGTTTTTTATCTTTGAAGTGTGTAATGTTTATATCTGCAACAGAAAGATGACCTCAAAGTTGTGGTTTCATACTTAAGAAGCAACAAACAAATATCACGTGTAGGTCTTTGGGGACGATCTATGGGTGCAGTCACTAGGTATTTTGTCTTGTCACTTCTCAACTTATTACTGGTGTCAGCTTCTTTTCTAAATCTCTAATGATGGAAACAGGATTAACCAGACTCGAGAATTTGTGATGTGCTAGGAAGCATGTAATACTGATGGAATTTTTTTTTTTTTCTCAGAATAGATAAATATGACATAAGTGTATTGTTTATTGTTAAATCAAGTTTTTTTTGCATAGATCTCTGGAAAGGATTAATTTTTCATAATAATATGCAGCCTTCTTTATGGAGCGGAAGATCCTTCAATTGCTGGAATGGTGTTGGATAGTGCCTTTTCTGACCTGTTTAATCTAATGATGGAACTCGTAGACGTATACAAAATCCGGCTTCCTAAATTCACTGTATGCATCTCTTTCACTTTCTTCTCTTGTGCCATCAGTTTCCTCATGTTGGTCACAGTATGATTTTGTGGTGTGATATGTTTGTGCCTTATATTCAGTTAGACATGTTAACTATTTTTAAGGTTGCAGAATAATCAATATATTAAAAGCTTTGCATCTTTTCATATTTTGTCCCGCTTTTAGGCGTACTATCAATTATCTCTCAGTGTCCCTTCTTATGTCCTTTTAGTGTTTTTTTTCCAGGTTTTAGGGTTGTCTTGTGGTTATTGATTTTTTTTTTGTTCTTAATTCACAGAAGCGTATATATTAGCTTGCTAATATTGCGTTGGTTAGTGTTTGGGTTATATGTTGTTCTGATGTCTCTTGGCTTTTAAAATGATATTCTTTTTTTATTCCTGATAGGTTAAGATGGCAGTGCAGTACATGCGGCGGGTGATTCAGAAGAAGGCAAAGTTTGATATTATGAATCTTAACTGCTTAAAGGTTTATCTATGTTTATTAGACTGTTGAATGTTGAAATGAATTTGAAACTTCATGTAGTTTCCATTTTCACATAATTTAGTCTACTTTTCAGATTGTAGATAGACCAAATTCAGTTGAGATGATTTTGTATTGAAATGTATATTGTTGTTTGTCTGTCTTTTGTCGCATGATTTGCATCATTTAGAAAGCAATGTAGATTGTTTAACTCAATAAATACTTGTTGATTTACAACTGCAGGTTGCACCCAAAACATTCATTCCTGCCTTATTTGGACATGCTAATGAGGACAAATTCATTCAACCCCACCACTCTGACGATATCTTTAACTCCTATGTGGTAATATGCCACTGGAAAGTTCTTAAGTTTTATTAAAGTCCTGGTTCTTTTCTGTATTGTTAGCCTTTTTTTCTGTTATGTGCAGGGGGATAAGAATATCATAAAATTTGATGGTGACCACAACTCATCTCGACCACAATTTTATTATGATTCAGTTTCCATTTTTTTCTTCAATGTCCTTCACCCTCCTCAAATTTCTTCTGCCTGTCCAAGCAAGGTTGAGAAATATTATGATCTAGGGGACTTAAAGGTTGGTGCTGGTATGGATGAGGTAATTTCCCCTTCTATGCACCCACTGCTCATATTAACAAGACCTGTAAACATATAGTTCTTGTTTGGTTCAGTTTTTATTTTTGAGGCCAGTTTAACCTTTTCTATCATTTGGTTTGGTTTTGTTCAGGTTTTATAATTCCTGCTGACCTAATTATTGTTTTGCGTTAAAAAAATGCATGTCATAATGCAATAAAACATGTCCAATCAACAATCCAGAAAAAGTTCGTAAAATGCAATAACATGTCCACTGAAAATTGTTATTTGTATTGCTATATTTCATTAACAGGGATTAATAATTTGTTTCCATTTGTTTTCAGAGCCTGTTGTATGAGATCATTACTGGTCTTCGCTCTGCAAGTACAGATGCTGCAAGTTCTTCTACACATCCAATCATTTTAGCCACAAAACCTGTGAATGAACTTCTTTCTGCAGTTGGCCCAGTCACTAGTATAGTGCGTATCTTCTCATCTGGATGCATTAACTTTTTTTCCTTCATGAATTTTTGGTGATGTTGAGTGATTTATTATTGATAATGCAGGATTCCTTGGTTATTGATGATAATGGCCTCGGTGATGAGTCATCAAATTTACAGGTGAATAAGTATAGTGATATTCATAAGATCTGAAATAAAAAGCTGTTGTTGTGTTTAATTGACGCCCTAAGCTCAAATGAGAAGTTTCTTTGATAATTGTTTCTTGTTAGTTAAGGTCCTCAGCCCGAATGACTGTTTCAGGTCTATCTATGTTTTACCCAGAAATTGATGTTGGTACAGAATGTTAACCCTTTGGATCCGAACCTCAAATGTTGAATATAGAGAAAAATAAAATCAATATTAAATTTAGAGGAAAAAAGAAATGATAGAAGATATTCTTTTCTGCAGTGTACTATCAAGCTGAAGCTGATAATTTGCTTCAATTAAACTTCAATGTATAGATGGTATTCATGTATATTAGAATGCTTATGTACCTCCAATGCAGCTTTTTAGTTGTAGCAAGGATGGTGCATGGTCCATGCTTTGGGCTGTATTGAGGAATTCACATTTTGCTGTTTCACTGATGATTTGGAGGGGATTGGCTATTATTTGTTTGCAGGATAAGCTGAACGGCCAAAATGATGAATGTTGCTCATATACTAGCTCAAATAGGGAGAGTTGGGGAAGATGCTCTTCTTTGGGAGGCAGTGATGAAGAATCTTCTGCGGACTGTGCAGCTGCTGACAGGAGACATCAGGTTTCTCACTCTCCCTCTCTCATGTGCTTGCACAAAGTCAATTTAGGAAATTATTATGACCTGTGTTTTGCACCTGGGTATTCATTGAACAATATATATGATGCCTACCATTCAGTGGATCCTACCTAGATATTCATACCTAACACAGCTTTGTTTGATTGACGGGCTTTACATGCAAGGGAAAATGCTATGATAGAAACTAAATTGATTCTTGTTTCCCTTGAATTTTCTGTTGAATAATGTTCAGTGCATCTTAGGTATTGTCATGTATAAATTTCTAAATATTTGCATTTTTGTTTCAATGATTCTAGACAACTCTTGAGGCACTTGCAACACCTGTTAGAAGCAAACAAAAAAAATCATCGGACTCTTCGAAGGAGGAAAAGAAAAAGAAGAAAGCAGCAGATGGAAAGAAGCCTAAACGTGAGAAATTTGAAAAACTTGAGGCCCTTAGCAAAAGACTTCGCCTTTGCTTATTGCGGCGAGTTAAACATCAGAGGCATCTCTCTTCATGACCTACCTTGTACCATAGAAAGCTGTTTATAACTCATGTAATGTTCCATTTATCTCAAGTTTTTCCTTTGTTTTATATTAACCCATTCCACGGTTGAAAAGAGGCATGAGTTTCTGGGTGCCATCCTATGTCATCACTTGGGGCTTCACTGGCCATGTATGTAGTTTCTTTCTCTCCATGCATGTCATTGCTGGACATCATGCTCATGCACTAAATTGTAGAATTTCCTCTTCTTTTTTTGTTGTCCCAATCCCTCTTTTCATATTTCTGTACAAAGTACACCTACCATATCCAAGTGAGTTTTTAGTGTGATGGGTGTATGTGCACCTATCTAATCACCTGGCATGCGTAGGCCATATATGCCAGCCATGCTGACATGGTCTGTTGAGATGCGTCCAATCTACTGAAGACTTTTCATTCAAAGAAAGTAGAAACTATAAGAATGTGAAGATGAAAATCCTGTCGCATTTTTCTTTGGTCTTAATCGACTGGACTTGCCAAATTATGTAATTAGTATACATTATCATTTATCAATCGCCCATATGTTGTGAATGGGAAAGTGTTCATATCCAGATTAGAGAAAGGTAAATCAACTGATTGTTTCTGATATTTCATGTAAAATGAGGTTATGTTGAAGTGAAACCATCAAATGTTTGAATCAAATTTCCTACAGCCATTCACAATAGGTTTTTCGGTTTAAGATAAAGAACAACCATCTTGTGCAAGTTTAAAGTAAATCAGAACGAAAGGGCAGCTACTCTTGAAACTAATAATCTCTGATACACCTAACTTAACAAAGTTGTTTGACCTAATTCGAAATATTTTCTTCCCAGAAACACATAAACATGAAGTAGTAGTTCTATAAGTACAGACCCATGTAGCACATAAAATTACAGGTCACTTCCAGAAACCTCTAGATGATCTTCCTTCCCAATTGATATACCAGATGATGGATCAAACTGCTCACTATTCAGGAAAAGAGAGTGTGGCTGCTGATAGGAGGAGCTTAAGCTCGACTCCAATATCGTATGTGTAAGCACCATCTCTGCTTTAGAATATGCTGTTCCCATGTCGACTCGTTGCTTCTTCATTGATCTCTTGCCTTTAGGGCTGTCAGATGGGGAACCACCATTGCAGCCAGAATCTGGGGTCAATGGCTCATGCTGAGATGAGAAAGACTCGTCAACAGAAAGGCTCTTGGATGGGGCACATTCCTTGGAAGCCTTGTCCTGGAGCGGGGATTCTGAAGTTGGAGCAGGGGTTGCCGGGTCTGTCTTCTTGTCAGATTCTGGGCCATTGTCACCTGATACTGGGGCTGAGACTCCAGTACCAGTACCAGGCACGTCTGAAAGAACTCCACTAAGTCGTTGCTGCTCTTCAATTATCTTCTTCAAGTACTTACCCTGGGCTTCTATCCTTAACTGCAGCTGTCTTTGCACCTGTGCATTTAAAGTAGACATGAATTACATGGTTGCCTCAGCTTACTATGATGACATGAGATATTGGCTTCAAATACGGGCAAGTTCATAAAAAATTGGAGGGCACAGCACCAAATACTCTGAATGCTATTTCAATCAATGATGCGATATTCTCAGATATTTCTAGTTAAAACTGTTAATACTCAGGATGTTTCGAGTATAACTTTGTTGAAAATTATATCAGTAGTAACCATGATTTGAAAAGAATTTGCAAATAAATAGCGAAATGACTCAGAAATAACAGAGTAGGATCACGATTTATTGGACTAAGCTGACTCTACTGTAATATAAAGGTTAACATGAAAACTAAAATTACTAGACAAATATTCCTATAAAAGCATGTAAATCACAAACTAGTTGAGATTTTACATTCCACCAAGCAATAGTTGTACCAACTGAACTAGTTCTTCTCCTAGTCATTTTATGCATGATTTTGTATAAGGAAGCAAAATCAATGTAATGAACGAAAATCCCAGTGATTGTATACGAATAAATTGGATGTTAAATTGCAAAGGTAAGACATGCCTCCAGTTGTTCATGCAGTCGCTTTTGCACCTCCATCTGCAGCTTAAGTGCCTCCGTAATTTGCATCCCACTGCAATCAAAAAAGGACAAAATAAATTCTCATATGAAGTGGCAAATCAAGCAGCCAGTTTAATGAAACTTGAGTCTAATCATAAGATCATAATTTATAGACTGGTATACATGATGAACTTTAGTCAGTCTGCAGTTTTCGGTCTGAGCCCAAGGTTTATTCAATGCTGGTCAGCCTCCAGCATATATGCTCAAACCATATAGGATAAATAAAAGTTCTTAAATCTTAAACTTCAGACTTGTACATAGAGAAATGACAAATAAACAACTAGTAATTAGAAGGTAAAAAACACCAAGAAGGACGCTCCACTTACGATGAACCATCCAAATTGGAAAGCACATCCCCCGTTTCTTTCTTGTCAGCTTTTTTCCCTTGCATTAACAATTTAAACACGTTACAAACAGAACTTCATAATGGGAAGATTTTTAAATAAGCCAACTTCAAAGTAGAAATAAAAATATGGCAGATTTCCCCAAAATCAAGATAATATCTACTAATCGTGATTGTATATTTATGGTTTACATAATCAACTATGGGAACTAGATACACATACCATCAGATGACGAGTCAGGAAGGTATTTTGCAAGTCGATATTTCTGGATGCACCACAAAAACAGAGTCAATGAAGGTAAACGAGAACAAGGAATGCTAATACATATTCCCCATGAGCTCCCCCACCCAAACACCAAACTGTTCCAACAACCTCCCTCCCCAGTCCCCAGCAACAGAAGGGGGTAAAAAGAAGAAACAAAAAAAGTTCATGAAGTTCCACATAGATTGAAACTTGTAATTAACTAACATTGTACCTGTAAATGGCTTTTGACATGGTATATCGTTAAACCTTGAACACCCATCACTCTCAGAACACCTTTGGGTGTAGCCCCTGGAAGAGAGAAAACAAAGATTAATAAATAAATAGAAACTTGTTTATCATTTCTACAGTTAAAACATAAATCATGCTAGACAAGTTTAAGGAGACTCACGATCTGGCCCACCAAGTTGTGCAACAGCATCAACAAAGCGTTCGTGAAGTTCATGTGTCCAACGCAATCGTTGCTTTGAGGCAAGACTAGGGTTGTTGTTGAGACTGTTCCCTCCATTCATGGGGTCCATCTGGCTGGAACCACAGTCTAAATGCTGACCATGAACTAACGAGTTGCTGCGGGCTAAACTTGAACTAGGAACACTCTTTGGTTGATACATTTGATATTCATCTACATAAACGAAACAATAAACTCACCAAGGGCATAAAGAAGAAAAGCTGCTCTGAAAATTTCATTATCAGGCACCATGCACTTAGAGGTGCTAATTAGGATATGTTTCTACTAAGAGCAAAGCAGGTAAATTTTTAACAGCTAACATGAATTTCAGTAGCTGAAGAGATGCCATGGATACTCCATAGCTCGCCACCAGCTCAGAAGTAGTGAATTGAAGTTTGTAATCAATTGACTAACACAACCCAAGATACGTATTTTTTGCAACAAAGAGATAGCATATCAGAAATGGTAACTTCAGGCACAAACTCTGCCTGATGCATATTCATAATCCGGTCCAGACCTTCCCCCGATCGTAAGCTTCAATCCTATACCACAACTGGCCAATGGCAGCTGAAATGTCCCCTAAACAAGTCAATGAAATCTATAAAAAGCCATCACTCCATCAGATGTGTGGCAACATACGTTTCTTCCAACCTTAATCCACAATATTTTTGGCCTACCTCTAGTTCTCATGATGCAAAACTCCTTCATAACGGTGCATATACCAGACTAGACCTAGTTGTAAAAGTCCAAACTATCTAAGAAGGAAATTCTCTTATGTTCACACTTCACACTTTGAACCATACCTAACTCTTCAAAAATGTATTCACTAACCATATAAGTGGCAAAAGAAACAAAGGACACAACGAAACATAAACAATTAAATAAAAATACATATAAATGCAGATGAGAGATGAAAATTATGAAAACCTACTACAATTATGCCTTTGGATGGGATCTATGACTAATTTTTCAAAGTTTGAAACTTGACAGAAATTACTAATCGAACTTTGTTATATCTTAAGTAATAGGAAAAACATCATGGGTATTCTTCCAAAATTTATCAGTTACAGCACATAATTATTTTTCCTTCAAAAAAATAGCGAAATTTTATATGAAGATATAGAGACGGTCCCAAATTCACCACTATCTACAATAGTCACCATTGTCTTCTAGAAAGGAGTAAAAACCATGAGAATTAAGGAAACTTGGCATATTTAGTTAATAAAAAAATATGAATTTGATGGTGAAATTACTCATTCATCAATCTCTACATCAAGAAGAGAACCGATCTCATAATACAAATAAAAAAAACTCAACAAAACACAACTAGGCTAATAACCCAGAACAGAGTCAAAACATAGTAATGAAATTAGGGTTGCAGAAGAAGAAATAGTGAGAGCAAATGAAAAAATAATACAAAATATAAATAAAAAAGAGGAAAAAAGACATACCCAGATCTAGAAATCGACATAATCGAGGGGGAAGAGTTCGGGAGGTGCTGTTTCGAACAATAAAACGAAAGAATAAAGTGAAGAAGAAGAGGAGAGATTGTTATGTGAAAGTTTGGTCAATGAGTTAAGAGCAGAGGAAGAACACAACAACACAACAACACACAACACAACACGCTTGTTTGAATAAAATAAGGATTTTATGAGTTCAGGTAATTATGCAAAATGGAAATGTCTTAAAATAAAAAAGAAAAATAGGAAAGACTTGAAACTTGAAAAGAGTAATTAGGAAACGAAAGAAGGAAAGAAAGAAAGAGAGAGAGAGAGAGAGAGAGAGAGAGACTTGACCACAACAACACAAGACTACCCACGTCCCACGTACACGTTTGTTTTTTATTTGGTTTTAAATATACATAAGAAGAATCTGAACCAAGCCCACCTCTCTGTGGCTCTATGTGGTTCATTCATTGCATAGACAGCTCCTATGCTCCTATGCCCCCATGCTCATGTATGTACTACCCAATCAATCAAAATCTATTTCAATTGCCGCATCCCACTGCAACAAAAAGGACAAAATAAATTCTTATGAAGGCAAATCAAGCAGCAGTTATGAAACTTGAGTCTTCAATCAAGATCATAATTATAGACGGTATACATGATGAACTTTAGTCGTCAGCAGTTTTCGGTCTGAGCCCAAGGTTTATTCAATGTGGTCAGCCTCCAGCATATGTCAAACCATATAGGAAATAAAAGTTCTTAAATCTTAAACTTCAGACTTGTACATAGAGAAATGACAAATAAACAAACTAGTAATTAGAAGGTAAAAAACACCAAGAAGACGCTCCACTTACGATGAACCATCCAAATTGGAAAGCACATCCCGTTTCTTTCTTGTCAGCTTTTTTCCCTTGCATTAACAATTTAAACACGTTACAAACAGAACTTCATAATGGGAAGATTTTTAAATAAGCCAACTCAAAGTAGAAATAAAAATATGGCAGATTTCCCCAAAATCAAGATAATATCTACTAATCGTGATTGTATATTTATGGTTACATAATCAACTATGGGATTGAACAATATATATGATGCCTACCATTCAGTGGATCCTACCTAGATATTCATACCTAACACAGCTTTGTTTGATTGACGGGCTTTACATGCAAGGGAAAATGCTATGATAGAAACTAAAATGATTCTTGTTTCCCTTGAATTTTCTGTTGAATGATGTTCAGTGCATCTTAGGTATTGTCATGTATAAATTTCTAAATATTTGCATTTTTGTTTCAATGATTCTAGACAACTCTTGAGGCACTTGCAACACCCGTTAGAAGCAAACAAAAAAAATCATCGGACTCTTCGAAGGAGGAAAAGAAAAAGAAGAAAGCAGCAGATGGAAAGAAGCCTAAACGTGAGAAATTTGAAAAGCTTGAGGCCCTTAGCAAAAGACTTCGCCTTTGCTTATTGCGGCGAGTTAAACATCAGAGGCATCTCTCTTCATGACCTACCTTGTACCATAGAAAGCTGTTTATAACTCATGTAATGTTCCATTTATCTCAAGTTTTTCCTTTGTTTTATATTAACCCATTCCACGGTTGAAAAGAGGCATGAGTTTCTGGGTGCCATCCTATGTCATCACTTGGGGCTTCACTGGCCATGTATGTAGTTTCTCTCTCTCCATGCATGTCATTGCTGGACATCATGCTCATGCACTAAATTGTAGAATTTCCTCTTCTTTTTTTGTTGTCCCAATCCCTCTTTTCATATTTCTGTACAAAGTACACCTTCTACCATATCTAAGTGAGTTTTTAGTGTGATGGGTGTATGTGCACCTATCTAATCACCTGGCATGCGTAGGCCATATATGCCAGCCGTGCTGACATGGTCTGTTGACATGCGTCCAATCTACTGAAGACTTTTCATTCAAAGAAAGTAGAAACTATAAGAATGTGAAGATGAAAATCCAGTTGCATTTTTCTTTGGTCTTAATCGACTGGACTTGCCAAACTATGTAATTAGTATACATTATCATTTATCAATCGCCCATATGTTGTGAATGGGAAAGTGTTCATATCCAGATTAGAGAAAGGTAAATCAACTGATTGTTTCTGATATTTCATGTAAAATGAGGTTATGTTGAAGTGAAACCATCAAATGTTTGAATCAAATTTCCTACAGCCATTCACAATAGGTTTTTCGGTTTAAGATAAAGAACAACCATCTTGTGCAAGTTTAAAGTAAATCAGAACGAAAGGGCAGCTACTCTTGAAACTAATAATCTCTGATACACCTAACTTAACAAAGTTGTTTGACCTAATTCGAAATATTTTCTTCCCAGAAACACATAAACATGAAGTAGTAGTTCTATAAGTACAGACCCATGTAGCACATAAAATTACAGGTCACTTCCAGAAACCTCTAGATGATCTTCCTTCCCAATTGATATACCAGATGATGGATCAAACTGCTCACTATTCAGGAAAAGAGAGTGTGGCTGCTGATAGGAGGAGCTTAAGCTCGACTCCAATATCGTATGTGTAAGCACCATCTCTGCTTTAGAATATGCTGTTCCCATGTCGACTCGTTGCTTCTTCATTGATCTCTTGCCTTTAGGGCTGTCAGATGGGGAACCACCATTGCAGCCAGAATCTGGGGTCAATGGCTCATGCTGAGATGAGAAAGACTCGTCAACAGAAAGGCTCTTGGATGGGGCACATTCCTTGGAAGCCTTGTCCTGGAGCGGGGATTCTGAAGTTGGAGCAGGGGTTGCCGGGTCTGTCTTCTTGTCAGATTCTGGGCCATTGTCACCTGATACTGGGGCTGAGACTCCAGTACCAGTACCAGGCACGTCTGAAAGAACTCCACTAAGTCGTTGCTGCTCTTCAATTATCTTCTTCAAGTACTTACCCTGGGCTTCTATCCTTAACTGCAGCTGTCTTTGCACCTGTGCATTTAAAGTAGACATGAATTACATGGTTGCCTCAGCTTACTATGATGACATGAGATATTGGCTTCAAATACGGGCAAGTTCATAAAAAATTGGAGGGCACAGCACCAAATACTCTGAATGCTATTTCAATCAATGATGCGATATTCTCAGATATTTCTAGTTAAAACTGTTAATACTCAGGATGTTTCGAGTATAACTTCGTTGAAAATTATATCAGTAGTAACCATGATTTGAAAAGAATTTGCAAATAAATAGCAAAATGACTCAGAAATAACAAAGTAGGATCACGATTTATTGGACTAAGCTGACTCTACTGTAATATAAAGGTTAACATGGAAAACTAAAATTACTAGACAAATATTCCTATAAAAGCATGTAAATCACAAACTACTTGAGATTTTACATTCCACCAAGCAATAGTTGTACCAACTGAACTAGTTCTTCTCCTAGTCATTTTATGCATGATTTTGTATAAGGAAGCAAAATCAATGTAATGAACGAAAATCCCAGTGATTGTATACGAATAAATTGGATGTTCAATTGCAAAGGTAAGACATGCCTCCAGTTGTTCATGCAGTCGCTTTTGCACCTCCATCTGCAGCTTAAGTGCCTCCGTAATTTGCATCCCACTGCAATCAAAAAAGGACAAAATAAATTCTCATATGAAGTGGCAAATCAAGCAGCCAGTTTAATGAAACTTGAGTCTAATCATAAGATCATAATTTATAGACTGGTATACATGATGAACTTTAGTCAGTCTGCAGTTTTCGGTCTGAGCCCAAGGTTTATTCAATGCTGGTCAGCCTCCAGCATATATGCTCAAACCATATAGGATAAATAAAAGTTCTTAAATCTTAAACTTCAGACTTGTACATAGAGAAATGACAAATAAACAACTAGTAATTAGAAGGTAAAAAACACCAAGAAGGACGCTCCACTTACGATGAACCATCCAAATTGGAAAGCACATCCCCCGTTTCTTTCTTGTCAGCTTTTTTCCCTTGCATTAACAATTTAAACACGTTACAAACAGAACTTCATAATGGGAAGATTTTTAAATAAGCCAACTTCAAAGTAGAAATAAAAATATGGCAGATTTCCCCAAAATCAAGATAATATCTACTAATCGTGATTGTATATTTATGGTTTACATAATCAACTATGGGAACTAGATACACATACCATCAGATGACGAGTCAGGAAGGTATTTTGCAAGTCGATATTTCTGGATGCACCACAAAAACAGAGTCAATGAAGGTAAACGAGAACAAGGAATGCTAATACATATTCCCCATGAGCTCCCCCACCCAAACACCAAACTGTTCCAACAACCTCCCTCCCCAGTCCCCAGCAACAGAAGGGGGTAAAAAGAAGAAACAAAAAAAGTTCATGAAGTTCCACATAGATTGAAACTTGTAATTAACTAACATTGTACCTGTAAATGGCTTTTGACATGGTATATCGTTAAACCTTGAACACCCATCACTCTCAGAACACCTTTGGGTGTAGCCCCTGGAAGAGAGAAAACAAAGATTAATAAATAAATAGAAACTTGTTTATCATTTCTACAGTTAAAACATAAATCATGCTAGACAAGTTTAAGGAGACTCACGATCTGGCCCACCAAGTTGTGCAACAGCATCAACAAAGCGTTCGTGAAGTTCATGTGTCCAACGCAATCGTTGCTTTGAGGCAAGACTAGGGTTGTTGTTGAGACTGTTCCCTCCATTCATGGGGTCCATCTGGCTGGAACCACAGTCTAAATGCTGACCATGAACTAACGAGTTGCTGCGGGCTAAACTTGAACTAGGAACACTCTTTGGTTGATACATTTGATATTCATCTACATAAACGAAACAATAAACTCACCAAGGGCATAAAGAAGAAAAGCTGCTCTGAAAATTTCATTATCAGGCACCATGCACTTAGAGGTGCTAATTAGGATATGTTTCTACTAAGAGCAAAGCAGGTAAATTTTTAACAGCTAACATGAATTTCAGTAGCTGAAGAGATGCCATGGATACTCCATAGCTCGCCACCAGCTCAGAAGTAGTGAATTGAAGTTTGTAATCAATTGACTAACACAACCCAAGATACGTATTTTTTGCAACAAAGAGATAGCATATCAGAAATGGTAACTTCAGGCACAAACTCTGCCTGATGCATATTCATAATCCGGTCCAGACCTTCCCCCGATCGTAAGCTTCAATCCTATACCACAACTGGCCAATGGCAGCTGAAATGTCCCCTAAACAAGTCAATGAAATCTATAAAAAGCCATCACTCCATCAGATGTGTGGCAACATACGTTTCTTCCAACCTTAATCCACAATATTTTTGGCCTACCTCTAGTTCTCATGATGCAAAACTCCTTCATAACGGTGCATATACCAGACTAGACCTAGTTGTAAAAGTCCAAACTATCTAAGAAGGAAATTCTCTTATGTTCACACTTCACACTTTGAACCATACCTAACTCTTCAAAAATGTATTCACTAACCATATAAGTGGCAAAAGAAACAAAGGACACAACGAAACATAAACAATTAAATAAAAATACATATAAATGCAGATGAGAGATGAAAATTATGAAAACCTACTACAATTATGCCTTTGGATGGGATCTATGACTAATTTTTCAAAGTTTGAAACTTGACAGAAATTACTAATCGAACTTTGTTATATCTTAAGTAATAGGAAAAACATCATGGGTATTCTTCCAAAATTTATCAGTTACAGCACATAATTATTTTTCCTTCAAAAAAATAGCGAAATTTTATATGAAGATATAGAGACGGTCCCAAATTCACCACTATCTACAATAGTCACCATTGTCTTCTAGAAAGGAGTAAAAACCATGAGAATTAAGGAAACTTGGCATATTTAGTTAATAAAAAAATATGAATTTGATGGTGAAATTACTCATTCATCAATCTCTACATCAAGAAGAGAACCGATCTCATAATACAAATAAAAAAAACTCAACAAAACACAACTAGGCTAATAACCCAGAACAGAGTCAAAACATAGTAATGAAATTAGGGTTGCAGAAGAAGAAATAGTGAGAGCAAATGAAAAAATAATACAAAATATAAATAAAAAAGAGGAAAAAAGACATACCCAGATCTAGAAATCGACATAATCGAGGGGGAAGAGTTCGGGAGGTGCTGTTTCGAACAATAAAACGAAAGAATAAAGTGAAGAAGAAGAGGAGAGATTGTTATGTGAAAGTTTGGTCAATGAGTTAAGAGCAGAGGAAGAACACAACAACACAACAACACACAACACAACACGCTTGTTTGAATAAAATAAGGATTTTATGAGTTCAGGTAATTATGCAAAATGGAAATGTCTTAAAATAAAAAAGAAAAATAAGAAAGACTTGAAACTTGAAAAGAGTAATTAGGAAACGAAAGAAGGAAAGAAAGAAAGAGAGAGAGAGAGACTTGACCACAACAACACAAGACTACCCACGTCCCACGTACACGTTTGTTTTTTATTTGGTTTTAAATATACATAAGAAGAATCTGAACCAAGCCCACCTCTCTGTGGCTCTATGTGGTTCATTCATTGCATAGACAGCTCCTATGCTCCTATGCCCCCATGCTCATGTATGTTCTACCCAATCAATCAAAATCTATTTCAATTGCCACCCTTTTTCTTTGAATTATCTTTTCTCATCTCCAAACTCAATCTGGGTATATCATTCACACATACTTTTGTAATTCTATTCGATGAAAACAAGCTTAGTTAATTTTGATTGGAGAAGTGCATAAAAAATATTTATTTAAATAAAATAATAGATGGGGAAGGAAAGGGCATTGGTTGGTGGTGAATCAGCCGAGGGTCCAACCAAAGCCAATAAAAAATTGATTTTTGTTTTAATAGTGAAAATAAAAATGGATCTTTTGTGTTATATTCCGTTCAAACTCTTGATATGATTCCGGCAGAATTCGTCTCTTTCAATCTTCATTTCTATCAATATTTTCAACCCTTTCTTCTTGTCATTTTCTCCTTCCCTTATCTTCTTGTTAACATTATAGTAATTTTCATCGTTCTTTTCAGCTAACCTCAACCATTCCATCTGGATCAATCCTATTTCTCCATCACCAGCTTCTTCAAATTGTTGCTTATAATTATTTTTAGTTGATGGACAATCAAATCAACTTTTTGACCTTTGACTCAATTGTGTTGCTGTAATCGGATTCTGGGTCCCTCCCTACAACTTTTACCAGTTGTAAAATTTCTGATTCTCTCTCTGGGCTCTATATCTAGCTTCACCTGCTATCTAGTTTTTTCTCCTTGCTTTATCAACCAACCCAATTAAAACAATTCTGATTCATAAATGTCCTCAAAACAGGTGTCTTAATCATCTTCTTTTTAAAAAAAAAAACTTTTAACTTGTGCTGTAGTAAAATACTCACCAGTCACCAGTCCACATACAGACTCCTAACACTGCTTAATAATGGTCATTTTCATTGTGCCTTTAACCTTCATTTTTTAAGTTAGTTTCATTCCATTTCTAGGAAGCTCCAATTTCTGGTTGCCTGCCTTATTAAAGCATTGTACAACACCCTTTTTTCTTCTTTTAAATTTTGGTCTTGGCCTATTACTTCCTCATCGCCCTTTTTCACATCTACTGCAGGCTATTATTTTACTGCATCAGAGACTTGTCACCTCTTTTACTTGCAAGAATAATCTAGCCTGCAACAAACAACCGGGACAGGCTCCAAATAGGCTTGCTCTTGGAACCATCCAAAACTCTAAACGCATGCATTTATTTATGCATTCATTAAATGCACTTCAATGATGTTTCAGTGCTAAAACTTCAGGTGATTGCTTTTTAAGTAGCAACAACAGAACAGATTATTGAAAAAAAAAAAAGGGTTGGTTGGTCTAAGCAGAGGCAAATAGTCTTCATATTAAAAGCACTAACAATTTAGATTTTTTACACTTGAGATAAGTGTCCACATTAATGATTATGCCTAGCAATTTTACACTTTGAAATTCCATAATGGCATATGAGTTAAAGGAAGAATCTGATTCCAGCATATCACACATGACCATCAAATCAGTACTTTTAGCTCTCTAAATGCCATACCCAGTGATTCCATGGGAATTCACTTGAGTCAAACTAATCTCATGAGTTCCCATTTTCAGTTCACCCCAAAGCAGAGATGCCGTTGTTGAGTCCAAGCTCATCATCTTTTTCTTTGCTCCAACTGTGGATCCTTCAAGCGTCAATCCTCCAGAACTGTCATGTGAAGTTAAACAGCTTTCAGTGGAACAATCAGCCCTCTGAGGAAAGAGACTGGGTGCCACTTCTTCTGGCCCATGCATATTGGCTACATCAGCAGTTTGTGATGAATAAAAGCCAAATGGATCAAGATTGGAATTTCTTGGAATTTTACTTCCCAACCCTTGACATTTTTTTTGATCGGAGTCTATTACTGCACCTCCAATAAATTGATCTGCAAGCATTTTACAAGCTCTCTCAAGCATGGCTAAATATCTCCGTTCTGCATCTTGGCGGATCTGCAAGTGCTTCTCAGCCTATATAACAAAGGTAATGAGAAAGATTAGCTCTACGGAGTATAGGCTTGAACCTTTAAGTCAGGAGAATTCTAGCCAAATAGCCTTGAGTTTATTCAACTATAAGCAGTGAATTACTATAATGTAAGCAAATGAAAGCTCTTCAACTTTTTCCAAGACAAGAGTTCCAAATCACAAAGAGGTTTTCAGTTATACTTCCATTACTAATGGTGTCTACTATTCATGAACAATCCAAAAACAAAAACAATTTAATTTTAGCATAAGCATAAATTGCACTTTCTCCACGGTTGAAGAAGACATACCTCAACTTGCAGATGTAATTTACTTTGCACTTCCATTTGTGCTCTTAAAGCCTCCTTGACTTCATATCCCCTAACCATAACATTCATTTGCGTTACATGAATTAGTCAAATCAAACATTTCAAGTTTAAACAGAGTAAAGTATTGTCATTGGAGTTTTTGAAGGAAACATATATCTTCTTACTCATGCATATCAGAAGCTGGCAAGCTTGGAGAGGAATTTCTTGTAGGGCTTTCTAAAAGGTATGAAGCTGATATGCCATCCATAGCAAAGCAAAAGAAGTTAGTTTGACTATGAATTTCTTATAACGGAATTTCACTTAAAATGGGTACTCAAACGGAGGTGTATTCAAATATGATCTCAATGAACGCTGAATAGTTTCATTTGTCTTCTAATTATCAGTTTTGCCCTTCCCCACAGATAGAGGCAGCGAAAAACAGCACCTACCTATTCTAAAGGAAAGAACGCCCTTGAACTTAGCCAAACTGATACATAGCAAAAAACAAAAGAAAAGCAACAACCTACCATCTTTGGGTACATCAACCATGTCCTTCCCCTGCTTACCCAGTCTGTACTTCTGCAACACGAAGAATCATCACAGTTTATTAACAAGGGTTTCACTTTTGCCCAAAACTCCAGCAGTCCAACAGCAAAACAACAAAAGAAAGTTCAATAATAACAGCTAACCTGTAGATGACTTTTCAAATGGAAGAGAGTCAGTCCCTTGACATTCATAGTCCGCATGATGGCCTTCGGTGTAGCCTCTGCAATTATTATTCATTTCCCCATAAGAATACTAACGACACAATAATATAAACTCAACAACAATAACCATTCAACACTCAAATATAAACCAATGTCCAAGATTTAAAACTAAAAGGAGGGAATTATGAACTCATACTCTAACCAAAGCCCTCGTAAGTTCACTATCACTAAGATGGTCTCGGCCTAAACAAGACATGGCCTTGTGAACAGATCAAAATACCTCTCTTAAACGAAAAATCTGTCCCAAAATCAATTTGATCAATAACAACATTGACGATCTGGGTAATGAGAAGGAAACATACAAGAATTTAAACAACCCCACTTCCACTTGCCAAAAAAAAAATGACCTTTAAGAATAGCCATTAACCTAGCGAGTACATGAAACAAACAATGGGAAACAAAAACCCCAGAGCTTGAAGCAGCTAAATCATAAGCAAGGGAAATTAAACTACAGCCTTATAGTTTCATAATCATGGTACATTAACGAAGAAAAATCAGCAATTAACTGAAGCAGTAGAAGAATAGAGGGGTGAGAGAGAACTGACTAGTGGGACCACCAAGCTGAGTAACGGCGTCAACAAATCGGTCGTGAAGGTCAGCCGTCCAACGGAGGCGGGGCTTGGGATCAGCTGTCAAGACTAGACAAGGGTCTACTCCAGCTGTTCCTCTGGGATTCTGATGGTGATGGTTGTGATGATAATTCTGCATGTCTTCTTGACCTTGAATCATATTTGGTGTTGTTGTTGGGTACATGAATTGTTAGCTACTTCAATTTACAGAATGAATCATAAAATTGAGGAGGAGGAGGAAGGGTGTTTGCGTATTCTTCTTCCCAAAAAATTTTCCCAATTCCGAGACGATTCAGACAACCTAATTTACCTTGTCCATAGGCAGCAGTAACTTGCAAGTAGGACAAGAAGCTGTTGCTTGCTTTCACTGTCATAATTTTTGTAATCAACTTCGCAATTGACCATGAGAAGAGAAGAAACTAGACCAAAATACCCTTGCTACATCAATAGATAAATTTACCTTTTTGCCCCTTGAGATTCTTAATTTCCAGTGATATAAGACAGGGGTGTTTAAAAAATACAAAAACCAAACTTAACCAATAACCAAACCGAAAAACAGGTTAACAAAAAAAGGGTTCGGTTATAGTTCAAAAAACCGAATTTTTGGTTTGGGAAAAAATAAAAAGCGGTTAATCGAAACCGGTTTTTTGAACCAGTTTTATATATATATATTAAATAAAATAATATAAAAAAATATTTTTAATGTATTGTTAGTAATGATCAATGGATATGTATGAATGTTTAATTTTTATTTGGATATGTATTGTTTATATTTATAATTTAATTTAGGAAAAAATAAAAATAAAAAGTTTTATAAAAAAAAAGGGAAAACCGGTTTTTAACCAGTTTTTTAGGGGTGGGATAAATAATCCGAAAATCGAACCGAAAATTAGGTTTTTTTACAAACCGGTTCGGTTTGAAAAAAAATTCAAACCGGTTTTTAAATCGGTTTTACCCTAAATATAAAAGCAAAAAAATTATTATATATAAAATAATAAATATTTGAATTTAGGGACTTAAATGAAACATTGAAGAATTTTAAGAATTAAAGGATAATTTAAAAACCGGTTAACCGAACAGAAAATTTGGTTCAGTTTACATTCGGTTTTTAACTGAAACCGGTCTGGTTTTCGGTTTGGATAAACCAGTTCGGTTAACCAGATTATCCCACCTCTAACTGTTTTCCCTCTAAATCGGTTTGGTTTTGATTCAGGAATTTTTCCAAACCGAAAAATCGATTCGGTTCAAAAAAGCGGTTAACCGCTTTTGAACACCCGAGGGAGGAGGAGGAGGAGGAGGAGTAGGAGCAGCAAGGGCAAAAAGGGGTTAATGCTGTCAAAGTTGAAACCTTTCTTCAGGGTTGGAGGGAGAGTGATGATTGATGAAGCTGAAGAGGCTTAATCCTTCGCGTATTAGGGATTTTGTGTCTTTCTCCAACTCAATTCATTCTTCTTACCCTTTAACAATAATTGGGGTTCACAATCTCATTCAAAGCTTCAATCTTTTTCAATTCCTCCCAAAAATTATCGTCTAAGTTTATAACTTTTGTATATATTCTTCGTTTTGCTTAAAAAAATGGGGGAAGAAATTCAAGTTCCAAGGGGTGGCCCTATTTACACGATCAATATGATCAGTCCTCTCACTAGAGTTCCTGAATTTGAGGATGCTCTTCTTCGCCAACTTGAGGTGTTCTTGCTTGTATCATATCATGCTCTTTTTTATTTCATATCAATCAGGGTTTTTATAGTCAGCTTAATGTTTGCCTTAATGCCACTATTTATTTATGTAGGACTTCGAAGCTGAATTGTGTTTGGATTCCTCTCAACTTTGTGACGATGACTTTGACCTTTCGTATGTTTTCCTTCTCTCTGTGAATTTACTTTTCATTATTCAATCCAAAATTTAATTTGGGTTTTTATTTTCGGAACAGGGTTGATGAACTCAAAGTTTATACTGAAGAAGAGTTGGTGGAGATGGCTTTAAAGGAAAGTTTTAAGGTATCTACATGCTGCTTTTCTTTTAACACTTTATTAACCATGATTTATTTCCTTAGAATGAGTGAGAATTTGGCGTATCTAGTGATCAAAAAATCTCTGTAATTGTTTTTGGGGAACTCAGAAAGATTTTCTAATTGCAGGATGTGGAGAATGCTGAGAAATCTTCCCAACCTTTACAAGATTACTCCAATGCAGGGTGAGCAATTTGTGGATTTTTTTGTAAATTTATGAGCCACCTTGTATCTATATATGCCCATTCATACTCTGATTTTTTTCTGCTGGATAATCTTCAGTGTTATTGTGGTATTTCAACTTTTTATTTTCCTTTCAATGAATTATTTTCAGGGGAAATTTGGAAAGGTCTGAAAGAGTGAATACTTCAAATTTTGATTCCTCAATCAGATCTCACTCGGAAACAAATTGTAAAGAGATTGTGATTAAAAAGAAGTCAAGGAAGAGGAAGAAGAAGGAAAATCACTTGATAGTACGCTACCTATCATATTCTACTATGTTTTAACTTCATGTGTCTTGCTACAAGACATATTGAAATGTTTTATATCATTCAATTCTTATTTACATGATTTCATATTTGAAGATGTCAGTTCTTCTTATGTTGGTTGACTATGTTGTCCAGTGCTTCAAATCTGTTTGAATGTCTATAGTTTTAGGAAAGATTGAGTTTTCATGGTTTAAGTCTCATAGGTTTTTCATCATCTGTAGAATCTAGCTGAAAACTGTTCTGGAATTGGTTGATTGTTAGTAGTCTTTGTTTATAAATATGTGGAGTTAAATTTGGTAAAATTTTATATAAAACAACTTAAATATTTTGCTATGTTATGAACACAGTAATCTAGTATTGGTAATATGTAGAATATCTGGCACAACATTTTTTTTCTTTTGTTCTATTCATTCACTGTCCTTGTTTCTACATGAAGTGTTTTATCTACATTATATGTTTTATCTTTGCACTAATCTAATCAGTTAACTATCACTCTGCGTTGTTAGGATAGTTGTATTCAAAAGGTGGAGCGGCTGGCTTCAATAAAACAAAAGCAAGATGAAGACAAAGCTGCAGCAAGACTTCATTCATTCAAGTTTGTGTCATGACTTATGTGAAGAATTTACGCTTAAAGATTTCTCCAATTTTTTCTTATAACCGTCTCTAATTTTTTATGCAGCTCTAGTTGCAAAAGTAACGAACTTGCCATTCCATCTTCAGATAAAATTGAAAGGTTTCAATCCCTCAGGTCTACAAATTTTGCAAAGGTTTGCTCAAAAGATTTCTGCTGTGAGATCGTATTGCAGTTACTCTTTGTTATCCAATCTTAAAGGATCTACTTAGAAAACCCATTTTGTAGCTATTATTTTGATGGCTGAAATCTTATTATTATTCTTTCTTTCTTTCTTCTTCTTTATGAGCAGCCAAGGTCATCGGACATTCAGGAGCATGTACCTGTGCGATATCCTGAAATTGTTCTCTGTGTTGAAGTTTATCATAACATACGAAAATGGGTAAAGGTATAAATTCCACTGTTGTTCTTGGTAAATTTTGTGGGTCTTGGAATTTTTCAGGGGTCAATTGAATCTGCAAGGTTTAGTATATTAATTTTACTCTCAGCAGCTTTGTTAGTTCAATTTGGAGTCTCTTAGGTCTACCTCTGTTCTCAAATTATTACTTGACTTCTTGTGCTTTTTTCTTCTGTTTGGCCTTTTACTGTGCTCTTTTCTGTATACTTTGGTTGACATATGCTCAAATTGTTTGTAGACTCAAGAGTTCTTGGTACTAGGACGACAAACCTTGACTGAATTGAGAGATAAAATTTATTGCTTGACAGACCAAGTGATGCAGAAGGCTGGAGAGCATGATCCTTCCGGATATTTCTTGATAGAAGTATGGGCTCTATTCACTGGCCCCTTTTGATTTCCATGACAAAGACAGTTTTACACTTGTCTAATTAAATTTTGTATCTCTACAGGATGCATTTTACAATGATTTAAGAGATCCCTCTGCCATAGATTATAGCAAACCTATATTTGATTGGCTTAGGAACTCCAAGGATGAAGCTCTTAAAAAATGGGAATGCATCATAAATGGTGAATTACAGCAAAAGCAGAAGGCAATCCTTGGTACTGTGTCAACCTCACATTTGCCTCACTTCAGAGCTTTTGACATGCACACAACATGGTTTCGTGACTTGAGATTTCGACTTGGTGCAGCATATCTCTACTGTCATCAGGTACTGTTTTGGATTGCCATCTGTTAATGCCTTTAAAAGGGGTTTGTTGTTTCTGCTTTATTTGCATCTACTATTATGTCTCAGAATATGGCTTCATAACAATGTATGGCACCCTTACTCTTGTATTTGAACTTTGGATGCAAATACTAATAGCTGTTATTTTGAAGTTTGTGGTTAATCTACTTGCTATTCTTCGTTTTTTTTGCTTAAAAGTTCATGTACTTGGTTCGTTGCAGGGAGACTGCAAGCATACGATAGTAATTAGAGATATGAGATTGATTCATCAGGAGGATATGCAGAATCGAGCAGCTTATCCAATAGTCATATTTCAGCTAAAACCACGTACACAGAAATGCAGTGTTTGTAGGATTTACAGAGCAAAGAAGGTAGCTGTGGATAACAAGTGGGCTCAAGAGAACCCTTGTTATTTCTGTGATTACTGTTATTCCCTTCTTCATTCAGTGGATGGAATTCCACTGTATGAAAATTGTTCAGTGTATGATTATCTCCATGATTAATTACTCGCATAGAAATACTTAACATATTGAAGATAACCTCCATTTGTTATCCATGCTTTTTTTTATGATTAAGATGAGTTGCTACGTTGGCTGTAGTTGCTGTGATTATAACTTGTATGTCATAACTGAAAAAAAGGTTCGATTTTCAAACGGTAATGAAGTAGGAAACAACTCAACCGATTGTATTGTAGTTGTATGGCTGGTGGCTTCTGGAGTTTGGTTTTGGTAAAAACATGAGGCTATCACTGAGTGTTGGGACAATTTTAGGTTGTCTTTTGCAAAATCAATTTGAGTTTACACTTTGGGCTCCTTGCACAAGTAAATGGATTATGGTAGACTGATGGCTAATTCTATGACAGTTTTATCTGGTTTTTATATGCAGTAAAATGCTTCAAATGACTTCAAAGTGGCTGAAAATCTTGTAACTTAGATGACTTCTTTTGGATTTTGCTTTAATCTTGTAGTTTATGAAAAAGAAACAGAATATTTGAAATGATATATATATATGCTTGATAGCACAAGTGATTTTCACAGATGAAATACGTCTTCAATTGTCAATGTTGTCTACAACTGAGTATGCTGAAATATTTTTCAGGCTGTGTCAAGCTAACTGGTTTTCATAGTGGTCCTAGTGACCAAATTTCTGTGCAGAAGATATGAATGTATATGTCTTGAGGGCTTGAGTTGATTCCAATTTCAAAGCCTGTAACCATGCAAATGCTTAGCCCATCTTCTAGCCATGTAAGGGTCGTGGTAATCCCAACTTTCAACACTACTTGGCCTGCCACCAACGATGCTCACATCTGTTCCCGCCGCAGATTCTGTGCTTTCATCGCTTGTTTCACTCTTATCCCCTATACTCACAATGGTTTCCCCTGTTCTCACACATTCATCCACTCCACCCTCAACATAGCTATATTCCACACAAACTCGTTCCCACTCGCCCAAGTCCAGTAATATTCTTCTCTCTTCCCCCCCTCTTAGCTCTCCAAGCCTTATGATCCTGTCTTCTTCCTCAATTCTCAGCTGGATTTCTCTAACAGCGCCTCCCAATAGTCTTGCAAGGAACTCCTCGAATTCATGCATGACAAACCCATTAGAAGTGCCAAAGCCAAATCCTACATGAAACCGATGAACTGGAACGGGCACTTGCATGTTGGTAGTATGATATGTTTGAGTAGGACTATCAGACAAATGCAAGATACATGAATGCGGATTCTTGTGAGCTCGATCCTCAAGTATTTTTGTCCCTTTCTTGAGTCCTTCAATTGGATCCGCTTCCCCCATGTAGAAAAGACGGTCAATCACTTGTAAGGCTGTTCTCTTCCCATAGGATGTCATGCGCCTGAGCGGGAAGACGCGTGCTGCAGCAGATGAATAGGTTACAATTGCCAGACGATCAACAGGTCTGAGGGAGAATACCACTAATGCCATGGATTGCTTGAGAAGTCTAAGGTGTGGTCCATTGGGGCTTGCAACCAATACCAAATCAGTTGCTGGCTGATGTGCCAGTTTTACTGAGAGGTAGGCAGCTCTTGTATTTGAGGGGGTACACATATAAGGAGGCATTTGCCCAGTTGGTGGTTGAAACAATAATGATGAGGAGGAGCTGGTTAGGTGATTATGATGGTGATGATGGTGTGAACTGCGCCCAGCCCCACTCATATGCAGTGATGAATATGCACATGGGTGATGTTGAAAACCACAGGAGTGACCTAGTACTGGTGGTGGGATAGGCACTAGCGAGAAATCAAGTCGAGGAAGATTGGCTGTGTGGTCAGGCTCAATGGGGTCGTCATCATCATAACGAGCTGAGCGCAGGAAAGAACGCCTATGGACCCGGAAAGTGGCAATGGAGTCATCAAGAATGCGAAAAACAGGGTCATTTTGGTTGCAAGCAAGGGTACAAGCTGAAGGGTATAGGTTGCGAGGCAGCTGGGTCCAATGAGCACGGCAAATGGGACAGGTAACACTACCATGGCGGACATTGGAGGAGATGCAGGCAAAATGGAATGCGTGAGAGCATTGAGCTGTGAATATAGCTTGCCCAGGGCTGCTGCCTGTGCTGTAGCTCAAAGCTTCCAGACATATAGCGCACAAGTTCTACCAGAAAAAAGCAAAAAAAAGTATTAATTATTACATTTCAAATAAAAGAAGGTCTATTCCATAGATAAGAAGATTGATGCACTCAATAAAAATGTTACAACATTTCCAAAGGAGAAGTAAACTATAATCTAGCATGGCGAAGTACCCCTTATAGGAAATATGTTTATTGACTGTTCTTCAAGAGCTAAGATTGAGGGTCATCTTATATCAAGTGCATCATTCAAAAACTTTGGTTAAGTTTTATTTTTGAGTTATGTAAATTTGTAGGTACATTAACAAAGGCAAATGTGAATGAGTGGGTGAAAATGGTAGAAAGGGAAGGCAAAAATAATATTTGAAAAATAGAAAAAGAGTTGTTAGAAATCATGTGATGATGATGCGTACCAACAAATGGGGTCTGCAACATAGTGAATTGGATTTGCGTGTCACATGCTAAGCCTTGACTAGTGTTAGAGCCCCACATTGTAGTGTAGATTTGTTGTATGATTAATGAAGAAGCTTTGTGGTGTTTTTTGAAAATATGGCTTCTCTTTATGTTTTGAATTGAATTAGAGTGAATGATGAGCCTCGTCTTGTGTGATTAAAATAATTTTTATGTTTTCCAATGGAAATGAAAGTAGTGGGCACACAACAACAGACAACACAAATAAACATGAGGTCAAATTAGAGAGCCATTGGATTCCAAAAGTAAATGTTAAAATTACAACTGTTTTGATGACTTTTTGTGTTATGCAAATGCAAAGAAGGTTACTTACTGCAACAGCTAAACAATTCTTTTTTTCCCTTTTTTAAAAGGAAAGCTTTTGTTTAAAGGAATAAGGAATTAATGATGGGATGATAGAATTGAAGTACTTACCTTAGCAGTTACGTTGCCATTGTTGATGGTTGATTCAGCTTCCTCCACGGTTGTTTCTTCTGAGAAATTCTTTGCTTTCGTGGGGGACATTGCTGAGGAACCCGAGATCTGTCAGTTTTCACGCATAAACAACAAAAGAGCTGTCATCCACTATCTTCTTCCCAAAAAATTTTGCTTTAATCTTGTAGTTTATGAAAAGAACAGAATATTTGAAATGATATATTATATATGCTTGATAGCACAAGTGATTTTCACAGATGAAATACGTCTTCAATTGTCAATGTTGTCTACAACTGAGTATGCTGAAATATTTTTCAGGCGTGTCAAGCTAACTGGTTTTCATAGTGGTCCTAGTGTTTTTCATCATCTGTAGAATCTAGCTGAAAACTGTTCTGGAATTGTTTGATTGTTAGTAGTCTTTGTTTATAAATATGTGGAGTTAAATTTGGTAAAATTTTATATAAAACAACGTAAATATTTTGCTATGTTATGAACACAGTAATCTAGTATTGGTAATATGTAGAATATCTGGCACAACATTTTTTTTCTTTTGTTCTATTCATTCACTGTCCTTGTTTCTACATGAAGTGTTTTATCTACATTATATGTTTTATCTTTGCACTAATCTAATCAGTTAACTATCACTCTGCGTTGTTAGGATAGTTGTATTCAAAAGGTGGAGCGGCTGGCTTCAATAAAACAAAAGCAAGATGAAGACAAAGCTGCAGCAAGACTTCATTCATTCAAGTTTGTGTCATGACTTATGTGAAGAATTTACGCTTAAAGATTTCTCCAATTTTTTCTTATAACCGTCTCTAATTTTTTATGCAGCTCTAGTTGCAAAAGTAACGAACTTGCCATTCCATCTTCAGATAAAATTGAAAGGTTTCAATCCCTCAGGTCTACAAATTTTGCAAAGGTTTGCTCAAAAGATTTCTGCTGTGAGATCGTATTGCAGTTACTCTTTGTTATCCAATCTTAAAGGATCTACTTAGAAAACCCATTTTGTAGCTATTATTTTGATGGCTGAAATCTTATTATTATTCTTTCTTTCTTTCTTCTTCTTTATGAGCAGCCAAGGTCATCGGACATTCAGGAGCATGTACCTGTGCGATATCCTGAAATTGTTCTCTGTGTTGAAGTTTATCATAACATACGAAAATGGGTAAAGGTATAAATTCCACTGTTGTTCTTGGTAAATTTTGTGGGTCTTGGAATTTTTCAGGGGTCAATTGAATCTGCAAGGTTTAGTATATTAATTTTACTCTCAGCAGCTTTGTTAGTTCAATTTGGAGTCTCTTAGGTCTACCTCTGTTCTCAAATTATTACTTGACTTCTTGTGCTTTTTTCTTCTGTTTGGCCTTTTACTGTGCTCTTTTCTGTATACTTTGGTTGACATATGCTCAAATTGTTTGTAGACTCAAGAGTTCTTGGTACTAGGACGACAAACCTTGACTGAATTGAGAGATAAAATTTATTGCTTGACAGACCAAGTGATGCAGAAGGCTGGAGAGCATGATCCTTCCGGATATTTCTTGATAGAAGTATGGGCTCTATTCACTGGCCCCTTTTGATTTCCATGACAAAGACAGTTTTACACTTGTCTAATTAAATTTTGTATCTCTACAGGATGCATTTTACAATGATTTAAGAGATCCCTCTGCCATAGATTATAGCAAACCTATATTTGATTGGCTTAGGAACTCCAAGGATGAAGCTCTTAAAAAATGGGAATGCATCATAAATGGTGAATTACAGCAAAAGCAGAAGGCAATCCTTGGTACTGTGTCAACCTCACATTTGCCTCACTTCAGAGCTTTTGACATGCACACAACATGGTTTCGTGACTTGAGATTTCGACTTGGTGCAGCATATCTCTACTGTCATCAGGTACTGTTTTGGATTGCCATCTGTTAATGCCTTTAAAAGGGGTTTGTTGTTTCTGCTTTATTTGCATCTACTATTATGTCTCAGAATATGGCTTCATAACAATGTATGGCACCCTTACTCTTGTATTTGAACTTTGGATGCAAATACTAATAGCTGTTATTTTGAAGTTTGTGGTTAATCTACTTGCTATTCTTCGTTTTTTTTGCTTAAAAGTTCATGTACTTGGTTCGTTGCAGGGAGACTGCAAGCATACGATAGTAATTAGAGATATGAGATTGATTCATCAGGAGGATATGCAGAATCGAGCAGCTTATCCAATAGTCATATTTCAGCTAAAACCACGTACACAGAAATGCAGTGTTTGTAGGATTTACAGAGCAAAGAAGGTAGCTGTGGATAACAAGTGGGCTCAAGAGAACCCTTGTTATTTCTGTGATTACTGTTATTCCCTTCTTCATTCAGTGGATGGAATTCCACTGTATGAAAATTGTTCAGTGTATGATTATCTCCATGATTAATTACTCGCATAGAAATACTTAACATATTGAAGATAACCTCCATTTGTTATCCATGCTTTTTTTTATGATTAAGATGAGTTGCTACGTTGGCTGTAGTTGCTGTGATTATAACTTGTATGTCATAACTGAAAAAAAGGTTCGATTTTCAAACGGTAATGAAGTAGGAAACAACTCAACCGATTGTATTGTAGTTGTATGGCTGGTGGCTTCTGGAGTTTGGTTTTGGTAAAAACATGAGGCTATCACTGAGTGTTGGGACAATTTTAGGTTGTCTTTTGCAAAATCAATTTGAGTTTACACTTTGGGCTCCTTGCACAAGTAAATGGATTATGGTAGACTGATGGCTAATTCTATGACAGTTTTATCTGGTTTTTATATGCAGTAAAATGCTTCAAATGACTTCAAAGTGGCTGAAAATCTTGTAACTTAGATGACTTCTTTTGGATTTTGCTTTAATCTTGTAGTTTATGAAAAAGAAACAGAATATTTGAAATGATATATATATATGCTTGATAGCACAAGTGATTTTCACAGATGAAATACGTCTTCAATTGTCAATGTTGTCTACAACTGAGTATGCTGAAATATTTTTCAGGCTGTGTCAAGCTAACTGGTTTTCATAGTGGTCCTAGTGACCAAATTTCTGTGCAGAAGATATGAATGTATATGTCTTGAGGGCTTGAGTTGATTCCAATTTCAAAGCCTGTAACCATGCAAATGCTTAGCCCATCTTCTAGCCATGTAAGGGTCGTGGTAATCCCAACTTTCAACACTACTTGGCCTGCCACCAACGATGCTCACATCTGTTCCCGCCGCAGATTCTGTGCTTTCATCGCTTGTTTCACTCTTATCCCCTATACTCACAATGGTTTCCCCTGTTCTCACACATTCATCCACTCCACCCTCAACATAGCTATATTCCACACAAACTCGTTCCCACTCGCCCAAGTCCAGTAATATTCTTCTCTCTTCCCCCCCTCTTAGCTCTCCAAGCCTTATGATCCTGTCTTCTTCCTCAATTCTCAGCTGGATTTCTCTAACAGCGCCTCCCAATAGTCTTGCAAGGAACTCCTCGAATTCATGCATGACAAACCCATTAGAAGTGCCAAAGCCAAATCCTACATGAAACCGATGAACTGGAACGGGCACTTGCATGTTGGTAGTATGATATGTTCGAGTAGGAGTATCAGACAAATGCAAGATACATGAATGCAGATTCTTGTGAGCTCGATCCTCAAGTATTTTTGTCCCTTTCTTGAGTCCTTCAATTGGATCCGCTTCCCCCATGTAGAAAAGACGGTCAATCACTTGTAAGGCTGTTCTCTTCCCATAGGATGTCATGCGCCTGAGCGGGAAGACGCGTGCTGCAGCAGATGAATAGGTTACAATTGCCAGACGATCAACAGGTCTGAGGGAGAATACCACTAATGCCATGGATTGCTTGAGAAGTCTAAGGTGTGGTCCATTGGGGCTTGCAACCAATACCAAATCAGTTGCTGGCTGATGTGCCAGTTTTACTGAGAGGTAGGCAGCTCTTGTATTTGAGGGGGTACACATATAAGGAGGCATTTGCCCAGTTGGTGGTTGAAACAATAATGATGAGGAGGAGCTGGTTAGGTGATTATGATGGTGATGATGGTGTGAACTGCGCCCAGCCCCACTCATATGCAGTGATGAATATGCACATGGGTGATGTTGAAAACCACAGGAGTGACCTAGTACTGGTGGTGGGATAGGCACTAGCGAGAAATCAAGTCGAGGAAGATTGGCTGTGTGGTCAGGCTCAATGGGGTCGTCATCATCATAACGAGCTGAGCGCAGGAAAGAACGCCTATGGACCCGGAAAGTGGCAATGGAGTCATCAAGAATGCGAAAAACAGGGTCATTTTGGTTGCAAGCAAGGGTACAAGCTGAAGGGTATAGGTTGCGAGGCAGCTGGGTCCAATGAGCACGGCAAATGGGACAGGTAACACTACCATGGCGGACATTGGAGGAGATGCAGGCAAAATGGAATGCGTGAGAGCATTGAGCTGTGAATATAGCTTGCCCAGGGCTGCTGCCTGTGCTGTAGCTCAAAGCTTCCAGACATATAGCGCACAAGTTCTACCAGAAAAAAGCAAAAAAAAGTATTAATTATTACATTTCAAATAAAAGAAGGTCTATTCCATAGATAAGAAGATTGATGCACTCAATAAAAATGTTACAACATTTCCAAAGGAGAAGTAAACTATAATCTAGCATGGCGAAGTACCCCTTATAGGAAATATGTTTATTGACTGTTCTTCAAGAGCTAAGATTGAGGGTCATCTTATATCAAGTGCATCATTCAAAAACTTTGGTTAAGTTTTATTTTTGAGTTATGTAAATTTGTAGGTACATTAACAAAGGCAAATGTGAATGAGTGGGTGAAAATGGTAGAAAGGGAAGGCAAAAATAATATTTGAAAAATAGAAAAAGAGTTGTTAGAAATCATGTGATGATGATGCGTACCAACAAATGGGGTCTGCAACATAGTGAATTGGATTTGCGTGTCACATGCTAAGCCTTGACTAGTGTTAGAGCCCCACATTGTAGTGTAGATTTGTTGTATGATTAATGAAGAAGCTTTGTGGTGTTTTTTGAAAATATGGCTTCTCTTTATGTTTTGAATTGAATTAGAGTGAATGATGAGCCTCGTCTTGTGTGATTAAAATAATTTTTATGTTTTCCAATGGAAATGAAAGTAGTGGGCACACAACAACAGACAACACAAATAAACATGAGGTCAAATTAGAGAGCCATTGGATTCCAAAAGTAAATGTTAAAATTACAACTGTTTTGATGACTTTTTGTGTTATGCAAATGCAAAGAAGGTTACTTACTGCAACAGCTAAACAATTCTTTTTTTCCCTTTTTTAAAAGGAAAGCTTTTGTTTAAAGGAATAAGGAATTAATGATGGGATGATAGAATTGAAGTACTTACCTTAGCAGTTACGTTGCCATTGTTGATGGTTGATTCAGCTTCCTCCACGGTTGTTTCTTCTGAGAAATTCTTTGCTTTCGTGGGGGACATTGCTGAGGAACCCGAGATCTGTCAGTTTTCACACATAAACAACAAAAGAGCTGTCATCCACTATCTTCTTCCCAAAAACCCAAAAAAAAAAACAAAAAAACAAAAAAACGTAGAAAAACTGATACTATTCATTTGACATTTGGTACAAGAAAATAATCAAGAATGGCTTTAACATTTCTGGGTTTCTCTTCTTGTTTACTGTTGATAGATACACAAACAACGGAAATTTTAGTTTATTTGATGACCCTTTAATCTCTGAGCTGAAATTGTAAAGAGTTATTGAGATGAGAAGCCATATCAAATGAATGTAAAAGGGCATTTAAAAAAAACTTAAAAGCTTACAACTCGATCAACAAGAGCAGGAGGACTGCGCCTGGAGAAGGACCCACAAGCAGCTACAACCATTTTCTTGGCTGCTTTTCTCAGCTTTGAAGCCCCCATTATGGCTCTCTTCTTCTTCTAGCTGATTCTTCTTCTTCTGGGTGGTTTTGAAATATACCAAACCAATAAAAGAAGAGGGTGAGGGTGAGAGTGAGCGTGAGAGATAAAAGAGAGAGAGCAGAGCTGAATGGGCAGAGACAGACACACTTCTGCCACTTCTGTAATCTGTCTGTCCAGCCCCTTGTGTTACTTTTTTAGTTTTAGTTCTTCTTTGCTTACACACATTTATAAACACAATCCCTTTCACTCTTTACCCTTTTCTTAACTCTTTAACTCTTTATTATTTTATACCCCCATTTTCAGTAAATACAGACAGTTCTAGTCTTGTTGTTCTTCCCATTAAAAATATATATTTACTCAAAACTACTTTTCCTTTTTGTTAACTTGTGCTGTGAAATTAAAATCTTCTTTGTTCTTTTTCCACTTTCTTGTTTCCTTTTGTTTCTTGTTATTAACACATTTCTGGCGTATTATTAACAGTACATTTAATCGTCAAAACTAAAATAATAAAGTAGTGCAGAGCAGTTTTGTTTCTTTATATTTGTTTGACATAAAACACATATTTCATACACTACAAGATACCCCTTTGACTGCAATCATAAACCCTCATAAATCTTTTCTTTTCTTTTAAATTTAAATCATGTGAAAAACAAGTTATGTGACACCAAATTTACAATGATGGTAAAAGTATACCCATTTGAAATGAAGGGCAGCAACTTAATTCATGGGAATTATACAAAAATCAAAAAAGAAAAGAAAGTACTGAAGTGGGGAGCAAAATGCAGAGCAAGTTAATAATAAATGCAAAATGTAATAAATAGATTGTTGAATTAGTGGGAAGCAATATTGCAGCAGAGTGCAAATTAACAATGGTGGCCCCTGTGACTGTGAAGCTTCAAGGGACCACCTTTCCTCACCCTCCCTCCACGTCCCACCTTATTATTATTCATTGTTTTTGGTTCACAGTGGAACAACACAACACCAAGCTCCTCCTTTCTCTTTCTGTGCTTTTTTTAAAGACATTGTGCGGTTGCCATTTTATGCTTTCATCAACCCTTTTTTCTTCTTCTTCTTATTTATATACATTTCCTTTCTACATATATATGAATCATAGTGACATAGAGACAAACCATAAAAAAAAAAAAAAAATCAACCCACCTCAAAATGTATTCAAAATGAGAATAACTCTAATAAGAAATCGAACCCACATTAAAATATATTCGAGTTTACTCTATCTACCAACTCTACATCCACCACTACTACGCACCTAATTACACAACCTTTTGCTATTTCATTAATGGTGGTTCTACTTTGTTGGCTATCAACTACAAGATTGTTCAAGTTTAATCCTTAATGAATAATTAGGAAAACATACAAAAAGAAAGAAATTTTGGTACTTGTTAATGAACAATTGGGACCATTGTGAATAGTATACTATATATTGTATAAAGGAGATCAGAGATCATATCATGTTAAAAAGCAAAAGTTAGAAGTGGGGAAAAAGACCGTTAGATTTGAATTTGAAGTTTATATGACTATGATGGCTTCTGTTCTTTCATCTTTGTCTTTTAATCCAAAGCAACTACTCCACCACCTTGGCGCCAGATTATACTTTCCTTCAACCACCTGCTTTCCAAATGCCTAACTCACACACAATGCTTTTAATCAACTGTAAACTAATGTATATGGAAACTGGCTAGATTCATATTCAATAATTAAACTAGGCTTATACATGATTCCAAACTAATTATTGTTTTCGGGTTTTATGTCAGTGTTTTCATCCATAACGATAGCTAATGTACGATTCTCATGAATAGTGCAGTATAAAATTTTAGTGGTTTAGGTTGGCTGAACCGNTATGATGGCTTCTGTTCTTTCATCTTTGTCTTTTAATCCAAAGCAACTACTCCACCACCTTGGCGCCAGATTATACTTTCCTTCAACCACCTGCTTTCCAAATGCCTAACTCACACACAATGCTTTTAATCAACTTGTGAACTAATGTATATGGAAACTGGCTAGATTCATATTCAATAATTAAACTAGGCTTATTCATGATTCCAAACTAATTATTGTTTTCGGGTTTTATGTCAGTGTTTTCATCCATAACGATAGCTAATGTACGATTCTCATGAATAGTGCAGTATAAAATTTTAGTGGTTTAGGTTGGCTGAAACGAACCTGATTTTTAATGTTGATAGAACTTGATGAATAGAATTATTAAGAGAGTTCATTAGACTGACACAACGCAATACAACTAAGCTTTACCTACCAATTAAAAATATCTATGAAACAGGGAACTAGACAAAATATTAGTTTTAAGACAAACACTGATTACTGATATTGTCTATATTTAAGCACCCATCAATTCAGTTTCCAATCAAATTAGAACGAATGGCTATTAATTATCTGGGTGGTTGAGCTTACATTGAATCCGTGATAATCCCTCTGGTCTGTAGGGACATGGTTAATTACAAAATGATCTTGAAGTTTTCTCATTAAATGTGGTAGCACCCTCAGGGAATGTGTTTTGTTGAAGATGTTTAAAATGAAGTTATTCAAAGTTTGGAAGGAGAACAGTTCCCTAGAAATGAGAAAAAGGACTTGTGGTAATATAAATAAAGGATGCTACTAGCAGTATTGGGACCTAAAAGAAAGAGAATCTATATATCTTTAGTGGCTGACATATGGGAAGGCTTTGAACGATCTATCTTTGCAACCACACCCATCACATTCACACCCACATTAAAAGAAGGAAAAGAGGAAAGCTTCCTGCTGTCTGCACTACCTTCAATTTATTGCTATGCTAGCCTACAAAGCAGAAATATGTTGTTTTATTGCTTTCATAAGGTTGGCCACTTGACCAAGTCAATCCTGTGAAAGGGCTTTTTGTCTCTCTACTTATTTTATTCATTCATTCTCTATAATTAATTTCTATCTTTATTCTTTTCCTCTTGTTATTTTTTCCTCCAATCAATCATCTTCTTTTTGTATCTGTTTTTGATCAAAGATTCCTTTAGTAATTCATTTTTGAGCTTTGGCATCTTCTAATATCTTGCCAATGAAACACAACTTTGAGAACCCAGATAAAAAAAAAACTCTAAAACAAGTTTCAAAATTTATCTCTCATTTCCTAGTGCTCTCAATTCAAACTGAAAGTTCAATTCTTGGCTTCTATGTTCAAAAAGAGATCACATTTGCAGCTTTAAGACAATGATTGGCTAATTTGAAAAACTTGAATTACTAGAACATGTTACTTTACACAACCTATATAGAAATCAATTTTCTTTCTGGTCAGCAAAGCAATAAAATAATCGGATTAACATTCAAGGTGCACAGACTTCCACTTTTAAGACCAAATCATAAATGGAATATGTGCCAGTGAGCAAAATACAAACCTCAGAATGTATGGCTTTCAAGATTTTCTTGAATATTCTATTAACCTCTTTATGAATAAAATGAATTACGAGTGACTCACAATTTGCTTTGGTACTTTGAGAACTATACCGATAAAGATGGTTTCTCTTGTTTATAACCCATGTCCCTCATTGTGGGTAACAGAGTCTGCCGCAGAAGTCCATAAATCTCCTCAACCTGGGGATGAGACCTGTCCCCCACAAAGAATAGATGACTCTTGCCTTTTACTTCAATTTGACTGAAACCAGGAACTTTCTTCACATTCTTCTCCTTCATCTTTTTCCTTACTTTCGCAAACTCATCCCATTCCCCACATGCTGCGTATACATTAGCCAATAGAATGTATGAGCCAGAGCTAGTTGGCTCCAGCTCTATTAGTTTCTCCCCAATTTCATCTGCTATTCTTACATTCCCGTGTAACCTGCATGCACCAAGCAATGCCCCCAAAACAGCAACATCACACTCATCAGGAGGCATTTGGCAAACAACCTTCATGGCCTCCTCCACTTGCCCTGCTCGACCTAGGATGTCCACGAGACATGAATAATGCTCGGCCCTTGGTTTCAAACCATAAGCATGACTCATAGAATTAAAAAGCTTTTGACCTTTCTCTACAAGACCAACATGACTACAACCTGATAAGACTCCAATAAATGTAATTTCATCTGGCTTGACACCTGCCTTTAGCATGCGTACAAAGGCAGGTAAAACGTGGTAACTATACCCATGGTTTGAATATGCTAATATCATGGCAGTCCATGACACAACATCCTTGACATCAAGATATTCAAATGCAAGCCTAGCAGAGTTGACATCACCAATTCTAGAATACATAGTAACAAGAGCATTTGACAGCGAGGTCTCATGATCAAAACCAAGATGAATAGCTAGTGCATGAGCTTGGGTGAGCTCTAGCATGCCCTGGCAAGAGGTTAATACGCTAGTGATAGTAGTCTCGTCAGGCATAAACCTAGAATGAAGCATTAGGTTTAACAGCTTTAAAGCTTCACCCTCCAGTCCATTTCTTGCATACCCATCAATCATCACATTCCAAGTCGCAATATTTCTTTGTGGCATCAAAGTGAAAATCTCACTAGCTTGAACCATGTCCCCTTCATCAACATATGCTGTGATCATTGCATTCCAAGCTACGATGTCTTTCTTAGGCATCTGATTGAAGTAATCCCTGGCAAGTTTCGCCATCCCATTTCTTGCCAAACCAGTAACCATAGTTGTCCATGAGACTGCATTCTTTTGAGGCATTAAGTTAAAAAATTGAAAAGCTTCATCAACTCTTTTAGCATTTAGACAACCTGAAACCATAATGTTCCACGAATATAAATTCTTTTCAGGCATTTTATGGAAGAGGTTAAGAGCTTCATTGATTTGGGCATTGTCAATATAAGACTTGATCATTGCCGTCCAGGCTACAACATTTCTCTCAGGCATCTGGTCAAAAATATCACGAGCTTGATCAATCAAACCATTGTGCGCATAACCCAAAACCACAGTTGTCCATGAGACCACATTTTTCTCCGGCATTTGATCAAAAAGCCTACGGCCTTCATCAACTTGTCCCACTTTAAAATACCCCGAAATCAAACTAGTCCATGAGTAAACATTCCTCTCCAACATCTGATCAAATATTTTCCTCGCATCATCTACTCGACCCACCTTAACATACCCACTGATCATTGCGGATTCAGCAACAATGTTTATTTCAGGCATTTCCAGAAAGAGTTTTTCGGCTTTGGGCAAACAATTGTTTTTTAAATAGACGGTGATCATGGAAGCATAAGAAACAGTATCTCTTTGACGCATTTCATCAAACAACTTCCTTGCTTCTTTGACTTGACCAGTACGACCTAGGTGACAAATCTTGTTATTGTAATTGTAAACATCCCAACTAGTTGGCCTCACCCTCGTACTTGAGACTTTTTGTTTTGTGTGAGAAGAGAAAGAGAAGGAAAGGTTTGAACGTGCCAGATAAGAAAATAAGGCGGGAAACTTTGAAAGATGGCGACGGTAACGAAAAAGTGACATGATTAAAATGAGGATTGTGTTCCATGCTAGAGAACCATCACCAGGGTTTATATGATAAAATCACACTGGATTTCAGGGAAGAGAAAAACCAAAAATGGTCAAGTTCCTGACCAACCTTCTTAGTTTATTTTCAACTAATGCAATGTCGGTTCCCCAATTTATCTGCTTGGACTCATAGGGCAAATAAAATGATAATTAATTAAGCCTTGTATAAGCGTAACTTTCCAAACAATAAGGTTTTGAGCTACTGTTTGGCCATGCATAGATATTAACCATTGACTTACAATAAGGTTTTGAGCTACTGTTTTCCAACTTCTTCAGAGGTAATGAGGAAGAGGATTCAGCCAATCTATAAAAATGCTGGAGCCAAGGTATTTTTGTTATTTCTATTCTTTTTTACGGGGTACAGCCCTTTTGCTATGAAAAATTCTACTAATAACCATTATTATATTGTCATAATTACTTTTCTTTTGTTCTGACTTAATGTTTGAATGACTTAATTCTATTTATTTCTCATCAGTTGGATGCTACGAATGATGACTGTTTGAAAAATTATTTTAGTCGACTTCCAGATGATATTGTTGTTAAAATTATCTCTCGCTTAAGTAATGTTAAAGAAGCTTGAAAGGACTAGTGTTCTTTCAAGAAGATGGAAATGTATGTGGAGTTTTAGCACTACCCTTAATTTTGATGCAACAGAGATGCTGTTGTATCTTTATCAAAATCCAAATAAATTAGAAGAGGAAAGGTCAAAGTACATCAGCTGCGTGAATAAAGTCTTAGACTTGATGGAGACTCCAGCATATATCTCTTCAGGATAGGCTTTGATTTGGGAAATTCTCATGAAAGTGTCATCAATAATTGGATTTACAGAGCCATGGGAAAGGAAGTTAAAGAGTTTGAATTGAACTTGAGTCCTTATGGGGGCTCAGGATATCATGCCACCCACTACACATTCTCACATGAGTGTTTCAACATCCTCCTCAGATGTAGTAATTATTTATCTAGTGTCAAGTCTCTAAAATCTCTGTGTTTGGAAGTTATGAACATTACCCAAGAGATTGTTGAGTTCTTTATTTACAACTGCCCATTTCTGGACCAGTTACGAGTGGCCTACTCAAATTTATCGAGGAGGGTTGTTGGTTCATCTACCCAATTGAAGCACTTTGACATTCACAAATGCGACTTGATTGAAGAAGTTGAAATTTCTGACCCCAGTCTTTTATCATTTAAATATATTGGAAACGAAATCAAGTTGCATGTTGACAATGTCCCTTTGCTTCTTAATGTATCCATGGGTAGTGGGTGGTGGCCTTGGCCTTGGGTTCCAATAAGGAATATTATTAGCCCCATTTTAAGCTTTCTCCCTCAATTGAAAAAGGTCAGTATATTAAATTCTAAATTGTTGGAGGTGTATGTTAACGTAAGTACTTTTTTAATGTATTTTTTTTGTTCTCTTAAATTCAGGACAGTATGCATTTCTCAAGGGAATATGCTTTTACTAAATTGAGGCACTTGACATTTGGGGTGACTGTGGGAGCTGGTAGTGAAAGCCTTGTTGGTCTGGTTTCTAGCATGTTTTGCATAAGTTGACATTGAAGGTAAATGTTTTACTAATAGCATCAATCACTTATATGTTTCTAACAATTATCTGATCATGATACAGCTTCTTGCTGATATAGAAATGGTGTTTGTTTTTGAATAATATATTAATGGTGCAGTTGGGATGTATACAACATAGCAGAAGAAAAAAGGTAGAGACCTTTCCAAAATGCTCTCATGGACACCTCAAGGTGGTTGATCTTGAAACTGCCTTCTACTTATTTGAAAATGCTACTCTGCTTCATAAAATGATTGTTCAAATTATTAGCCCTTACATACCCGGAGCCGATTTCGACATGGGCAGCAAGCAAGGGGCCAGAGAAGGCACCAAGAAATTGGAGAAACATTTACCTGATCAACTTGGTACAAACGCATCATGTGTGTTGCAATTCTGATCATCAGTCCATGGATGAAGACCAACAGTTTTATATATGCCACTTCAAGAAGTTACCCCACTCACCATTTATTACCAATTAGCTATGTACAAATCCAAATGTGGGACGACTTGGTTACTGTCGATCAAACAAACATGTCAATGTTACCATAATTATATTATAATGTAAACGTACCTTTCTAAACAAGCGAATGTTATAATGATAATGGCGTCATTGATTTGCACAGATAAGCTCATCCAGACGGCAGTTGACTTATTGCAGCAATTGGATCATTGTATTTCCCATCTTCTTCATCACTAACTTTAGTGTGCATAAATTTCGCGTTATTGAAGAATCTTCAAGGGTAACTTGATCATGAAGGAGAGAACTTTGTATACCTTTTCAAATACCCAGATGAAGGTAATACTCTTTTTCTTTTTCCATTGTTTTGGGTTATTATTGATGTTCTTTTTTACTTCTTTATTAGCTCGATACTAAGAACAAAGGTATTTTGGATTTGGAGGATTGGGTGAGTCAACTCCCAGATGATATTCTTGTTAACGTTATATCTCGCCTAACTGTTAATGAAACTGCAAGGACTAGTGTTCTTTCCAGTAGATGGAAATGTTTGTGGACTTGCAGCCCCACTCTGAATTTTGAAGATCCTCAAAAGCTGTTATATGTTTATAATCTTCGAAGAGCATCAGATGAAGAAAGGTGTAAGTACATAGGTTGGGTAAACAGAGTCTTGGAATTGCGTGCAGACTCAAATATAAACGAGTTTAGAATACGTTTTGATCTGAAAGATTTACATAAAAGTGCCATTAATCATTGGATTTACACCGCCATAGACAAGGGTGTTAAAAAGCTTGAGTTGAACTTGAAGCCATATAATGAAGGAGTATCATATATAGACCAATACACGTTCTCAGAAAAGTTTTTCAACAAACTCAAAACCATTTCTCATTTTTTATCAAGTGTTAATGCTCTAAGATCTCTGCGTTTAGAAGCTGTGAACATTACCAAAGAAATTCTTGAGTTTTTCATTTACAACTGCCCATTTCTGGAACAATTACTTGTGGCATACTCTTCAACTTTATCAAGCTTAAAGGTTGTTGGTTCCTCAATCCAACTCAAGTCCCTAGACATCCAGTGTTGCCACTTACTTGAAGAGATTGAAATTTCTGCTCCAAGTCTTGTATCATTTAAATACGTTGGAGGGGAGATCAAATTACATCTTACCAATGTTCCCCAACTTGTTGACGTATGGATTGGTGGTTCGGCTTTTTGTGTGGCTCGAATAAGGAATCTTATGTACTCAATAAAGAGCATTCTCCCTCAGCTCAAAACTCTGGACTTGCAGAAATACCGGTCGACCATGGTAATTAGTAATTAACTAAATTTAAAGTTTTGTGTTTCAATATTATATAATTATTAACTCTTCTTTTATTGTTTGGTTTTCAGGAGAGTATTCATGATTTCTTACCTTGTACCTTGCCTAAACTAAGGCAATTAACAATTGAGATTTTTGTTGGAAGTTCTGATCGAAGCCTGATTGGGTTGGTTTCTCACACAATGAACGCATGTCCTTATCTGCATAAACTAACATTGAAGGTAATGGAATTGTATCACCTAATTAACTATTTAATTTATAGCATCATATAATAGTAATCTGACCTACTTCTGCACTTGAAAATGGAATGCAGTTTCTACTTGTCCATTTTAGCCGAAGAAAAGACATATATCGGTATGAGAAACGGCCTCATCAACATCTAAAGGTGGTGGAATTGGTAGGGTTTTGTGGATTTCCAGTGGAGCTTGAACTCGCCATCAACTTACTTGAAAACGCCACACTACTTGAAAGAATGATAGTTGAACTTCCTTCTGCAGCAACATGGTCGGAGAGAATTAGAGAATGCGCCGGAGAGAGTACAAAGATGCTAACGGATTATATACCTCCAGGGGTTGACCTTGTAACTCGTTAACTTAATTAAGTCAAAGTTAATGTTAATTTTCAGATTCAAGTTTATTTGTACCTACTTAAATCCATTAAACTCGTTTCAAAGACATTGATGATTATTGATTGAAGGTGCATGCATGTTAAATATGAGGCGGCTGATTAAATTAATCTTGCAAAATCAAAATCGGATTCTCTAGCTACATATGGGTCCACAAAATTTGGTGCCTAAGATGAATCCAAAATCAACTACCATTAAAGTCGATGATAACAATCACGAGACTCTCTGTATCACTTTGTATTTTCAGTTGGATCTTTCTTTTACTGAGCGCCCGCTGTTTAACTTTCATCAACACAAATAACCCCAATTAACATCACCATTAAAGAAGAAAACTAGAAATTAAGCGTCAGGACAATTAATTTATTTCATTGCCATGTGTAACATAAAGATTGAAGATGAAGTTAAGTAGTTACAAATGATTTGGAGATGGCAATACATATTTCAGAAAGATGGTTAAGCTCCTTGGTTTTGGAAGTCAAAGGCGGATAATGAGTTTGACAGTGAGCAGCAGCCTTTGCTGTATCATTTGCTAAACCAGGCAGGGTGAAAAAAGTCTCCGAGTCCAAGTCGTTGAAGGCGGATTGCAGAGCGTTAATTGCCTTCTTATAATCAGACTGACAGGTTTGGAGACTGTCACGGTCGTGGACGGTGGTGGCGTTCTTGAGCAGCTTAGTTATGCGGTCTTGAGTGGTGGTGGCGTTGACATAGGCTAAGCCAAACGAGACGTAAGCGAGACTGTACCTATCGGCATCTGGGGTTCGTGGGTCGGTGTAGAGAGCTTCAACGCAGAAGGTGTAGTTGGATGTCTGATTGCAGACTTGAACAACTAGCTTTGTGGTGTTAATAGTGGCAGAATCATGGTGATCTGCTTGTGAAATCAAGGAGAATATGAAGATGAAGGAAAGGATGGAGAGTAACCGATGGAAGTTGAGCATTTTCGGATTTTTAGAAAGTATTAGCCAGTCATCCAAATGGATATATAACATCAACTTACTTTAAAAGGGGAAGGTAAAAAATGTGAAAGGTAGAAGACTATTAATACACCCAGTTGTCGTTTCAAATGCCTTGATCAATATTATCATCCTTTAATCAAACGTGTTAAAGAATTTATTGACGAAACGTATAGTAATGACTTAAAGTTATGAAATTAAAGAGGTCCACATTTTGTCCCACCTGATGCTTTGGTTTACCCTTCCAATGGCCGACAATGAATCACAGGAACAACAGTGGTGAATGTGTCAACTCCCAGATGATATTCTTGTTAACTTTATATCTCGCCTAACTGTTAATGAAGCTGCAAGGACTAGTGTTCTTTCCAGTAGATGGAAATGTTTGTGGACTTGCAGCACCACTCTGAATTTTGAAGACCCGCAAAAGCCGTTATATGTTTATAATCTTCGAAGAGCATCAGATGAAGAAAGGTGTAAGTACATAGGTTGGGTAAATAGAGTCTTGGAATTGCGTGCAGACTCAAATATAAACGAGTTTAGAATACGTTTTGATCTGAAAGATTTACATAAAAGTGCCATTAATCATTGGATTTACACCGCCATAGACAAGGGTGTTAAAAAGCTTGAGTTGAACTTGAAGCCATATAATGAAGGAGTATCATATATAGACCAATACACGTTCTCAGAAAAGTTTTTCAACAAACTCAAAACCATTACTCATTTTTTATCAAGTGTTAATGCTCTAAGATCTCTGCGTTTAGAAGCTGTGAACATTACCAAAGAAATTCTTGAGTTTTTCATTTACAACTGCCCATTTCTGGAACAATTACTTGTGGCATACTCTTCAACTTTATCAAGCTTAAAGGTTGTTGGTTCCTCAATCCAACTCAAGTCCCTAGACATCCAGTGTTGCCACTTACTTGAAGAGATTGAAATTTCTGCTCCAAGTCTTGTATCATTTAAATACGTTGGAGGGGAGATCAAATTACATCTTACCAATGTTCCCCAACTTGTTGACGTATGGATTGGTGGTTCGGCTTTTTGTGTGGCTCGAATAAGGAATCTTATGTACTCAATAAAGAGCATTCTCCCTCAGCTCAAAACTCTGGACTTGCAGAAATACCGGTCGACCATGGTAATTAGTAATTAACTAAATTTAAAGTTTTGTGTTTCAATATTATATAATTATTAACTCTTCTTTTATTGTTTGGTTTTCAGGAGAGTATTCATGATTTCTTACCTTGTACCTTGCCTAAACTAAGGCAATTAACAATTGAGATTTTTGTTGGAAGTTCTGATCGAAGCCTGATTGGGTTGGTTTCTCACACAATGAACGCATGTCCTTATCTGCATAAACTAACATTGAAGGTAATGGAATTGTATCACCTAATTAACTATTTAATTTATAGCATCATATAATAGTAATCTGACCTACTTCTGCACTTGAAAATGGAATGCAGTTTCTACTTGTCCATTTTAGCCGAAGAAAAGACATATATCGGTATGAGAAACGGCCTCATCAACATCTAAAGGTGGTGGAATTGGTAGGGTTTTGTGGATTTCCAGTGGAGCTTGAACTCGCCATCAACTTACTTGAAAACGCCACACTACTTGAAAGAATGATAGTTGAACTTCCTTCTGCAGCAACATGGTCGGAGAGAATTAGAGAATGCGCCGGAGAGAGTACAAAGATGCTAACGGATTATATACCTCCAGGGGTTGACCTTGTAACTCGTTAACTTAATTAAGTCAAAGTTAATGTTAATTTTCAGATTCAAGTTTATTTGTACCTACTTAAATCCATTAAACTCGTTTCAAAGACATTGATGATTATTGATTGAAGGTGCATGCATGTTAAATATGAGGCGGCTGATTAAATTAATCTTGCAAAATCAAAATCGGATTCTCTAGCTACATATGGGTCCACAAAATTTGGTGCCTAAGATGAATCCAAAATCAACTACCATTAAAGTCGATGATAACAATCACGAGACTCTCTGTATCACTTTGTATTTTCAGTTGGATCTTTCTTTTACTGAGCGCCCGCTGTTTAACTTTCATCAACACAAATAACCCCAATTAACATCACCATTAAAGAAGAAAACTAGAAATTAAGCGTCAGGACAATTAATTTATTTCATTGCCATGTGTAACATAAAGATTGAAGATGAAGTTAAGTAGTTACAAATGATTTGGAGATGGCAATACATATTTCAGAAAGATGGTTAAGCTCCTTGGTTTTGGAAGTCAAAGGCGGATAATGAGTTTGACAGTGAGCAGCAGCCTTTGCTGTATCATTTGCTAAACCAGGCAGGGTGAAAAAAGTCTCCGAGTCCAAGTCGTTGAAGGCGGATTGCAGAGCGTTAATTGCCTTCTTATAATCAGACTGACAGGTTTGGAGACTGTCACGGTCGTGGACGGTGGTGGCGTTCTTGAGCAGCTTAGTTATGCGGTCTTGAGTGGTGGTGGCGTTGACATAGGCTAAGCCAAACGAGACGTAAGCGAGACTGTACCTATCGGCATCTGGGGTTCGTGGGTCGGTGTAGAGAGCTTCAACGCAGAAGGTGTAGTTGGATGTCTGATTGCAGACTTGAACAACTAGCTTTGTGGTGTTAATAGTGGCAGAATCATGGTGATCTGCTTGTGAAATCAAGGAGAATATGAAGATGAAGGAAAGGATGGAGAGTAACCGATGGAAGTTGAGCATTTTCGGATTTTTAGAAAGTATTAGCCAGTCATCCAAATGGATATATAACATCAACTTACTTTAAAAGGGGAAGGTAAAAAATGTGAAAGGTAGAAGACTATTAATACACCCAGTTGTCGTTTCAAATGCCTTGATCAATATTATCATCCTTTAATCAAACGTGTTAAAGAATTTATTGACGAAACGTATAGTAATGACTTAAAGTTATGAAATTAAAGAGGTCCACATTTTGTCCCACCTGATGCTTTGGTTTACCCTTCCAATGGCCGACAATGAATCACAGGAACAACAGTGGTGAATGCGAGATACAAGGGTGTATATATATATATATATACATCGGTGAACCTCCTGACTCTTCTTTCCTTTTCAATGCATCGGTAATACACTAGAAACCACCAATGACCTCTAGCTTTTCTCTTGCCCGATCAAGTAGTTTAGAATTTCTGGAGTTGAAGAACATGTTCCCATATGTTTATGATATTGAAGAAACTGCTGAATCTTAAGGTGCTGGAGTTGTTGCCAATTGCCGTTTGTGGAAAAATATTGGTTTGCTGTTGCAGACATCATCAAAATCAAGCTTGATGATTGAAACTGCATGACTTAAGAGTTCATAAGGAACAATTCCAAGTCTTCGGAGGTTGATAACATCATAGATCAAAGTAGTATATTACATAATGAAGATGATAAGTAATTTTATTCAACATGATTACGCAACATAGACTATTACCTGTACCTGTTTCTACATGGCATCTGTTTACTGTTTGAAACATTTAAACACAAATTTCAGAAAGTACATACAACCACATCTGAGAATCACTCCTTGTTCCTCTTCATCTTACTCTTATCTTTTTATCTAGTTAAGTTACTGTAATTTTGTGCATCTACTACTTCTGAATCTTCAAAGCAAAGCCACCTCAGATTTGCTTCTGCCACATACTGATACTTTGACAGCTGTCATTAAATCTGTTCAAAGCTTAAAAAAATGGAGGATAAAAGACTTGAGCACTTGAATGACTTGATCATGTAGACATTTGACTACGTAACAGGAAGAAACATGATTGATTTTAAGGAAAGAAAGGATATTTAAATAAAATAAACATAAAAATCCATAAAATCAAGGGGAACTAATGGGAATCCCCTGACTCACGTGAAAGAAAGAAAGTGAAAGTTTGAAACCAAAGCTGTCGATGAAAGCTAACATCAGCTTAAGACTTCAAATACAAGCCATGAATGAGTATATGCCAATGCCAGTTGCCAAGTTAGATTACCAAAATTCTGAACTGGGGCCAGGATATTGCGGTGTGGTGGGACAAAGCAATGAGAATGGTGGGCAAAGCTGACCTGAGCAGCCCCACCAACAAGTGAATGCTATTACGTGACCACCATAACGTTATACTCAAACCTAACTGTACCCTTATGCAAACAGCCAACAACAGCCTGTACAATTTTATGTGCAATTAATATATAATATTAGCTAGCCCAGCACTATTCTATTCACAACTGAACTACTTTCTCCCTCATTCCTCAACCAATCAAACCAACCCACATGTGAACTACCCGGAACATGTTATTTTATGAGATAAAAGTAACATTCCACCACACTGAAATCAACTGGGCCAAGAACAAAAAGATGCAAAAATCTGTATGTTACATGATTAGGTGCTCAAATATCTCATTCATTCATCTCTTCCCAGTGACAACTAAACAAATACAACCATCTCTATCATATCAATACATTCATATAATGTCTTCCCACCCCATTAATTGCAATTCATAAGCCAAGAGCAGTAAATTTGCAGCCATCACATGTCAACAAATTTCACTGAACTCAAAACTCAGCTGATATTCACAAAAAGAAACTTCAAATACTAAGGGCTTCAATGTTGCTTAAGCAAAGGTGCACAAATTATTATACATGAACTTGATCTCGATAAAATGGCGTACACTAATGATGAGCCCCAAAATTTTTTTTTAGATCGAAGTTTAGTAAATGTATATGTTTCGACGTATAAACGATGGCTACGGTTTTTTATTTGTATAAAGTACGTAACACCGAGATTTAGATGTTACGGGGCTTTTTTTTTTTAATACAATAAAAAATCAAAATGTATACAGAAAAGAATAAAACCTGGGAGCTTATACTTTCAAACAAGAGCACCTAAATGAGAGAGGAAGACCTATAAAAATCTATGGCCAACATGGGTAATTTAGAGAAAACTTTGAGGAAACTGTGATGCTCATTCTATGGATTGATGTTGCACTCTCGCAAATATTGATGATCGTAATCTACATACTTCGCCCAGTAGTTTCGGTATTTTGGTATACCTATCTCAAGCCACGGTTTCATGTTCCCATTATAGTGTACAACAGCCGCTCTTTCAATATCCCTCTGGTTGACACTGGGATTGTAGCCAAGGCCAAGCACATGCCAATTCCGATCAAGGGGATATGTGCGTTTCCAAAATGTTATAAGACCAGGAGGGAGTGTTCCCAATTTCCACAACTGTCTGTCATGATTCTGTAAAAAGAAATTGAAATAAGACAACAGTTCCAGTAAAGTCTTCAAGCATAACAGTGATCAAATAATGGACTTTGAATGTGTATTCGATGCAACCATCACAAATGAATGAATGCACATCCATAAACTGCCCAAAACACAAACATAAAAAAGAAAAGCCAAAAAAAAAAAAAATAATAATAATAATAATAAAAGGAACAATCAATGCCTACCAACTAATAGAAATTCAAGGTTGGATATCCAGGAAATTGACCTATTTGTGCAAGAAAATGTAACTAAGTTTATGATGCTGATGAGAACCAAATACTTTTCATTGCTAACAGCTCTCAATGCTTGATTGCATTTCTATTTAACAACAGTGACTACAGATGTTGAGAGGTCCCTAAATAGCATTGCAAAGGCCTAAGGGAAAACACAATAATCCAGGTATGCATGTAGCTCCTTACAAGTCTTCTAAGTATAAAATATATTAACAGGATAAACACAAATTGTTAAATACCAAGTTTGAACATTTACCATCGATTAAATTCTTAAGAATCCCACAACGAAGACATAAAAACCAAGGTTCGAAATACATGTTTCAAATTTCAAATTTCCAATTTCATGCCACTTCTGCTCATCATTTAATCAAATATCTAAAGCACATTGCTTACCAGCTTCTGCCATGTGTGATAAACTTCTGTAATGTTCTGCCTCCTCCATTCGTCCAAATCAAAGATATTCATTCCATATGCCCATCCACAAGCACGGGGTTCAAAATTCTTTGAAATAAGAGGATTTGAGAAGTTGAGATATCTGTCAAACCGATGAAAGGTTTCTCCACAAGTCTCTACAGCACCATTGACATTACCCTTCAAATCAATAGACCACAGTCCACTAAGATCCTTTTTAACTACTATATCGTCATCTAAGAACAGCACCTTGTTGAGCTTTGGGAAGATCTCAGGTAGGTAAAAGCGAAGATGGTTCAAGATGGACAAGTATTTTGGGTTCCGGAACTTCAAATTTGCATCAGAATTTGCCCGATGTGTCCTGAAGTAATAGTCAATCATGGCTTGAGAAGCCAACTGTTTGAGAACTGGACTGTAACTTGCATTCAACCATGTAAATTCTTCAATGTTCTGAACCTGAATAGTAGCTCTGCCTGGTGGATTTACTAGAAACCACATTCTCATGGCCGCATAATTAAGCCTATCAGTAACAATGTGGAAAACATGGTTTCCAGGATGCTGCATAGAATACCATGCAATGAGGTAAGTAACACATGTCAACCGAAAGCAAAAGGTTTTAAATAAAGAGAGAGTAACTTGATTAATGCTCCAAACCATTTTTTCCAAGAAAAAGAAAAGGAAAAAGAAAAATGGTGTTATCAGAACATTGATTCTCATTTTTTTTTTTTATATTTGCTGTCTTTCTAGGCAACTCATGGGAGAGTTAAGTGTGGCCTCTAAAGAAGAATGTATTTATTACCTTAGCGTTGGTAATGGTAGAGTTTACCACAACAGCTGCTGCCAATACATTGTCTGAGAAAAGGGCATAATGGAACAACCGGGGATCTTCTAATTTTCCTTGATTTGGAAATTGCTGTTGAGAAGAATTTAATGTATAGTACTCGGTTGTAAGGCGTAAGGGAAGGCAATGAAGGCCTTTGGGAAGTGTTTTTGCTGTTAACTGAGTCAAAAACAAAGCCTGCTTCTTGTGTACACGGAGCTGCTCCTCTGTTGAGTGGAGCATAGCCCTAAGCTTCTTTACAACCACAGCACAGTCATCTTGAATCTGCTTTCCCTTGGCCAAGGATTGTTCCATTGCCTTCAATTTCTCGTAGGCACTGCATCAACAAATATCAGATTTAGTGATAAAAGCAAATGGAAGAACAACAGTCCAGTAAGGATTTGAATGATTTAAACTTTTAAGATGTTACAAGGTTGCAAGTCAAACAAAGAACCCAATAATACGAAAGACAAAAAACAGACTTCAATCAGGCAGAAAAGTAAGATGACTTACGCCTTTGGCAGATCAGAATCTTTGGTTGCATCCCCAAGAGAACGTTGAACTTCTTTAATCCGCAGTCGGAGCTCCCTTATAAAGTTGGGATTGTTCCTTGTGGCTGGAAGTGAAAGATACACTTTTGCCCTGATGAGCTGATCTTTAAGCTGACGTACCCGAGCATCTGGCACAACTGTTTTTTCAATCCGTTTCCCATTGTTGATGTTTATGGGTTCTTTCTTACCGATGTTGCCTGAGTTTTGAGAGGATTCTTGTTTTTGCTGTGCCTCCTATTTGCAGAAAACCAAAAGAAATAAAATATGAAAAACACCAAAAGTAGGATCCTTAGCCATGTTATATACAAAGGGGAAAAATGTCATTAGGATTTTAGTGCACTAGGTAAATCAAAAGGAACTTGGCATTATTTACCATCTTAAGTGGAAAAACACACTATCTCCAATTGGATAATTCACATGAACTTTCATAACTAGTAAGTTTAAGAATACAGTTTCAATTGCTAAAGCTAATATATGATAGATTTCTAATTCTTCGTCGGTAGAAATTCAACTAATGAAAAGGAATAGCCTACAAGTGACCCTTGGAATTATTATGGTATAACTTAGAAGCAGTCAAACCCTTGTATGTGACTATTTCCACCAACAGAAGCAATCTAGTAATAGGGATTTTAAATTAGAATAAAATAAAGAAAAAGCGTCAAAATGACTACTAAACTACCTGCAAGCTAACTAATCCTTTCACCTTCAAACCTACAAGTAACCATCCAAGACTTCAATGCATATACATGAGTGTTCTGATTATAAAATTGGAATTAAAAAAAAAATGAAAATTACCATATTTTGAGAGTCATTATCAGAATTCTGCTGCTCAGATGCCTTAATCTTGTCCTCAGCATCTCCAGAACTTTTCTTGATTTCATTTTCACTCTGATTCAGATCAGTGACCTGTTTGATGATACTATCCGTTTGAGACCGATCAACATCATTTGTTGTAGACAAAACTCTAGCTAATTTATGCTCCCTTGATTCTGCTCATACAGCAAATTTAACACATAAGATACAAGTACTGACAACTTCCCAACAAAAGTTCTTGAATTCACCACACAAACAATGAGAAAGAATGAAAAAGCCAACCTGAAAAAACTATTCCAATGGGTACTTTAAGGGTTGTGGAAGATTCCTATATGCAACAAGGAAGAAAAAAAATGAGATTTTGAAGGGATAATATAGAAAGATCTGAGCTTTATGAGTAAGAAACTATTTTAAAAAACAAAAAACCCATGAACATAAAAGCACCTGGGGAAGAAGATTTAGATGGCTGGCATCACCACCGACAGTCTGAAGAGAAAAAACGAAGAAAGATTGAAACTTTAATATCTTATCTTGTTTGAAAGACAAGGGGTGAAAAAGGAAAGTTGAAAAAACTTACAAAAGCTGAAAGATCTTCAAGAAATTGGTTTCTAGCTGCAAAAACGAAACAAACCCAGAAAAATGTTAATTGAGGAAGAAGAAACGAGGTATGAAATTGAGATAGGAAAAGAAATTAATTGACGAAGAAGAAGAGAACATACAAGAAGAAGCCTTGAAAGAGGCAGAGAATCTATCAGTATAAAGAACAATAGGAGCTATAACCGTAACACATAACATCAGCAACACCAAATTCCTGGTCTTCATTTTGGTTTCAGAAGCAAAGAAGCACTTTTTGGATCTTTCTTCTTGAAGAAATCAGCCTTTGTTGGTTTTAATATAAAGGGAATTTCATCAACAACAACAACATTATTGTATCACACACACCAATCTTTAAGATTCATCACCTATTTTTAATCTCTAAAAACTCTCTGCCTTCTTTTTCTGGGTTCCGAAGTAAAGCAGTTGGAATGTAGGATTTTGTAATGTATTATATGTGGTGTGGAGAATAACTTGAGCAAGAAAGCGTCGGCGAAATGGGTGATTTTGAGAGAGAGAAAATAAAATAATGAGAAAATAACTGTTTATATATTAATCGTGAGCAGTAGCTTTTAGAATGGAATAGAAGACCAAAAGGGGTGAAGTTTTATACCGGAAGCAACACAATATTTCTATTTTCCATATTTAACCACACGCTTTGCTCTTCAAAACCGTGTAAATTTACTTTCAACTCTCACCACCACTTTGCTAGATAGATTACAACTCACAGTTCAACTGGATATGGATATCTTTCAACTACTTTTATATTTCCTTCTTCAATAAAACTTGAGTCAGCTTTATGTTTATTCTATCATATTAAGATTGAGATAATCATATGTTACTGCTTCTGTTGTGCACTAATTTGCGGAAATGGCCATTTGACTCTCTCTTATTATTTAGCAGATTTATTATAATATAACTCATGCTCTGCGTTCAGTTGTTGTTTGTTTTAATCACAAGAGAAGTAATATGTCACCTTCTACATCACTGTCCACGAAAGCTTTAGCTGCTACCTTCATATATTTATATACTTAACCTCCCCTCAGATCACATATTTTTTATCCCATCTTCAACAATTCTCAATCAGCAAGATGCTTTTTTTATTGCTCAAATGTGTCTAACACTCCTTTGGTTTGTTTGCCATCACACCAAATACTAAAAATTCCTTTATGTGAAGTGATTGTGATGTGAGATTTGTGGGTAATGGCATCGGCATGGAATCCAACCACCTAACTAAGAAGAGTGTAAATCTCATAAATCATAATGAATGGTATCTCTATGTTATGGAATGGAAGGTGTCGGCAGTGCAGAAAAAAAAAAAAGAGCTAACCATTTTTTTCTTCCCACCCAAATAATAGCTTAATGACACTTTTCCACCTATTGATGTTTAAAATTCTATTTTATTACCCAAATTTATATTTCCGCAATGAAAAAGAGAGCAAACTAGATCCAAACCGTTGAGGTTTTTGAAAAAGGAAGGCCGTTGAGTCTTTTGGTGGTAGAAGATTGAATTTTTGTGGTTGGGTTTGATCAGAATTTGACTTAAGAATAGTGATTGCGTAAACCATAATTGCTCGATTGTCGGTGATTGACAGAGATGGGAGTAGGATTTAAGAGATTTTCGTGAGTGATGATCGAAGAAGAGAAATAGTAATATAGGATCACAATAATATATAAATTTAGATAATAAAATGATATTTTAAAATAAAAGTGTCATTGAATCAAAAAATAGTTTACTTTGAAAAAAAAAATAGCTATCAATCAACAAGTGTCATAATATCCTGACTATCGGTTGATCATGCCTATACCTGCCCTTAGCCATTGTGGACCATCTCTTGTTTGTCCTGGTCCAATAAATTATTATGCTTGTTTTTATATAAAGTGTCCTTCAATCACAAGTTTGGTACCCTTTTTTTGTTTTTATCAATTACACTTTACAGTCAGGATACAACGGTTACAAGTTATGGGGTTTAGTTGAGTCCTCGAATGATATTCATACTCCATTAATAAAGATTATCAGCTGCTTTTTTACAGCCACCATTGTATTGTTTTTTTTGTTCAAAATTTTTACTGATTGGTATTTATTTTTCTGAACAAGAATCTAGATAGTAGATCCTCCAAAGCATAATAATAAGCCCACTCCATCCTGTGAACTGTGACAGTCTTAAAAAGCAGAAACCAAGCATGAATTGAGAGACAAAATGACTGACTGTATATGCAATTAGTAAAACTTTCAACAGCGAAGCATTGGCTACACTTTACCCCAAAAATAAGAAAAAGTGATCGTTGGTCACACAATTTGAGGCTGAAAATGAGGGGCCTCACGGGTTCTTATTTTATATTTATTTTTTTATTTATCTAAAGTGGGAGAAAAAACATTTCACTTTGTGCTTATCACATGGTGTTGAACACGTCAAGATTCTTTTTAGCACAGTTTTAGTTTTAAGCTCAACAATCGGGTTCATGTTATGAGGTGGATTTGAGTTCTATTTTCTGGTGGGTCAAGCCTTCATGTCCAACCTTGTTTTGCTTGGACTTCTTGTAAGTTGTAACAGTATGTATCAATGAAGCCCAACAGAAATATAACATTTTGCTTGCTTCTTTTAATGATTGTTGGGTTTTGAGAAGTTAGAAGATTGAGTGACAATATGCAAATAACATATCATTCACATCTAGCAGATAAGCAACTGTGGGCAAAAGAATGCCCAGAACACCAAAAACAAAAATGGTAAACAAAAGAGAAACTTTTTACCTCAGGCCTGTTTTAGTCTATTCTGCCAAAACATACTTTGTGAGGGCAGCCTATTTTGTAATATAATACCAACCAAATATCTAAATATTTTATAGTAATATATAGTTTACATGGATTGCAAAAGTTTTCTAGTCATTAGGTACGCCCTGTTGAAGCGGCTGATTAAGGAGGAAACTCCAAATGCAATCCACATTCTCCTCAAACTTACTGTCTGGAAAACTTAAACTTATTGATGAGTTAAATGTTGGAATCTCATACAAACATGCAACCTCTGTTTGAGTGCAGGTTTCATCCAGTGAGGAGGAGAAGCTGTCTTGGAAATTCCAGTATTCGTCTGATAATTTTGATATGATTCCTTCGTCATGCTCATGCAGCCATGGAAAATCAAATACTCCTAATGCTATATGGTTTTCCGATGATACAATGGAACTCTCACTATCATTATAATTAACACCTTGCTTCTTTGCTGCATTCTTCACAAAAAACTCTTTCTTCTCCTCTCCCAATTCTTCTCTTCCTCTCTTCCTGTTCTCCTGCTCCATTTCCGTTAGCTTTCTGCATACACACATATACAGAGCCTCAGAATATGAACAAAATGAAAAATTGATTTTGAGACTTTCAATCTTCTGACAAAATTCTAGAAAATCATATCATGAGAATAGAATTAGATTCAGAACAAAAGAGATAATATCAAACTTGGAAAAGAGACAAAAGGGTTAAGGGTATTATTACCTTAGAAGATTAGAAGTTAAATTGAATAAAAAAGGTAGAATGATAAATGTAATGGTGAGGATGATTAAAGTTTTGCTCACACGCTAAGCGATTATAAGCTAAAACCGTTTCAACCGCATACACACAGTCCTTGTCACACATTTAAACCGCTTGCCTGCCTGCAAGAACAAAATTTGATAAAAACCAATGGGGTTGGTTCCTCTTTTTGCGTTTCTTTCTCTCCTGAATTATGATCATTCTATTTTTGGTACATCTCCCTCTCTCTTCTCATTCTCACATCTGTCTCCACTTTGTTACTCTCCTACTCATCTATATCCACCTACTGCCCTTTGCCTCTCTATTTTGGCCACATCATTTCCCATTATCTGTATTCTTATGGATCTCATTTCTCTACCCATTTGTTTTTTATATTTCCATTTTTTTATTCAAAGTGATTTTGTGCTGGATCTTACTATAATAAGATACGTGAATGAAAACATTATGAATGTTAAGATGGAATCCAACATCTCTACACAAACTGATCCAAATCCAACTTGATCATTCAACAAAAGAATTGACTCCAATTTCACTCGCCAGTTGGAATACTTAATGTAAAAATATAAATGAATTTCATATTTATGAATAATATAGCACATAAATGCTGGGATTACACTTCCAGTATTTGAAACTTATAAGGAAAGACAAAATGAGTTCACCCTAACTAATCTATGACACCGGTTTCATTGAATTCAGTATCTAAACCTGTCAAAACTTGTGCTTGCTCCCTAGTTAATCTACCCACTTTCGGTATCAAAGAATAATGACATTATCCAAAATGAAAATCCTTAAGATGCATAGGACCTTCCAGGTTTCTGCCTTTGGTCCCCTGAATGTATGCCAGATTTTCATTGATTGCCTAGCAATCAATGATTTTAATTGGACAAGAGATTGCCATCAGGTATTGCTTTACTCTAATGGGAAGTAATTTCTCCTCAAATTTGGTTCAAAATAGCACTCCTAGCCCCCATTAACTGATCATGAATGCCCCTGTAACAAGTTAATTTTTCCTTGCAAGTCAGGAGTCTAAAACTTTAATTCATTGCCAATACATATCCTATCTCAGAGGGGTGGGTAATTGAGTAGTTTCATATCAACAAATTCTTTAGCTCATACTTTTGTCGGTGACTGGGATTTGATATCTTGCATTACCAGTAGTCCCCACAGGAACAAGAACCATTAGAGAAATGATGAAACCGATTCTTGTCTCTCACAATGATTTCCCTTTTCACAACCTTTGATACAAACTTAAAGGCTGAATGACAATCACCACAAACTCTGATATTCTTCTTGATCTGAATGGTGGATCCAGGAGGTGTGCTGATAAGTGCAAATGCCAGAGCAAGCTTCTCACTATGTAACTGCAACCTTGCCTCCCTCTCCTGCTGGTCTGCATAGAAGAGTACATGGCTACTGTCTGGGACATAACCAATCGCTTTGATCTTTCCACTAATTTCCTCCCACATATGGAGGATCTCCTCTCTCTGAGGATGGGCATCATCATTCGCCACAAACATGTGAACTGCATTCTTGGTCTCTACCCAACTACAAGCAGGTTCCTTCTTTACCCCACTCTCTTTCATCATCTTCCTCACTTTCGCAGCATCACCCAGTCTACCAGCAGAGGCATAGATGTTAGCAAGCAATACATGAGGCCCTGAATCATGTGGATCAAGTTCGAAAACACGTTCAGCAGCATAAGCACCTAATTCCATGTTCTTATGCATCCTACATGCGCCAAGCAAGGCTCCCCAAACAGCTGCAGTGGGTTTTATTGGCATTTCTCTTATAAACTTCACAGCTCGATCAAGAAGTCCTGCTCGACCAAGAAGATCAACAATAGTCACATAATGTGACTCCTGTGGCTCTACGCCGTATTTCTTCATCACTTCAAAATAATGTTGCCCTTCATCCAAAAGCCCAGCATGGCTACAAGCAGTAAGAACACAGAGGAAAGTTATTTTGTTAGGTGCGACTCCAATTCTCAGCATTTCCTCAAACCACCTCACTGCTTCCTTGCCTAGCCCGTGTTTGGCATATCCAATAAGCATTGAATTCCAAGAAACCACTTCTGGTTTCAACAATCGATTGAAAACTTTTTTAGCATCCTCAATGTTACCCGATTTAGCATACATGTCAAGTAGAGTGTTTCCTAGGAAAGCAACAAGCTTTCCACCCGATTTAATCACGTGTGCATGAACCCATTTGCCTTGCTCCAGAGACCCTGTGCTGGCAAGAGCAGTAAAAACACTAGAATATGTGAAATGGGTAGGCTCAAAGCCTTTTCTTAACATTTTCGAAAATGTCCCGAGAGTAATCTCTCCTTCACCCTTCCTAGCATGGCCAGCAATCAAAGCATTCCAAGAAACGTCATTCTTACTCTCTAGCTCATTAAAGATCAACCAGGCATCCCTCATTCGACCAAACCTAGCATACATGTCCAAAAGGGAACTTCCCACATAAACATTCCAATCGTAACCAAATTTCAAACAAAACGCATGAACTTGCTTGCCAAACTCATCACTAGGCCTAGTTCCAGACGCCTTTAACACACTGGACAACGTAAACTGATTGGGTTTCAGTCCAATCCGTAACATCTGAGGGAACAAAACAAGAGCATTTTGAGGTTGGTCATTCTGAGAATAGCCAGTGATCAAGGCAGTCCAAGTAACCATATTTTTGACAGGCATTACATCAAACAACTTGCGAGCATCATCTAAACTACCACACTTAGCATACATGTTGATAATTGTGTTGTGCATGACAAGATCATCCTTGAAGACGGATACAGCTATATGGGCATGAAGGATTCTTCCTTCTTTAAGTTTCTTTAAATGGGTGCATCTTTTAAGCAACGTATTGTATAAACTTCTATCAGGTTCCATTGACCCGCGGTTAACGAGGTCGAGAACATGAAGGCCGGTACCTGAATGTTGGTGGCTTTTGAGGAGCAAGTCTTTATCTTGGATTATGGAAGAATTTAAGGAATGATCAATTTCAGTTTCAGAGTCAGTTAAAGTGGAAACACGTACAAGATATCTTTTGAATTGAATAGAGAGAGTAGAAGATTCAGAAAGCCAAGTATATTTAAACTTGAACATGGTTGGTTACAAAGAAAGCTATGAAATTGGACTTGTAAAGAAGCTGAGGTCCTCTAGAAACTTGAAAAAATGATGTAAGACAGAGACAGAGACAGAAACTACATAAACCGCTGCTTCCCATCCACAGTTCAAGGCTGCATACCGTACTCTTGCAAAAATTTAGCATCCCGATATTGCCACTTCTTCACAGGCCAATACCCATAATTTCATCCAAATTTACACTGCCTATTCAATATTATCTGATCCAATTGCCAGGGCTCGCTATGATTTGTCATTTGCTGCCTCTCGTTGTCAATTTACAAGTAACACCGCCCCAAGAAGAGGAGGGAAACGGACCAGTGCTGGTAGAATAATATAGTATATACTAATACTATAGAATGCACTCTCGTTAATCTATGTATCTACATATAATAATACTTTGCATACTAACAGATTTTACTAACCAGTGTACTTACCTTTGTTAAAATCACATATGGTATTTATACTATGCGTATGATACCCATACTATACTTTAAATTAATACATTGATTAGTAAAATCCGTTAGTACCCATAGCACTACCCATCTACGTATTTAGGATCACATAACATTGTCTTGTAAAATGCATCAATGCACTAATTCTCTTCTCTGTCTCTGCTCATTCAAATTCATCCCAACAGAGATATCTATAATCCCCTCTTATTTGCCTATTACAACATCCACAATAAATTTATGAGGGCATGCAATGTAACATATAATAACTTGACGCTAGTAAAGAAATATGCAATGCGAATCATTGAACCAAAAATGGAAAACTTGAACTATTTCACACAAATCTTAACAATACCGAGTACATTAAAGAATCCCATTTTTTGCTTCCCCTGAAACTTCCTAGATTTCTATACATATAAAGTTCAACTTACAAATTTGCACAAATTGGGACGAGGGAAGAATCATTTACAGCTCATCAAAACAGAATTTATGACATGCATAAGAAGACGGATGCTGTTTGCTTCTGAGGCAGAGGTAGTGGGTAGGTTCCGTTGATGACCTAGTATCTGATAAACCTGCTCAAAGATAGGTCGCACATGCATTGCAATCATGGGATCTGTTGGGATTATGGCAACTGCCACATCTGTCATCCATGCCAACTTTCTTGGTGTTTCTTTGCTGATATCACAAGCCAATTGCTGGAGAAGTGCAAGTAGAACTCCTTGGCTGAGGGGGAGCGGTAATGTTGACAAAATCCCCGGTAAATCAACCTGAGGAAACAAGAACAATTGAAATGTGAATAAGTCAACTCTAAACATGATTCCTGTGCAATCAAAGCGCCACCTAGTGATGTTAACACTTGGTCAAGTTACTACCCTGGCCTGGACCACAAACTACATATTGCACAACATTTAAAAACACGTGAGCAAGAACTAAGCATATAAAATAAGTCATGTGAACAAGAACTGAACATGTCAATTTACAATTGATTTTTGAGATTATTGTATTACATCTAACTCTCCTTAACTGGACAATTTTATTTATGACCAAATGTCAAGTCTAAATTCTTGAGTTCGGGTCTACATTTTGCGTAGTATAGATAACCCCCAGCTAGTCTGAACTTGATGCTATAGTCATCATCATGTCAACCATACTAACTTTCTTACTTGAATGGCCTCTTTCCATTGTTTGTTAAGATCAGGGCAAGAAGTTGTAATGATTAAGAGAAAAACCATGACCATAAGTAAGGTCTAGCCATGTATCATCACAGGTGATGACTGTACTGTTAAGCATATCTAGCCATCTATCATCACAGGTGATGACTGTACGGTTAAGCATATCTAGCCATCTATCATCACAGGTGATGACTGTGCTGTTAAGCATATCAAGTATTCACCAAAAGACTGAAATTGAATGCAATGTAAAGAAATATCCACCGGGTCTGATTTTGAAAGTTAAAACATTCTAGGCAGCTCCAAATTAGAACAAAAAATTAGCATTAGTCCCTAAATACACAAATGAAGGCCAAGTCAAGTTGAACTGAACTTACTAGTCTCTGCTGCATACACAGTTACACTATACATACATGTTCATCACTGGTCAGCAACATATGATGCCATATTTAGGCCATAGCAAAATGCTTAACACTTCAAAAGTCCTATGGGACACATTGATACAGCCAACATTTGCTAGAGGGTGAGCACCATAAATAAGTGAAACATACCTGAGAACATAACCAAGAAACAATTGATACATCACTTCTGTGCAAGGCTGCTGTAAATGCCTCCTCAAATTTGCGCTCAGCTATCAACCTAGATAGTTCTTTTGTTGGATCCAAAGGTGCCTCAACCTGAATGAACCAAAATAATAATAATAATAATAATACGTATACTACTTTTTTACTGAAAGAAAATTATCACTTTCCAATTATCAGTATACATTTAAGCAACTAGAAAACAATTCAAGTGCATACCATCTCATGAAGACCAGCCAATGGTCCATTACTTGACTGAGTTACCAAGGGATTCACTGCTTTGGAGTTGGCACCTGCAGCTGCCAGAGCTAAGAGCTTACGCTGCCCATCAGCCAATTCTCCACTTAAAGTCTGAGTAACTGATGTTGCCGAATTAATTGCATCCTGTAAATGCAAAATACCTTATATTGCATCCAAAAATATATGACTGCAGCAGAAACAGTAGTACATATAAAGCATGATATAAAAACAATGGTTCCACTGATACTGTCAACATAAACTTAACATAAAAGGAAATATATTCTAGAATAAGTTGTAGGATATGCCATTCCAGTAAATTTGCAATGATGATAATACCATGAATCCTATTCAATTGACGACCCAGACACAAATCCTATCAGAGGAGAAGCAACCTACGTCTAAATGGAGATTATGACTAAAAGACACTCTTGTGTTAATAGAAAACACCAATAAACTTTAGAAAGGATGCTAAAGTGAATCGAGAACATTTACTGTAAATTCAGCAATAAAAACAATGTGAAACATAAAATGATAGTGAAACAAATGGAATTAATGTTGAGGCAACAAATTTCAAAAGCATCCCCAAGAAACCATCCAATTCTAATTTCAACTCTCTAAAAGCCAACACAGTACCTTTCTTATTGGGAATAAGAGCATCGCTATCATGAGCAAGCATTTCTATATCATCCAAAATCGATAGCTGCTTATAAAAATTATATAACATATCTTCCAACACACCATAGCAAAAACCCATTAAACAATATTCATAAGGTAAAAAATAATTTCTATTTAGATAATAACCTAACAAGAACCCTAGATGATATCTAATCTGCTACCGAACATAAATATCTTTACAGGATACACATACCCTTAAAGCAATGGCAAGGGGAGAATGTGCACTTTCAAACTGCTGTTGAACAGTATTCGTATGTTTGACAAGCCCTTTCTGGAATGTGGAATCAATTTGCTCGAACATCGCTTTGCATGACATCTCAAATGCGGGAATAATTGAAGATTCCAAACTAGACCGTAATGCATCCTGCAAGTACAAAATCCACAATTAATATCCATTCTGAAAAGTATATAATCATTAATCCAACAAAGAAACAAACAGTAATGCAGTTTACATTTAGGAGTAAACTGCAGCCAAAAAAGTTCAATTGAACAGTTCAGTGAAAGGAAGTAATAGCTCACACAATATTTCACAAGATATGCAATGAACTTAAACCTCAAATTACCTGAAGAGCTTGCTTGCCAGAAGTTTGAAACTGTGCTTGAATTTGCCTGACCACAGTAGTTTCCAGTTTTGAACCAACTGATTTCTCAAGTTGACTAACTACCTTTTCACCCACTCCCTTCTGCAAAAGAAAATTAAAAATTAAAAAAACACACACCATACAGATAAATTTCTCCAAAAACTAAGCAATGTTTCAGTAACAACAGAAATTAATGGCTGTACTGTATTCCAGAAGCATTCAAAGGAGTGAATCAAACATTTAGAATGAAACTGTTAGAAAAAGGCTAGCTGTCACGCAAGTAATTATGTGATTCTATTTTAGGCTCACATAATTTTTTTTATAAGTGGAGAAAAAGCTTTAATGACATGATACACATTCAATTTATTTCCATCATTGGAAAAATTAGTATGCTTCTTTCTTACAGCCTCATTCACAAAGGCAGACTCTGTTTAATAAAATTGACCAAAGATAAACTAAAGCACTGAGATATTGGACATAAGGTGGATGTCAAAACACTTTATTTTCATAACGATATATATTAAAAAGAGGGAAGTAAGAGATGTCAAAATCTTTGAAATTATAACCTGGAATGACTCTGTGATAGCTGATGATATGCTTTTCTCCAGAGTCGGAGAGATTGCACGAGCAACAGCTGGCCCAACTGCAGCTATTTCTTTCTTTAAAGTTTTCTCAAACATGGCTGGCAAGTCCTTGTTTATAGAATTGGTTATCAAATTTGTTATCTGTTGCAGACGGTCTCGCTCTAACTTCTCATGTTTAGCATTCTCTTCTTGGAAACGAGCCCACAAAGCATCTGTGTTAGCCTTAACGACTTTTTCAATGCTCCGGCCCAAGGACGCCTCAAGTCGTTTACCTTCTTTGGTAACTGGGGCAGAAACCACTGCGTTCATCTGCTTCTGCATTTCTTTTTGCATATTCATCAACTGCAAGATACAATACAATCATTAGTCTCCATGTAAAAACCTTCCCAAGAATAAAATTAATAAATAAACTTTGCATGAGAATAAAAACGGGAACAAGACAGTGGACAACTGAGATAGTTGCATTGTAGGTTAGTTTGATTTCAAACCCAGAATGATAAAAGTAATAAAAATAATGATAAAACAAGCAACCTGACACAATTCCACAGTATTCTAGCAAAGAAATGGTGTTGGCCAAAAGTGCATAAAGCTTCTCAAAACAAATCCACAGAATACGCAAACCAGTATAGAAACAATTTAATTCAAAAGAATAACCTGATCAAGCATATCTTGCATAGTTGATAGCTGAGACAAAGTAGCATCATTGGATGGAGAAGCAGAAGTGCAAGCTGGCTCATTAGAAGAATCTGTGGAGTTGTGCGGGCTAGGGGAAGGTGAAGATGCACCAGATATTTGAGAATTCTTTCCCTTTTGTTTTTTCCCTTTGGTAGCTGGGACTGGGGATTGTGGAATCACCATGGGAGGCTCCGATGCACCAACCTTTGCAGGTGCATCTTTTGGCACATCTTGTTCTTCAACCTCTCTGTTATTAGAAGGTCTATCTGGTGCTTCAGTAACACTTCCATCATTAACCTGGCGAATTCCCTCCACATTATATGTTCCGACACAACAATCTCTAGCCATCTGAATGCTAAGATCCGAGGCCTGGGAATAGAAGGATTTCTCTTTCTTCTCATTAACAGTAATATGTGATTCCCTAGGAGAGTTATACTCATTATGTTGAACATTTCCTGTCTCACCAACAACTTTAACTTCCACCTCAACACCCTCAGTATCATTGTTGACAACAACATCTTGAACCTTTGACTCTCCAGCATTCATCCGCTGACCAAACTGAGAATTTTCAGAGGACGAGGCAACGGTTGATAAAATCTCCGATGGAGTTACCAGATGGGTTGGGTGCTTAAAAACAACAGGAGGATCTGGAACCATAGAAATATCATTTTGTGCAACATTTCTATCACCCTTCCACATATTGTCTCCCGATGAAGGCACATCACCCACTTTTTCTTTGGCAGCATTTGCTCTATGGTCAACTGAATTAACAGTAACGGACTGGTCAACACCAAGCTCACTTGGTGGGGGACAAGGCTCATAGCTATTTGATGGACTTCTTAACCCAGATGATTTACGAGATAACCTTGGACTCAAAGGTGGCGGAGGAGATGCAGTGCGTATATTTTCAGCATTACTATGAGATGGCAAAGCACTTGGCTTTGTCTCTGCACTTGAAAAATTTTCAGGCAAACCAGCAACCTCTGAAGAAGGAAAACTTTCAGAACGGCTAGCTACAGGTACACTCTCGGAGCTGCTTGAAAGTATAGGTGGTATCAAATTCGTCGTAGCCATAGGCAAGTCAGCAGATTTACTTCCATGAGATGATTCCAGAATAGCAGAACCATCAGAATTAGCAGCATCTCGGGCAGCACTGGAATCTGTTTTCTCCAGCTCTGCATTCTCCAAAGGTGGTGGCAGGCACTGGGACAAGTCTAAAGCATACTGCTGAATAGCCTGTGTTTGCACACAATAAACCTGAACAATATGTTCTCCATCGGTAGAACCATCACTGGTTCCAGTAAGACTCAAAATAGGCATTGTAACAGTAAATTCAGCAATGTAAACCATGCGGGTTGAGGCTGGATTGGCCCCATAGTCTATGTGCACAGCATAAATAGCATTCTTCTTGGCATTTGCCAATAAAAACAAGCCTGCACGGTTCAGTGCTACAACTTGGTTAAAGAATGCATCCTCAAGCCTGGGTTCAGCAGAACTCTTTAAGTCCAAAGTCTGAGTACACTTCCATGATTCAACATCACTGGGCAACAACCAGCCCTCCTCCTCTGCAGAGGCCCATATCTTCACTTCCCGGTTCAAAGGACCCTGCAAACAAGCAATGTGAACTAAGCCTTAATCCCAATAACTGGGGGCCAACAAACATAATACACATAAAAGGAGATGCAGAATAGATATGTGAAATACAAAAATCATCTTTGCAGCAGACTACAACCAACACATTAATATATTACCCCCTTCACCAAAAGTACATTGCTGACAAGCTCATAATAATTTTCTCAAATCACCATCAGAAGTTTAGCATGATTACACAATTTTCCACCTACAGAAGAAATAGGAGCCTACCCCTGTGATCAGCACAATGTGCTGCGGATGAGGACCAATCAGGAATGTCACAGAATTAACAGGTTGACCATCATATGGCCTCAACACGGCAAGTGGTGTTCCCTTCCGGTCATCCCAAATCTTTACCTGTTGCAGGAGATGAATGTTTGATCAGTACCATTTTAAGAGAAAAAACAATAAACAATTTTGCTAGGCAATGCACTACTACCAGACCATGAAAATTAACCAGCAAAATTTGCCAGACTAGGATGGTAACAAACTATGCCAACAAGGGAGGTTTTATATAACATTACCACTGATGGGGCATGTGCCCCTATTCCCAAGTGTTACTCACTTACTAAACATTACTAATTGAATTTAAGAGCAGAAAGGTGAACATGCCAGAAACATGAATTTAACACTACAACATATGTTATTTTCCACTCTCTTTGCATTCTGAAAGTTGGCTGTAGCATTGACATTATGTTTACCATCAATTCTAGGTGGTTTAATATTACAGTAGGATATCTTAATATCATAGGACCAGCATTTGGACTCCCACTTCAAGCACTCAAACAAATTCAAATCTTTTATAGAATAAGAAGATAAACTAAATGATACAACACCAGTTAGGAAGAAAGGACAGAAACAAACCGTGCCATCGACTGATGCTGAAGCTAAGCGGGTGGTCAGCCATTGGCACATTGACAGCTCCGTAACTTCACCATCATGCTTACCAACAAAATGAACCCCATTAATCAACTCATCAATAGGACACTTAAGCGGTTCCTCAGCAGAAAACCGTTCCCCTTTTCCAACTCTATTGCTATCAATCCTCAGGATTCGATTTCCAATTGCAACCATCAAAATTTCCTGCAACACAGTTTTATAAAAATAAGTACAGTTACAAGCAATACCATATGATCCAAAACTATACCAAAAAGGAGGTCTTGGTCTTTAAAACAAATGAATACTATAAAAATAACTTATTATCAATTGTTACTATTGAAAAAGTATTATTACTTGTTTGTGAGGATGCCAACAAACTCGTGGATGGCGTGATTCCCCATCTGCCAGTATCTGAATGGCAACTACAATTTTACCCAAGATTTGAGGTTTTTCCTCCTCATCCGGGCCTTCAGTAATGTTCCATATGAAAAAGCGTCCATCAACACTTGCACTGAACAAAGATAGATTAAAGAAGTTGGCATGTTAAAATTAAAAAAACAGCAAAAGAAGTTGCAAACTCTAAGTAAAGAGATACCTAGCCAAAAGATGAACATCTTCAGCGAAGAAAGCCATATCTGTTACTCTCTACATGGTAAGTAAATAAATAAAATAAGAAACATAGCATAAAACGAAATTCCCATTTTGCATAAAGAAAAGCATAGTTACCTGAGTGTGACCACGAAGCAAAGATCTCAAAGCAGTAATAATATTAAGTATCCGAATATTACCAAGCTTGAGACCATAACAAATGTAATTCCTATTAACAGCAATCTGACGACCAAGAACAAGACCAGGATCGGAGGCATACTTAGTAATTGGAGTAACTTCAAGCTGAGGCTGAACTTCACCATCTAATCTAACATCAATGTCATAAACCACATGACTCCCAATCAAATGCCTTCCTTTGGGAAGCTTACTGCTCCGCAATCTAACAGGCGGCGCAGAAGGAACAGAAACAGTTGCTGAATCGGAGGGAGCAGGTGACAAGTTGTGGTTCTGATTCTGAGTTTGACTCTGATTCTGATTCTGATTGCCGAAGAAGGCCATGAGAAGATTGTTAGTAGAAGCAGTAGTAGGAGAAGGAGGAGGAGGAGATGAAGCAGAAGAATTAGGGTTAGGTTGTTGAGGGAGAGGTTGAGGGGTATAAGAGATTTGAGTTTGAGGTCTATTGTTATTGTTAACGTTTTGTTGAAGAGCAAAGTGCTGATGTGGAGGAGGTGGAGGGGGATAGGGGTAATAGTGGTAAGGAGGATAGGGACCAGTTGGAGGCGGATAAGAAGAAGAAGGTGTTAAATACGGAGAGGGTGAAGAAGGAGCAGGCGTTGGAAATGAAGGAGAAGTTGTTAGATTTGTAGAGTTTGGAATCAAATTCATAGGATTGGATGTGGGCTTCAATAGTTTGTTCATGTCAAATCCACCGCCACCGCCACCACCGCTAGCGACACCTTGCGGATTCGAAGCCATGGATGAAAAAAATTGCAGGGAGTGGATTGGATTTGCGGATCCGAGTGGGAGACTGAATCAGATCGAACGAATGAATCTAATATAAAAAAAAATAATAATAATTAATAAAAACCCTTGCCTATTGCAATTCGTTTCTCGTGAGGATGAGAAGGAAAGGAAGAAGTATTTAATTATTAATTAATTAATTAAAATTAATTACTTACTACTAAACCATGGATCGAGAGAGAGAGTAGCAATCGGAGACTTTTAAAATTAATTTACTAACTTGAGTAGGCACCTGACCATGACCATGAGGTCCATAATCATGACCTATACAAACATGCACTACTTTCATCTGGTTGGTACACGTACTACTCACCACTCCAACTTGTTCCTCTTTCAATATCATTTACTTTGCGAATTAAGCCAATCAACGTTCATCATCTTTAACAATTGTTTGTTCAAGGTTTGCTAGATCCAACTAGAAATTTTTAAGTAGGAAGATGACTGCATACAACTTTCAAGGTGGAGATTTTCCTTACATTTCATGAATCACAATACCCAAGCTTAACCACCACGCTCACTCGATCGACAAAATTTTAGTTGAAATACATACAAAGTAGTTTGAACACCCGAACCCGATTATAAAAATTAAAGAGTGATGTTATGGGTACTAATGGATGGGTACTAATCTGTGTACTAACTAAAGCATAGTACCCGTACTATGCGCATAGTACGAATACTATACACATAGTACAGGTACTATGCTTTAATTAATACATATATTAGTACCCATCTATTAGTACCCAAAGTATTATTCAAAATTAAATACCCAAGTTTGATAACTGTATACATATCGGTATGCCCTACAAATCCAACATATTGTGTGGAATAATACCTTCATAGTTGTCAACTTTGTGATATACCCATTTCATTCATTCGATAATATTCCTATGGTATATCCTTTTATTTCCTTTCAATAACTAATTACTTGTATTGCTGGCTAAAATTCCACATGCATACGTGCACATAATTATGTTTGTCCCAATCGAGACAAACACAAAGGACAAATTGTCCCTTCCTTTTAACAGAATTGTCAAATTTACAATCAAATTCTCAAAACATCAAGAAAAAAGATTTTACAAATATCTCAATAATTCTGAATCTGCACTTATGAACAAGTCACAATATTCAGACAAAATGAACATTGAAACACATATATATCTATATATATTATATTAAAAACAATTGAAAAATAAACAATATTCCAATCAACTTGGCAAACCAAGTATCAACTTTCAATTGCAACATCCTCCAGCTTGAGAAGAAGACCCATCTCTCCCTCCTGATGGCCCAGGGATTCCTCCATATCCAACCTTTATTCCATATGACTGCCCCCCAAAAAGGAAAAAAATATATATATTAGTAACACCATCAACACCTCCCATCTTCTCATTATTAAATAACAAACTGCACATGTAACGAGTCACTTTACAGTAAGCATTCAAGTTTTGCAAATTAACAATCAAATAAGAATTGTCATGATCATTCACATTGCTGCTTTGACAACCACAAACATAAAACTACTTAGCAGTCAGAGACTCAGAACTTGTAAAATGCAACAATCAAGTGGAATCTGAATGGTTTAATAGAAACAAATCCAATATTCTAAGGACAAAGAAACTTAAAATCCTCATTCATGACAAATCTAATTGTAGTCCCTCAGATGGTGGAAGAAAATCTAAGGTCAAACAGGGGGGAAAACAGAAGGGTGGTGACCTGTAAATTTAGCTGAAAAAATGGTGCAACATTGTTCACAGGTGAGCTAGGGAGTATAAACTTATCATCCAAATATACCTAACATAAGAGCTGCCTTCTGTATCCACAAAAATCAGTAAAATTGAGATCATACCCCACTTTTTTACTCTAAACTTCCCACAATATGACCACAGAAAAGCAAGTGACATGCATCTTTTCCCATATATATATTTTATGCAAAATGATGGATAGTAATGTTGATAATTCAATCTCACAACTTCTAATCTCTAAACTAGCCAAAAGTTAAGATCTTACAATGAGATAAGAACAGTATTCTTCTTTGATAAGAAACAAAAAAAAGCAATTTTCAAGGAAACAAACGACTGTATATTATCTCCAACATTTAAAATTAAAACAAACTGACAAAAAAGCATCAAACTGACAAAAAAGCATCAAACTCAAACAAAGCCACATGCATCATACTAGAAAATAATTTTTTTTTATTTTTTTATTTTTTTAATTGTGGAGATCCACAAGATGTAAGGCGGACTACAGAAAATGAAAGGAAGCTACCTCATTTGATACATCAAAAACTCCATCCTGAATCTTCTTGTATATTGTTGCAGCAGTTTTTATAAATGCCTACAAATAAGAACATGTTGAGAAACAGAGCAAGAGATTAAATTTGAACACCCATAATCAAAGTCGACAACAACTTTGTTACAAAACATTCTCCAACGTAAGTGAATACCTCCTCAACGTTTTGAGCAGTTTTTGCAGAGGCTTCCATGAAGATCAATCCATGCTCCTTGGCAAACTGCTCGCCTTCCTCTGTGCTGACAGCCCTTCTATGAGCAAGATCACACTTGTTACCGATAAGCATAATTGTCATGTTGGCATTTGCGTGCTGCCTTGCATCCTCCAGCCAACTGGCCAAGTGATTAAAAGTTTCCCTCCTAAAGAGACAACAATCAACATTATAATTTTTGGCTAGTACATAATAACAACTGTACAAAATCCAACGCAATACATTGAAATTCCATCCTCTTGGAACCATCTTTTTATTATTATTATTTGAAAATTGAAACTCTACTGAAGACGTAATAAATAAGGGTTACCTGGTAATATCATAGACAAGTAAAGCACCAGCAGCACCTCTATAATAAGACCTAGTAATAGATCTGAAGGATTCTTGACCCGCCTGTCAAAATCCAGAAACAGAACACATGAAAAAAAGATGAGATACGAATTCAAAATAGATTTAATAATCGATGAAATTGAAAAGATAGAGAGAAACCGTGTCCCAAATTTGGAGCTTGATAGGTTTGTTATCAATAGTGATCATTCTGGCCCCAAATTCAACACCAATGGTTAGGTCATGAACGGGCTGAAAGCGCTTGTCAGTAAACTGTAAGAGAAGACATGATTTGCCAACTCCTGCGATGCGATCATTAAAAAAAAAAAAAAATGATTTAGATTAGCAGAATGGAAACCTAAAGTTGATGAGTGAGTAAATTGGAAATAGGAAATACCAGTATCGCCGATGATGATGTACTTGAAGAGATAGGCGTAGGACATGTCTGGTTCAGAATTTGTGAAGAAGAATTGGGACGAAAAGGAGTCAAAAGGTTTTGTGTTTGTTTTCGTTAAGAAGAGGAAACCGAATAGAAAGAACAGAGAAGAAGTTGGGTTGGGTTTATACGTTCCAGCAAGGCAACACACACTAGGCGGTCCTCCTCGCTGTCGTTTCTTCTTTCTTCACCTACACTATTACAATCCTTTTAGTATAAGCTTTTTACCTCTCTTTTTCTCTACTAAATTATTTAATTTTCATTTTCATTAAAATAGAAAACGATAATTTTAATAAAACCTTTTCAATAGGTTATTAATAAAATTTTAATTGGTTTTATTTCCTTTCTTTTGAATTTAATAAGTATTTTATGGGTTTAAAGTTATTATTCATGAATTCCAATGGGTTGAATTAAGACTATCTTTAAAAAAAAAAAAAAAATTAAATAAGTTATTTGGGTGTAAAAAGTCTGTTTTATTACTGTCGCGCCTAGTTTTTTAACGGTCAGATTTGTGTCACACGTCTCTAAGGTATATTAAAGCCTGACGACCAAGATCATCCTGCGTGTTGTTGCAATAGTGCTTACCTTCTCCCACAAGCTGGTCACTATCATAAATATGAGTTAAGTTACCATTAGCATGGTATGGGCTGTCACAAGTATGAGGATTATTGGCTCAGATCCTAATTAAGGGGATTATGGGTGCAAGCAACCCCAGAACACCTATTCTCAACCACTGTCAGACAAATCAAGTATAAAAAGAGCTCACAACCTTTATTTCAAGTGAGGAATTCTAGTTTAGTAAAGTTCAACGAAAAAACACACTCGTATGTGTAAAAAAGTGTTAAGTGAGAGAAGGTCACAAGAGTTAAATGTGCTCGATTTAGCTCGCGCCCATTTCCCTTGTAATCTCATTTGATTCTGTAACAACTCTAAGCAATAACAAAAATAGTGGATGTAGGCTTGGTCTTGATACCACCAAACCACTACAAGAATATCTCTTGTTCTTTACATTTATACGTCGTTTTATCAACCTCGTTGGTTACTTGTAACTATGCGCACATCTTACCCGACCTCTCTCGAGGTTGACTAGATATCTCTAGTTTGTAGGAATTTTTGCATCAACAATTACGTTTGAAACAATATACATATATATTGGTCAATATGAATGATGATCCCACTAACTTGGTGATGTAGGACAAAAACAAATTCTAACTATACAGTGGGTCCAGACTATACAATAGATTTAAGTCTAATACTATTAACATCTCCCCTCAACTTAAGGGGATAGAATAACTATCAACTTAAGTTTGTCAACAAGATCATGAAATCGCCCTAGAGGATGTATTTTGGTGAAGAGATCCACAAGTTGATTGGTAGAAAAGAAGATCCTTCATTTGAATGTGATCTCGGATGAAATGACAATCATTCTTAATATGTTTCGTACGCTTATGAAACACGTTATTATGCATGATTTGAACAACACTTCAATTGTCAAGCAGACTTTTTTCACCAAAATAACTAGATATCAAAGTCAAGTTTGTTTAGCGAGATTATGAGTTTGGACATTGATTGTGCACGCTAAGCATGAGGGATGGTGTTAAAAGTTGTATTTATCTCACATTGATAATTTAGTGGGCTAGTGTATACATATGGTTGGGCTCCCTTCTCCCTTAAGTTATTAGCTTTTGGAGGTACACTTTACTTATTTGAAATTGTACACGATAGATAGCTAAGCTAAGTATCAACTATAAATCAAATCCTAAATACATATATGCTACAGCATCATACTGTTGAAACAACCCTCAAAAGGACACAACAATATCCCAAAAATTGGTTGTGGAGGGAATTGTTAATGTCAAAAGATTGTCTTCGTCATTGAATTTGAATTCCTCGTTTTTGGAGTTTACAGAGCATGAATTTGGCTTTCTACTGGAGTATGCTCCAAACCTCCCTTCCCCTCTTCCTTTCGTCTGTATTCTACAACTAGATGATGATGAATCACTAATCATCTCCACTGACTCGACTGCTCCACCAGAATTGTACATATCCATCAATCCAATCGGAGCAAATTCAATCCCTTGTTCGTAAGCCTGATCAAATAAATAATTCATCGTTATATATGAAACCTTTCAGAATTTGCCCTGTACATGGGAGCAAGTTTCGTACATCTTTCAGAACTAAGTTAACCAACCTTTATAGGAGACACGGTCAACGCATCACATTGCATTACTTTCAATGTGACATCAAAGGATTTTTGCTGGGATAATCGAATTAGACTCCCTGAGATTGTAAATACAATGAATGATCAACTATTCTTCTATTTCCATACGTTGAATTCTCTTCTTTATGAGATTTGGTGTTGTGTACCTGAGTTGAAGGAAAAAACTGCACAATCTCCAGTCCAGTGCTTTCCAGAAACTTCTTCAAAGTACTCAACATCAGCAGGAGATACCTGCCCAGAAATCTCTGAAACTATATGTGTCTCATCTGTTTTTTCCATACAATGCCAAGTGCCTGCTCCTTGGCAGTTGAAGACACCAAGAACTCCAGTACACGCGTTCAAATTCCAAATTTTGAGAAGACTGGTACATATAAAGATGCACAAAATGTGGTTTAGAAAGACAAACTCAAAATTCATACAATTGAAATGAGAGAGAGATACCTCTTCCCGTCCATTACTGGATCATTGAATAAACAATCACGTGATGGCCTTCCAGGGTAATTAGCTCGAAGGACTGATCCATCAGGGAGTACAAGCTTTTTTAGTATATTGAAGTCATGCTTGCCTGGTTCATCACTGTTATTAAATAGTACAGGATCAGTCTCAAGTCTTTCTCTCCCAAAAATAAGAAAATGAATTAATTTACCATCTGTATCTGTTTTGATAATCTTTAGGCTTCTTCTAAGGGAATCTTCTTACCAAACATAGACTCCACAGCCACCCACAGCTCTAGCAACAGCATGAAACTCGGCTGCATAATGGAGGCTCTGAAAGTTTTCAAAGAAATCAATCAAAAACCGGAAGGGATAAAAGAGTAAATATGAATGAAGAGGAGGCCATGACATACATAGAACATGTCCCAATCTGGGACAAAAACTTCACCAAGAAATATGCTGTTAAAAGCCACAGCAGCTATGTGCAGGGTCTGTGTTGTTGGATTTTTTGGGTAGTAATCATCGGATGCTCGTGTAACAGCACTTTGTTTTGAACTGCAATGGAAAAGAGTAAAATTATATATGCTGGATGATGTTGTTATCTTGTGTAGATCATTATAAAACTCAGATGCTTCCTAGTACATTAACACTGGTCTATATTTCTGGATTTATGAAGACGAAATATGAATTTAAGCGCAACATTTGTAAAGCATTAATGAAGTGCATAAATGATATACTGGTAAATGGAGTCAGTGATCTGGCCCATGCAGCAGATGATGCTGTTGTCCTGGAAGTTGGTTGCTATGGACTCTTCAAGTGCTTGTTGGAACTGTCTAGTAAGTGTGACTCTACCTCCTAAACCAGTGCTAACGGTTTCAAGAATGTTCTGAACATCAACTTTAACTCCATCCACGTCCTGTGAAACAAGATACTTGTGTAGATCATCATAAAACTGAGATGCTTTAGACGGATCAATTGTACAAACTCCGTACATCTCCATGGAATCCATGGCTCCATCCCTCATATTTGATAAATTCCCCGGTGACTGAACTGGGTATTTCAACTTTGGATTATACTCTTTAGTCCCTGCAGCATTTGGAACAAGGCCTCCCCAATATCCCATCAGGGCATGCCACACATAGACATACCTACAAGATCAAAAGTTGAACAGGAAGATAAAAATCTGCTGAAGTTCGCAATTGTTTATAAAAGAAACTTAAGTCACCTATGAGGCAGATCAATAAGATGAACACCAAGTTGGTACAAGCAAATATGGAATATCTAAGGTTTCCATCAATTAAGCAGTTAAACCTCAGAGGAGGAGTTGTAGGAAGCTTACTTAAGGCCGAAAGTCTTTTTAATATCCAGAACAAAATCCTTTAGACTACTTTCCCCATTTTGAAACTTGGTGTTTTCTTTGATGCTGACTAATCTGCCACCAAACCTGCAATTTGTAGGAAACCAAAGATATGTCTCTGCCCTCTTCAAAATAAGCTAGCAGAAAGATGAAACTTACTGTGACCCTTCAACAATTGGCTCCCCTTCTTTCTGGAACTCATTAGTGGTATCTTGCCAACCATCATCTATTATCAAAAACTTCGCTGGAGTGCCTCCTTCTGATAAACTGAGAGAGAAAATTTGAGAATGTTCTGTCCTCTCAAGGGCATAACAGGGCTCCTGCATAGATTCTAGTGAAGCAATTTGGAACTTGTAGGCTTAAAATAATACTAAATTACAGTGCTTTCCTCCACACATCTTTGAGTGTGTGTAAAAGATAAGATTAACCTCATATAATGTTACATAAAATCCTGGCTCTCCATCAAAAGCAGTAAAAGTGTTTAGAGGTTTAATGCATAAGGTAAGCAGGTCAAATGGCCATGTTACAGAAACCTCTAAATACACAAGTGAACAATCATGACAAAACCATTAGAGCTACGAAATTATGGATTTTTATTTTCTGGTCAATTTGGTAGGCACTGCTCTCTCTTTGACAAGTCATGCATGATAAACTAGACTAACCTCTTTAGGCCATCTTTAATTCCTTTAGGATTCACTTCTGTATAAAAAGCATCCCAGGTGCACCAACCAAACCAATCTAACATTCCTGGCATCTGCATTGAATAATTATGTATTAAGACATTAGTAATTCCAAGAATATTCACATGGTCTGATAGATCTTGATGATAGGCTGACTTACCTGTTTTGTTTCCCGATGTGCAAATGTTCCAAAGTACTTCTCCAAAATCCTGCATTGACCCCAATTGCAGGAAAGCGCCAATAAGTTATGAACCCACCTAATAATGTTAAGCGAGATGCCAACCACAAGGACAATAACTTCTGAATCTATATAACTTGCAACTTAAAATTTGCTCAGAGAGCTGACCTACTTCATAGAATCCTTCACCAAATCAAACGGATGGTCTCCAAAATTAACAAAAACTGCTTGCAGGGATTCTGAGGTAACTGTTGATGGATCACCTATATATGAAAGTGTACAAAAAGAAACATCAATAGACTAACAAATAACAGAAACAGTTAAGAGCTGGTGGGTAAGTAGGAACAGAACTGTTTACTCAGTACTCATGTATATAGTTACAACAATTAAATCTACATTCAACTACATTTGGCAGTTGTACCATTTTATGTTTCGTTCTATGGACAAATATAATAAGACAGAATCATCAAATGGCATCAACATTTAACATAAATTTTCAAAATTAAACTTCTAGCTTCGCTCCTATTTCTTTGTAAAGCCAGATACTATTCTTCGATAGCTTTATCACAATGTGAAACTCTGTAACGTTTAATTTCTGAAACTTACCACTCTCAACACAAAGCTCAAGTTCATCCAATGAATTCCCCTGCAGGCTGCTTCTAAATTCACCATCTAGCACAGGCAAGAAAAGGATATAAGAAGGAGAATCATCGGATGCATCAGAAGATGGTTCTTTCCTTGCTTCAAGAAGGAGCATCTGAGTTTCAACAGGAATGTCACTTCCTGAATTCCCCATCCGCGGTATCATCCACCAAATTTTAAATCGAAATATACATAGCAATCTGACATCCCTGTATCATACAAGAATAATCAAATGTTGACAAGGGTCTGTCAAATAAAAGCATAACACGCAACAAAACAAGACCCCAAAATATAAATAAAACTTACTGAATGATTCCAAGCTTGAAAACATGTCGTGCACGGTTCTCTGAGGAAGTAGCTCCCACAAATGCTGATGTGTTGTTGTATGGAGTGACAATTACATTATCAGGGACACCAGTCAAAACATCTTCGCCATTTATACAGAGATTTCCATCTTTCAGGACAGGTCTTGCACTGATAAACATAGAATGTTTCCATCTCTTTTTGACATTTAAAAACAACTTCTGCCTTTTATTGGTGGAAGTGGGAGTGTGTAAGAATGATGAAGACAATGTTCGTGAATTCAGTGTAGCAGGTGTAGAGAACATATTCATAGTGGTGGATTGAATCATCATACAGTTTTATGTTTATGGTCAGATTTATAAATATTTTATATTTGATTGGCCGTTAAAAACCGTTAAACAATGGAGAAGAGACAGTGTAGCAAAGATATGTGATGTAAGTTGGTTCCCAATTGATAAAATGATGATGAGCTTTTAGGCTTTGAGGCCACAAGTACATCTATGTTTCTCTCTTTTGTCATTTTCAATCTTCTTTGTGGTTTAAATATCCTCTCATCTTTCTCAGGACAACTCTGCCCTCGCACATCACCTCTCTCATTGCAACAACAATTTTAACGAAATAGAGGCGGCAGCGGGAACGAAATAACAATAAAACAAATCACAAGACAGTAAAGAAAGAGAAAATAATAAGCGCGATTTACCTTGGTTCACCCAAGATGGGCTACGTCTATCTGAGTCAATACTATTACAATACTTTCTTACCTTTCTCGTTTACAATGAATGAATTATCCTATGATTTGCTATCATATTCATAAAAGAAGAAAAAAATATTTATATACCAGGTTTGAAGTGACAAAACCTAGTTTAGAAGGATTAATATTTCTAAGTTCAAACCCAATAAGGAATTAATAACTTAAAGAAATCTTACAGCGGTTATACAGGGAAAAGAGTCAAACTACAAAGAATGCATCTGCATAACCCATTAATGCTGAAGTAGTCGACAACTCCAACACAATTCACCCATGGACATCATATGCATGCAGTAATTACTTATGGGAAAATGACGAAATTAAATATACTTGTAAATTTTGAACTTCCATGTCTTGATGGCTTTCACATTCTTTCTAATCAGTTCCTATTTGATAATCAACTTATTTTTGTCACTTAGAATTCTAACTATTCCTATGGCTGAAAAAGAAAAGAGTAAACATAAAAAGCTTAGTTATTAATGGGGGCAACAACAATCGGGCTTCTGACATAGTGTTTTCCATCTGTCCATGTTAGACCTCCAAATGATGTATCCACAGCACCAGACCACTTTGCTTTCAGAGTCACCTTAAACTGCTTCTCCTCACCAATTTTCTCAAATTTTAGAATTCTTGGCTCAACGGAAACTGAAACTCCAAGTGGTTCACGGATATGAGCTGCATACGTGCCAGGTGATCCAACATTCTTTAGTCTTCGAGTGACAGTGATTGAGCGAGAGAGACCAGAGACTGAAATTGAAGGATGGTTTAAATCATAAATTTTGAATGATTTCGGACATTTATGGTGTCTTCCAACGAAACGGTGAATCTTGGTCTGGTTGTAGCCCAGGCCACAGAGAAAATCACAATAATCATTCACATTTATGTCATAGACCAATCCAGGATTCATGGCACGATTGGGTCGAATGTGCCCAGAACCATAATTGTATGGTGTTGCCTTGTCGAAAGATCCATCAAGCATTGGATTCACAGTGTTGTCCCTTGTTCTTGCTGTAAAAGGAAATAACAAATTATCAGGATATAAAACATAAGATCCTCAAACATTTATTAGTAGAATTTGACAGAGACTTACCAGTTGTCATGATTGCGGATTTAATTGCAGCTGGACTCCAATCTGGGTAGAGCGACTTAAGAAGGCCAACAACTCCAGAAACATGTGGACAAGACATAGATGTACCGGACATAGTGATGAATTTAACCCTACGCGTGTCAAAAGGTTCTTCCGTAGGGCTTAATGCTCCAGTGAATGCAGCTATGATATTAACTCCAGGTGCAGTAATGTCAGGCTGAAAAATTGAAACACATTTAAGAAATGAGTTTAATTTAGGAGAGAGTTCAATCACCAATGTCATTGCCTTAATGAGCAATACCTTGAGAATCTCTGGATTTATGATGTTTGGTCCTGCAGAAGAAAATGATGCGATGAAGGGAGCAGGCTTTGCACCAATCTGTGTCTCTGGCGCGGTAATGTATCCCAGTGGGTCTCTGTAAATAAACAATTAATCAGAAGAAGCGTAATTTTAATTGCAGGCAATGGCATGTAAATGTTTGTGTTAGAGAAATACTTGGAAGAATTGATATAGGCTAGGACTTTCACACTGTCTCTGTATGTGAGATGGGAGGCCGGGAGGACATGAGGGTCGGCAGTAATTTCGTTACCGCTGGCCTTATCATTGCAAAGGATCATCCCAGCTCCACCAGCCTCCAATACTTGTCCACCCTTCTCCACTCTTGCATTATCACCCCTAACACATGCCACAATTTTACCCTTCACCTTATCAGGATCCAGAGTTTTATTCTTGCAGAGTAAGCTGCATAAATTAGAAATGTCAGGAGTATCATAGAGAATAATATAAATAAATTCAAACAATTGGTGCTTACGCATCGGAAGCAGATGCATGGGCAGCTTTAGCTTGGGCTCCAGAAATAAGTGGATAGAATCCATCACCAGGAAGAGCTGGAGCAAGGCTTGATCCCTGGTGTTTAAACAATTAAAAAGGATTGATAATATATCAAATAGAGAAGTTGAAAAAATGGGATGAATTGGTGGAAAAAGTTAATAAAATGGTACAAACTTTGAAGCGGTTTCCATTACGGAGTTCAACATAAGTCTGGAATTCTCGGTCCAAGGTACTAGCGCCCACAGTGAGCAACCAAGGTGAAAGATTTGAGACAGTTCCAAGATATGGTCCAGAATTTCCACCAGAACAAACAACAGTAATGCCGTTCTTAATAGCATGAAATGAACCGATTGAAATTCCATCATAAAAGTAATCGGATGCAGCCCCTCCAAGTGAGACAGAAATAACATCGACTCCATCATGTATGGCATGATCAAAACCTTTAAGGATATCAGCATCAAAACATTCACTGCCATTAACTGGAGGCCAGCAGACCTTGTAAGCGGCAACTCTAGCCCTAGGAGAACCACCCTTGGCAGTTCCATTGCCAAACCCAAACACACTTGCTCCTGGAACAAAGTTGCCACCTGCTGTTGATAGAGTGTGACTCCCATGCCCAACATAATCACGTGCAGACACATTATAATGCGCGGATTTTCCTGCAAATGCATCATAACCTTTGTTGAAGTACCTTGCTCCTATCAGCTTCCTGTATAAATCATAACATTTGTATACAAATGCATCAATGATTGAAAGACACAAAGATATAATTTATGAAAAGGCAAAAAGAAGTGACCAATAATGATTGTGAAAACAGAAAAAGTGGATACCATTGTTTCATGCAGATTATTAGGACTTTTATTTATGATGGAGAAAAACAAAACAAACGAAAATGAGATTGAGATGATAATTAGGGTGGTGACCTGTTGCAAGTAACCCCATCTCTGGGGTTACATTTTCCTTTCCATCTAGAGGGAATGGGTTCATAACCTTCGTCATTAAAGCTTTCTGCTTCAGGCCAAACACCTGCATTTATATACAGTATAATAATACAAAATAATTCAAACAAAGGTGATTTATAATGCAGCAAATCAGGTTCAAAGCAAAGCAAGGAGAGGTTCATACCAGTATCAAGGTTTGCTATGATGACATCTTCACCATATTTGGCTTTCTCCCAAATAGAACTGGGGTGGACGACGCCATTGTTTTCGAGTGACATAAAATTCCATGAATGAGTTGTGTGTAATTTTTTTGCTTTGTTTGGGAAAACTGACACCACATCTGGGTGCTCTGCATTGTCATTCATATATATACAATGAGAATATTAGTTTGTTTTTTAGTGAACGAAGAAAGCAAACGGGAGAGATTGAGAATGTATATTTACTTGCAATCTCGGCTGCCTCCTCCTCTTCAAGGTTGGCAGCAAAGCCATTAATATGCCTATCGTATGAATAAAATATTGCATCTTTGGCTTTCTCAGTACTGCATGTCAATAATATTTAAGCAGTTAAAAAGCAACCAGCATAAAATATAACTATCCAATAGACATGAAAGCTGCAGATACAAACCTTCCTAAAAAGGATGAAAGTAACTGATGATGAGAATGAGTTACACGATGAAGATCAGCTGTTGTAACTTGAGGGCCATGATCATGCGATCCCAAGTACACTATATAAGACTGTATATCTCAAACCAATAAACAACACAACATTAATTAATAAAAAAAAAAAAAAAAAAAAAAACCCTTTAGTATATGTAGAATTTGCTTCAAAAAAACAAGGTATATACTACCTTTTTGATGGCAAAAGCAGGCAATGAGAAAAGAATGAAACAAAGGAAGACAACGAAAGAGAAGCTTGGGAAACACATTATGCTATACCGAGGAAATTATAAAAATCTTTTGGATTTATAAAATAGGTGATGGATAGAGCACAATATATATCCCTTGATTCAAGCAGGAAGTTATTATCTTGCCATTTTATATAGTGTAGAAAGAACGACGTATTTTAACACAACTGGAATATATGTGAATAATCATAGCATTAAAAGAAATCCTGGTTTGTCTATAGGTGGAGTTGATACGGGTTTAAATATAAAATCCTTCAAATTTAGAATAGTTGGATTTGAATGGAGATTAGAAAAGATAATGACAGAATGAATCTGAGTGATCACTCAACTAATTTAGTAATTGTCACTTTAAAAAACAATCAACTCTTCATTTTTTGGGCAGTACTTATACTGTATAAGAAAGGTTTCAAAGATAAGGGATCCTCTTGATCAAATGCATTTTGACTCATTAGTGTACAAATTCATTTGAAAGAGTTTGTAAAATGAGTTTATATATCTAATAATAATCTTTAATTGATACTTGCATATTATGACTCTTAATTAAGTTTAAATATAAAGCGGCAACCTAATTACTCTTGACTTCTGTCACTAGATATATATGGGAGATACTTCAACTCTATAATTATAGTTTTGTTAGGAGATTCAAACATTATATAAAGTAAATGATATTATTTATTCTAAAAAAATTTAAATTACCTTTTGAAAGATTAATAATAATATAGTTAACTACCAGGGCAATTAGCTTTTCTCAGGAATGAATATATAAATATATGTATGTGGCTCTTCGCCTTAGCTCATCATAATTAAGAGTTAATGACTTTTTCCCATCCAAATAATGGCTTAATGACACTTTTCCACTCACAGACTTTTGAAATATCATTTTATTATCTAAATTTATACTCCAATAACGAACAGAGAATAAATTCGGTTCAGGCTGTTGGGATTTTTGAATAGAGAAGAATGATAAATCTTTTGGTGGTGAAAGATTGAATTTTGGTGATTGTGATTGATTGGAATTTGACTTGGGAGGATGGCTACGCAAACCCTAATCGCTCGATTGTCGACGATTGGCCAGATTGACAATAGTAGGTTTTGAGGGGCTTGGGTGAATGATGACTGAGGAAGAGAATAGTGGTAATGGAAGGTCGTAACGGTACTGAAATATGAAACGAAATATAACTTTAGATAATAAAATAGTATTTTAAAGTGTGTGGGTGAGAAAGTATCATTAAACGATTATTTGAGTAGGAAAAAGTCGTTTACTCATATAATTAACCACAAAGGGAGCTGCTTAACTCAAGGAAAGGACTACTCTAAAGTGCTTCAAAGGAAACACCATCTTGCAAAAAGTGGTGTATAAAGAATTTCGTTACCGCTGGCCTTATCATTGCAAAGGATCATCCCAGCTCCACCAGCCTCCAATACTTGTCCACCCTTCTCCACTCTTGCATTATCACCCCTAACACATGCCACAATTTTACCCTTCACCTTTTCAGGATCCAGAGTTTTATTCTTGCAGAGTAAGCTGCATAAATTAGTAATGTCAGGAGTATCATAGAGAATAATATAAATAAATTCAAACAATTGGTGCTTACGCATCGGAAGCAGATGCATGGGCAGCTTTAGCTTGGGCTCCAGAAATAAGTGGATAGAATCCATCACCAGGAAGAGCTGGAGCAAGGCTTGATCCCTGGTGTTTAAACAATTAAAAAGGATTGATAATATATCAAATAGAGAAGTTGAAAAAATGGGATGAATTGGAGGAAAAAGTTAATAAAAGGTACAAACTTTGAAGCGGTTTCCATTACGGAGTTCAACATAAGTCTGGAATTCTCTGTCCAAGGTACTAGCACCCACAGTGAGCAACCATGGTGAAAGATTTGAGACAGTTCCAAGATATGGTCCAGAATTTCCACCAGAACAAACAACAGTAATGCCGTTCTTAATAGCATGAAATGAACCGATTGAAATTCCATCATAAAAGTAATCGGATGCAGCCCCTCCAAGTGAGACAGAAATAACATCGACTCCATCATGTATGGCATGATCAAAACCTTTAAGGATATCAGCATCAAAACATTCACTGCCATTAACTGGAGGCCAGCAGACCTTGTAAGCGGCAACTCTAGCCCTAGGAGAACCACCCTTGGCAGTTCCATTGCCAAACCCAAACACACTTGCTCCTGGAACAAAGTTGCCACCTGCTGTTGATAGAGTGTGACTCCCATGCCCAACATAATCACGTGCAGACACATTATAATGCGCGGATTTTCCTGCAAATGCATCATAACCTTTGTTGAAGTACCTTGCTCCTATCAGCTTCCTGTATAAATCATAACATTTGTATACAAATGCATCAATGATTGAAAGACACAAAGATATAATTTATGAAAAGGCAAAAAGAAGTGACCAATAATGATTGTGAAAACAGAAAAAGTGGATACCATTGTTTCATGCAGATTATTAGGACTTTTATTTATGATGGAGAAAAACAAAACAAACGAAAATGAGATTGAGATGATAATTAGGGTGGTGACCTGTTGCAAGTAACCCCATCTCTGGGGTTACATTTTCCTTTCCATCTAGAGGGAATGGGTCCATAACCTTCGTCATTAAAGCTTTCTGCTTCAGGCCAAACACCTGCATTTATATACAGTATAATAATACAAAATAATTCAAACAAAGGTGATTTATAATGCAGCAAATCAGGTTCAAAGCAAAGCAAGGAGAGGTTCATACCAGTATCAAGGTTTGCTATGATGACATCTTCACCATATTTGGCTTTCTCCCAAATAGAACTGGGGTGGACGACGCCATTGTTTTCGAGTGACATAAAATCCCATGAGTGAGTTGTGTGTAATTTTTTTGCTTTGTTTGGGAAAACTGACACCACATCTGGGTGCTCTGCATTGTCATTCATATATATACAATGAAAATATTAGTTTGTTTTTTAGTGAACGAAGAAAGCAAACGGGAGAGATTGAGAATGTATATTTACTTGCAATCTCGGCTGCCTCCTCCTCTTCAAGGTTGGCGGCAAAGCCATTAATATGCCTATCGTATGAATAAAATATTGCATCTTTGGCTTTCTCAGTACTGCATGTCAATAATATTTAAGCAGTTAAAAAGCAACCAACATAAAATATAACTATCCAATATACATGAAAGCTGCAGATACAAACCTTCCTAAAAAGGATGAAAGTAACTGATGATGAGAATGAGTTACACGATGAAGATCAGCTGTTGTAACTTGACGGCCATGATCATGCGATCCCAAGTACACTATATAAGACTGTATATCTCAAACCAATAAACAACACAACATTAATTAATAAAAAAAAAAAAAAAAAAAAAAACCCTTTAGTATATGTAGAATTTGCTTCAAAAAAACAAGGTATATACTACCTTTTTGATGGCAAAAGCAGGCAATGAGAAAAGAATGAAACAAAGGAAGACAACGAAAGAGAAGCTTGGGAAACACATTATGCTATACCGAGGAAATTATAAAAATCTTTTGGATTTATAAAATAGGTGATGGATAGAGCACAATATATATCCCTTGATTCAAGCAGGAAGTTATTATCTTGCCATTTTATATAGTGTAGAAAGAACGACGTATTTTAACACAACTGGAATATATGTGAATAATCATAGCATTAAAAGAAATCCTGGTTTGTCTATAGGTGGAGTTGATACGGGTTTAAATATAAAATCCTTCAAATTTAGAATAGTTGGATTTGAATGGAGATTAGAAAAGATAATGACAGAATGAATCTGAGTGATCACTCAACTAATTTAGTAATTGTCACTTTAAAAAACAATCAACTCTTCATTTTTTGGGCAGTACTTATACTGTATAAGAAAGGTTTCAAAGATAAGGGATCCTCTTGATCAAATGCATTTTGACTCATTAGTGTACAAATTCATTTGAAAGAGTTTGTAAAATGAGTTTATATATCTAATAATAATCTTTAATTGATACTTGCATATTATGACTCTTAATTAAGTTTAAATATAAAGCGGCAACCTAATTACTCTTGACTTCTGTCACTAGATATATATGGGAGATACTTCAACTCTATAATTATAGTTTTGTTAGGAGATTCAAACATTATATAAAGTAAATGATATTATTTATTCTAAAAAAATTTAAATTACCTTTTGAAAGATTAATAATAATATAGTTAACTACCAGGGCAATTAGCTTTTCTCAGGAATGAATATATAAATATATGTATGTGGCTCTTCGCCTTAGCTCATCATAATTAAGAGTTAATGACTTTTTCCCATCCAAATAATGGCTTAATGACACTTTTCCACTCACAGACTTTTGAAATATCATTTTATTATCTAAATTTATACTCCAATAACGAACAGAGAATAAATTCGGTTCAGGCTGTTGGGATTTTTGAATAGAGAAGAATGATAAATCTTTTGGTGGTGAAAGATTGAATTTTGGTGATTGTGATTGATTGGAATTTGACTTGGGAGGATGGCTACGCAAACCCTAATCGCTCGATTGTCGACGATTGGCCAGATTGACAATAGTAGGTTTTGAGGGGCTTGGGTGAATGATGACTGAGGAAGAGAATAGTGGTAATGGAAGGTCGTAACGGTACTGAAATATGAAACGAAATATAACTTTAGATAATAAAATAGTATTTTAAAGTGTGTGGGTGAGAAAGTATCATTAAACGATTATTTGAGTAGGAAAAAGTCGTTTACTCATATAATTAACCACAAAGGGAGCTGCTTAACTCAAGGAAAGGACTACTCTAAAGTGCTTCAAAGGAAACACCATCTTGCAAAAAGTGGTGTATATGGATATATAATTGGTGAGAAAGAAGCTATTCGGGAAAATGCAGTAACTGCCAATAAAATTTTACTAGTGATTGGCAGCTGAAGCAATATTACATGTCCTCTGATGAAGTACAATGGAGGCAGCAGGCAGTGAATGTGAATGAAAGATGAAACATCCTGGAGCTAGAGCTATTCCGGCCTTACACTATGTAATTGATGTTTTGTATTGAAATGTCTCACCATACCATCTCCTACATATTGTTCTTGCTCACATTTGAGATAAATGTGCAGAAACAACAGCAAAGAAACATTCATTTTTCCAGAATTCTCCTTCTGAACCAAGTAAGTAAAGATGGAAAAATTGATTGGAGTGGAGCGTGGTCAAAGTGATTTGCGTTTAATTAATTGTTTGGTCATTGTAAGTGGACCCCCAATGGACCAGTGCCAGGTTTGAAAATTTTGCAGAAAAGACACCATTAAAGTTTTAAATCTGGGGAACTGTGTGTCCAATCAATCGTATGCTAGATTTTTCTTTTCTTTTCTGCCCCACGTTGATCAACTCTTCTTCTTGTTTAATATACATACGCATAGCAAAAGCATAGAATTCAAATCATAATTTTATTCGGATTTCTTTTTCATAAATACAGAAGCGGCTATCACCTGTACCCCTGGTGATCCAGCCATTTACAATCATTATATGTCACCAGTACCCTCAGTGGCCCGGCCCCGGATAGTCATTTTATTACACTTTGCCTTTAACCCGAGTAACTCTCTTATTTCACAATAATAAGAAATGTATAGAATATGCCAAATTTCAATCTTATTTAACAAAAATCAAACAGAAGAAAGGACAATACAAAAAATGATCAGTTTGAGTTGCTTATCCAATATGCTTCAACAATAGATACATAATGCAGCTAATTGAGATGGAAATAAATGAACTTGTTTGGAATGATGATCAAATATATGTATGGAAGCAATGGCATCTTAAGTAAATGGTTGGATTTAATTTAAAAGAGAAGGAAGCCAACGCCAATGCAACCCAACCCATCTGCACAAACGTACAGCTAATGTTGGCCTTGTCTTATTCCATGGTTTTGGCTCCGTCTAGAAACCATCAAAACCTCTTTAACCCTTCTGCCCTTTACTATTATTTTTTTCAAAGAATAAAATACAAGAATCGATTTACACTACAAAACCACACAATCACTCAAAGATATTGATTTAACAACACAACACAAAAAAGCAAAAATATAATAGAGTGGGGGGTCACACCCCTTTATCAAGGAAAGAAAATCCAAATAAGGCTACCTGTAAAACCCAGGCAGTTTTGGCTCTATCTATGGAACTATTTGTTAGCAACAGGTCTTGGTTGCCGCCTTCTCCACGACCTGTCACTCTCCTTTCTATGGACTTTCTTTTGTTTTTGGCTTCTAATATTAATTTACTTCTTCTTCAATTCTTAATTCATATATCCATCCTTCTACTTCTCTTTCCTTCCTATAATTATAAGTCGCACTGCAGCTGGGAGTATCGCACAAAATAGACGCTCTGCACTCACTGTTTTTCGGTTTTTCATCTTATCTTATCCGATATATACCTGTAAGTCTCTGAATTCCATTCGATGAATAGTTTTAGTTTACTTGAATTACTAACTAAATGCCCGTTAGCTACCTGAAGCTTACTGATTATGTAGCTGATTAAGTAGTTAATAACACGGGTAAGTAATCATGTTTTCTTTGACATGGCAGACGGATTATTCCTTTTTCTGACTTTTGGAGGTTCTATTCTACTGTTGTAGTAAAAAGAGAAAAGCAGTGTGATACGTGTTTTAATTGCTTTGGTGCACACAGTTGGTTTATTTGAATGAATTTAATATGCAGATTGAGGAGGGTTAAGAGTTGAAAGCAACGTTGAGTTAGTGGGTGGGAATGTTTGTTTCTGCCTGGCTCCCTGAATGCCATATAAGAAGTTTGTCAAAGAGTGTTGGCAATCTTCCTACTTGGCGTGAAGGGAGTCATGCAGGCCTTGTCAATCTTTCTACTCTATTCTCAGCCCCGGGGTGCCCTCATCGAATCTCATCTAAATCATCATCAGTAAACTACATCTATATATAGATTAATTGCTGTTCTGTTTTATGCAAATGCCTAATTAACTAAAACAAAAGGTATATATTGTTGACTCTCTTTTCTTTAATCATGTACAGCGGTCTTCCTTCAGGGAATCGGAAAACAACTAATCATAACCTTTTGTTGAGGCATATGTTTTTGAGAAGTCTTATGATATATGCCATATGGTACATCTATCAGTCAACTGCATGCAGTGACTTCAATCTGTGCATTTCTGTTTCAAGATAATTATTTCTCATTATATTATTGATTAATCTCAGCATATTTCCTTTCTCATATATTTAGGAATGCAAGTGCAGAAGCAAGCTGATGATCATTGGTATGTTTATATTTACCAATAATACTAACCTTATTAATCCCTCTCACTAATCCCATGTGGGAGTTTGTCATTGTCTTCGTTAAGTAGGATCCATTATTGGACAGACGGGTCTCATGTAAATTGATGAATTGTGAGCTGACATATAACATTAATGAGAGAAAGTTAGTGAGAAGTGTTAGTGAGTGTAGTGTTACTCTTATATTTACAATGAATGACGTATAGTTTTAACATAGAAACCAGTAGAGATATTATATTAATATATTGGTGTCAAAGTCTTATATTGATTAAAAGACGAGAGTTTTGATCGTTTATTTAATATAATGACACCTTCACTACCCAGAGAGTTTTGATTGTTTATTTAGCATAATGACATTCTCACCACCCAAATATACATTTTTAAGACAAAATTGTGAATATCTTTGAAAACTCACCTAGAATGTGTCCCCGGGGCATAGGACTCCCAAGCCCTTCAAGCCCTGCACATTGGTTAAGAGACTCAGGAACTTTTTTTTTCAGGATAAAATTATGCAAGTCCCAAGACTGGACAATGCCTCTAAAAACCAACCATTTGTCCTAGAGGTAGACACATCTTCTTAAGAAGGGTTTTGTCACTACTTGTGAGACATGTGGCTATGAAAGGGATCATTTAGTGTTGGTGGGGGCACTGGTGGATCCAGAAATTTCACTCGATGGGGGTAAAAAATAAACAAAAAAAATTTGTGGGGGCAAAATGTCAAAGTCTTATAAGGGGTAAAATGCAACTAAATATAAATATCTATGGGTTCGTTTGGTTTATTATTTTGGATAGGATTTTGAGAATAATATTGGGTAATTGGATAGGGGAGTATTACGAGGTAAAATTTAAAAATTTATGAAAAAGCCCATAGGTTTGCTAATTTAACTAAATACCCTAATATATAAAATGACAAAAACACCCCTACCACCTACAATGCCAGATTCCGGCCACTACCATCGGAATCTGGCCAGAAAATCGTGTTACGACACAGACCAGTCGGATCTGTGTCGTAACACATCGTTATGGCCTTTTTCGGCCAGATCATCAGATCTACGGCCTGTTGTGGCCGCGACAGCCAGAAAAGGCCAAAACAACGACCATCTTTGGCCGTCGTTGACCTCAACGACAGCCATTTCTTTGGTCGTCGTTTGCGGCCAGATCAGTGAGATTTCAGCCATTTCTAGTTGGCAGGTAGGCTATTGTACAGATTCCGGCTACCACCGACGGTGGTTGCCGGAATATGGCAAGTATGGGTCGTGGGGGTGTTTTTGATAATTTTTAAACTTTTTTTTTCAGGGTGTATTTGATGAAATTAATAACCTTATGGAGTCTAAAAATAATTAAAAAATAGGGTAATATTTCTGAAATAATATGCCAAATATTATTTAGAGAATAAGATTGAGAATATGGATAAAAATAATAAGCCAAACATGCCCTATACAATCGGTAAGTTTTTTAAAGTTTGAGTGGGGGCCATGGTCCCCACTCGTCATTAAGTAAATCCGCCACTGGGTGGGGGTAGCTTATAGTGTTGAATCAAATCAGTGATAGGGATTGTTATCCAACACTCTAGCTATCTATAATTACCACCAGAGAAGTCGTTTTTTTATTGTATTAATGAACCCATGGATACAAACATAAGCTTGTCGTCACCACCTATGCAATATGCTTAATTACTTTCAAGTTTCAGCTTTGGTTATTATTATTGTCCAAGGATTTCCTTAATTAGTTGTACCTTCTTCCAGCTGACTGAAATTGACTTTGCCATACACATATTTTGGATTATATATACGATCTAGTAAGTCGTAAAGAATGGGTTTCAGTTGGTAACCAAAAAAAGAATGGGATTCAGTTGAAGTAATCATTCTATGTATTTACTGCCGTTTGAACTATATTAATTAATTACTGTTGTTAAATCGACTTTTGAAAAACTCGGCGATTGACCAAGACTTGAGAGTCTTTTTTTTTTAATTTCTAATAACCCAAGAGGAGAACAGCTAGCCAATTTTGAAGCACACATTGTCAAAGAATGGTTTCGTATTTCATGATGCATTCACTTGATATTGACGCGGTCTACATAGAATGTTCTAGGAAACAGCTGATGTGAATATCCATGGCAGAAAAATTAACACAAATTTCTTAAGATTCACGCAACCATTTAATTTGAGTTACTCGAGTATATAAGCAGGGTTTTGGTGTCTTCACACTCAAAACATTAGCGTTTTCCAAGTAAGAAGTAGTTCCTCGTTCTATATTCTTATTCCCCAATCCAACAAACGAATATTCAACTTCAAGAGGAATAATTTGAGGAAACAATATGAAGGTACGTGTATCTAATTACCTTGTAATTTGTCTTGGCTTATTGCATAATATTCTAGTAATGCATATACTGATTAAAAAATAACTATATATGGTTTTGTGGTGGTTTCAGCAAAAGATTGTGATGAAGGTACAGATGAATTGCCAGAAATGTCGGGCTCAGGCACTCCAGGTCGCTGCAGACGCAGACGGTAATTAATGTTTCATGACAGTAATTGGTAATAATTTTTAGATAAAGAATTAATATAAGATTAATGGTAATGCATGCAGGTGTTAACTTCCTGGCATTAGAAGGAGCTGAGAAAGATAAAGTGGTGGTGATTGGAGATGGAGTTGATGCTGTTAAATTGGCTACCAGCTTGAGGAAGAAGGTTGGGCATACGGAACTTATGAGTGTTGCAGAAGTCAAGTCTAATTAATTACGAGTCTTACCGACCCACCTACCCTACAAATTCACATTTATCTTTCTCTGCCTACTACTTACTATTGTTCTCCGGGAGCACCTGTAATGTAGTTTAGTTTTTGTATTTCCAGAGAGATTATTAGTTTTATAAAAGAATCTAAATCCCACTGATCATGTGCTTGGTTACTATAAAGCTTCTCTGAAACTTCTCCATGTCAATCTTCAGTGGACCTTGCAATTGCAGGGTAAACGATTATCTAAAGCCATGAGGCAAACAAGCAATAACCTCGCTAATGAATTCAATTTCACTAATAAGAGTGTTAATTTTATTTAGATTGAAGAGATCCAAAGTCAAGAAAATTTTATACAATGAAGATGGCTAGATGCTACGGTTCTAATCAATACAGATTTTCTTATTGCCATTAACCTTTTGCAAATTCATTCTCTGTGATAAATTAATTAACTTTTTACTATTTGATAATTGATTGTATATTGAGAAAAATAAAATGTAACCAGCGAATTGTAGCAACAACAGTAGCGGTGTTTGCTTTCCCGGCCCAGACGGAACCAATAAAAGGTCCAAAGAGATTGCAGGCCTGTTTGGCGGACAAATGGTCAGATTTTGCGTCTCTTTCAGTTTCAACACTTTCCCACCGTCATTGTCAAACCGTCATTCAAAAGCCTAGTTTTTCAAATCGTGGTATCACAACATACATCTTTTTTTTTTTAAAAATTAATAAAATAATAATTTTTTTTAAAATTAATATCTAATTTTGTGATATTATTTACTTTATAATAATACGTAATTAAAATTAATCATAAAATTAAAAATCTATATTATTTATAAGATCGATGTAAATATCTATCATTATGTTTGGCTTACTATTTTTATCCAGATTCTGGATCCTATTCTCTAAATAATGTTTAGCACGTTATTCCAAGAATATTACCCTATTTTTTTAATTACTTTTAGATCCTACAAGGTTATTAATTTAATCAAATACACCCTAAAAAAAAAGTTTAAAAATTATCAAAAACACCCCCGTAACCCATACTCTCCAAATTCCGACAACCACCGTCGGTGGTAGCCGAAATCTATACAACGGCCAACCTTCCGACCATAAATGGCCGGAAGTTCACCGATCTGGCCTTTTCCGACCAGATCCACCACGGATTTGGCCGGAAAAGGCCAGATCTGGCCGTGAATGACGGCCAAAGAAATGGCCGTCGTTGAGGTCAACGACGGTCAAATCTTCGCCATCGTTAACCGAAAACGACGATAATATCTTTGGCCGTCGCTGACGGCCAAAGATGGCCGTCGTTTTAGCCTTTTTCGGCCGTCGACGGCCATGGCAGGCCGTAGATCTGGCCTTTTTCGGCCAGATCTGTGGTGGATCTGACCGGAAAAGGCCATAACGACTCGTTACGACACAGATCCGACCGGTCTGTGTCGTAACTCGATTTTCCGGCCAGATTCCGGCGGTGGTGGCCAGAATCTGACACTGCAGGTGGTGGAGGTATTTTTGTCAATTTACATGTTGGGGTATTTATGAAATTAGCAAACTTAGGGGGTTTTTCTATAAATTTTTAAATTTTACCTCGTAATACTCCCATATTTAATTATCCAATACTATCCCCAAAATCCTACCCAAAATAATAAACCAAACGCATACTATAACTCTACTTATGTTATTATTATCATATAAAATAAATAACACATCTTTCTTTTATTTTCTTCATGTAAAATAGATAAATTTGGGTAGGTTTTAGTGAACTAGGTTGGATGATTCGAATTTGACCTGAAATTTTGTTTAGATTTTTAGCCCAAATTAATAAAGTTGTATCGATATTTTTAAGAATACAAACAAATACGTATCGTATCGGATGATATATATCAATGTATCAAAAGATTTATAATACATTTTCTGATATATATCGTTGACAATCCGTATCGAATCGTATCATAGCATATGTATCGCGTAGTATAGTACGATACTAACAAGTAACAACCATGTTCCCCACACGTATGATTCCACGTTTTTCCCTCTCCTTCCTCCACGTCCACGTACACAAGCAGAACCATCTGGGTTCCTGTCTTCAGCTTCATTTACAAGCGAATTAAAACCTCTTTATGTCTCCTTCCTTGCTTGTTTCACTGTAAAAACCATGGCTCTTTCACTCCCAGAAGACACCAATCTCACCACTCACCAACAACCCAGTAATTTATCATTCTCTTCTATAAACCTTCGAAACATCTCTCACCTAGCTGATTACGTTTCTAACCCCAACACTTACACAAACCCACTTGATCAAAATAGTTTCTTTCACCCTTCAGATGGTTTTTACATAACACATACAGACATCATTCTGCGTCAGATAGCCCATGATCTCTCTGGGACATTCTCTCCTCCCTCTCCTCCCTTGGCTTATCTTAGAGCTGGTCCACGTAAGCAGATCTTCTATGACCCCAAAACTACCCGGGCTGCCATTGTTACATGTGGTGGACTGTGTCCTGGGATGAACACTGTCATTAGGGAGCTAGTGGTGGGGCTGTGGGAGCTGTATGGTGTGAGACAAATTTATGGGATTCAAGCTGGGTACAGAGGATTTTATTCCAGGGAGCCTGTGGAGTTGAGTCCTAAGATGGTGCATAAATGGCATAAGAGAGGTGGCACTGTGCTCGAGACCTCTAGGGGTGGTTTTGATCTCAATAAGATTGTTGATGCTATTCAACACCATGGATTTAATCAGGTACCGATTACCTTTACTTTCTGCTTAATGTGTTTTACTTTGTTTTATAATCAGTATTGTCCCTTTTACTTTCATTTTTCTTTTCTTTTTCTGACTAAAAGAATGTTGAAAACTATTAAGAACAATCGGAAAGAACCGTTCCAATTATAAAGCAAAGCATGGAACTGCTTTGCTATTTTCTAGTTACACTGCCTTTAACTTATTTCTTTGTGTAAATTATGCTAATCTTCCCTTTTTCTTTTTGAAACGCAGTAGTTAATGTCGTCTGGTTTTTTTTTCATATTCTTGGAGGGCTTTTTATTTATTTTTTCGATATCTTTACCATACAGGTGGACATCCCTTGGCCCTTTTGATATGATTAGTTAGCAATTACTTTATATATGTCGTCCCCTCATCGCACTTGAACATTGTAACTTAGTTTGATTTTCTTTATCACCTCTGCTTCTCTGAATATGATCAAGTCATTGATTCACTATATCTACTTCAGATTTGGGACCTGCTGCAACTATTTCAATAAATTACAAATCACAACCGTTTGCGTTAAGCAGACCAAACAACTTGAATAAAATTTATTCTTGATTGACAAGAATTAAATGTCCATCATTTTCCCAACACATTCCATGTGCCTTAGGAATCTTGAGAAGAGACCCAGCAACTTCTTGAGTGTGAATTCATCTACGTTGTTATGTACTTTATTCTACACATGTAGTAAAGTTTAAAGCAGTCTTGTTCTGATGTTCGCATGCACATATTTTGATATTCTGCTGCAGTATTGATTTTGGCATTTAGGAAAACAAAGTAATCATAAGAGTTAAAGCTTAAATAAATGGTACAAACAGGAATCCTGATGCCCTCTTGTTTTGGAACTCTGTTCTGAAATGCTTTGGCAAGCATCTGAGTCTTTTCATTTGTGTCTTTCATAAGTTGAAGAATGTTAACGTTAAAGCGATTTTGTATGACCTTTTGGGAATAAGTGTCAAAGAAAGAATTCAAATCCAAGATTTACGAATTACTTATGTGTCGCTCATTCAATTAAGGATTTTGGTTCATAAAAACTCTAGTCAAAGTGCTTTCATCACTCAAGAAATCCATCAATAGCTAATGTATTAAAGGAAGATTACCTTTGTTTTGAAACCTCAATGGAGTAAAAAGTTTTTTCTAATAGAATTATCTGCTGGCGTATGTATCAAAATGAAAGCTTTGTTATCTTGTCTTGCACCGAGTACTGTAGAAAGAATGACTTTGTTTCGTGTAGTCATTATGGCTCCTTTATTGCCTGCTCTGTGTGATATTCAGATTTGTTGATAAGGTCTCAAGTGCTTTCTTCAAGAACTGAAAACTGGTTGAAATTGATGATCCCACTACTTGATATTTGTTGCATGAACTATCTGCTGCGTCTCTACTCTTGATTAAATACTATATGCATGCTAGAGAATAGAATCACAAACGAAGGTTTGGTGGATGTAATGCCCTTTTATGTCTTACTCATGTTTTCATTGTAATGGCGATGCTTATTGAATATTTCTATATGCTGCATTCCAAAAACGTGAGCAGGTATACATCATAGGTGGAGATGGCACCATGCGTGGAGCTGTAAAGATTTTTAATGAAATCCAACAACGGAAACTGCATGTTGGAGTTGTTGGAATTCCAAAAACTGTTGACAACGATGTAGGAATTATTGATAGATCATTTGGGTTCCAGACAGCAGTAGAAATGGCTCAGCAAGCAATCAGTGCTGCTCATGTGGAGGCAGAGAGTGCTGTTAATGGAATTGGCCTGGTGAAGCTAATGGGTCGAAGCACAGGACACATAGCCCTTCATGCAACATTGAGCAGCCGTGATGTGGATTGCTGTCTAATTCCTGAAACTGAATTTTACATGGATGGGAAAGGAGGGCTTTTCGAATTTCTTGAAAACCGGCTGAAAGAGAATGGGCATGCCGTACTGGTTGTAGCAGAGGGAGCAGGGCAGGATATGATACCGAGAACTGATGCCCAGAAAGAAGAGAGGGATGAATCTGGAAACTTGGTTTTCTTAGATGTTGGTAGCTGGATGAAGTCAGAGCTAAAGAAGTGGTGGGACAGAGACCACCCAGATGAGTTGTTTACAGTGAAGTACATAGATCCTACATATATGATACGTGCAGTTCCTGCAAATGCTACGGATAACCTGTATTGTACACTACTAGCACATTCGTCAATTCATGGTGTTATGGCAGGTTATACTGGATTTGTGTGTGGTCCTATTAATGGATACTATGCATATATTCCATTGGAAGAGGTGGCACAGGCTAAGCATGAAGTTGATACAAGGGACCATAAATGGGCATGGGTGAGGTCTGTGACCAATCAGCCTGATTTTGGGAAGAGCTAAAATAATGTTTGAGCTTACAACAATCCAAGGCCAAGTGCTTTCCTCAGTGAATGCATCTGGGTTTGCCAGTGCAGTTTCTTGTTTGTTGATAATAAGAAATTGAGATTATTGAGCTGTATCACAATATGTCAGGACTTAAAACGGGCATATTTTGATGTCAATCCAGTGTAGTTGGGCTTTTGTTGCTTGCATTCTTCAATGTTAATATGCTGCTGTCAAGCACAGATACAGTTAGTTAATAAAATGTATGTTATGTTTTACTTTCATTCACAATGAAATATCAAATATATATTTGTTAATGTGTCTATGTGAATGGATTCAAATCTAGCTAACGCTTTAACACCAACCTATATGCCAGATGTATTCTAAATGGTAGGATCCTCGAAAAATATGAAATTGTTTCCATCTTTTTAGCACTGGACACTGGTGGATTATTATGGTAATTTTATATTTGTATAAGAATGATTGAAGAGATTTGTGCTGGGGCCATTGCATAAGTATCATGTGGTCTATGAATCTTTATTCTTTGCAAAGGCGCAATGTTATAAGTGGAGAAAGATAGAGAAAACTCAGTAGAAATTGTCATCATGTGCACTGAAATGACTGAGTTACTAATACAGTGCTGTCCTCTGGAAAGATAAAAAATAAACCCTTTGGTACACAATTTTTCACTACTCTATTCCCTATTCTATCCAAAATATACATTTATTTCTTTATTCTCAAAATATTACTCTATATAATTCAATTCTTTTAAACCCCCTAGATTTGTTAATTTAAATAAACAGCCCTAAAAAAAAAATTTAGAAATTGGTGAAAACACCCCAGCAACCCACATTTGCTAGATTCTGGCCACCACTGCCAGAAGCTGGTATAATGGCGCATTACCCGCTGGATCTGACTAGTATTGCGTTGATCTAGCCTTTTCTGTCCAGATCCACGAAAAAGGCTAGATCTACGGCCAAAGATATGTCCGTAGCCAGTCGTCAACGACAGTCATATCTTTGGTCATTGTTGAAGATCAAATGCGGCTAGATCTGGCCGTCAATGGCCAAATCTAACCGTAAATCTGTCTTTTTCTTGCCAGATCCATTGTGCATCTGGCTAGAAAATGCCATATCGGTGCACGACCAGCCAAATCCAACTAGTTGTACGTCAATACGGCGACTTTGGCCACCCTCTAACAGTGGTGGCCGGCTGTCGGTGTTTAATGGGTGGGTGGGGGTGTTTTTGTTATTTTTTAATATTTTATTATAGAGGTGTTTAATAAATAAACAAACCTAAGGGTATTTTTGTTAATTTCTAAATCCTACATCGTAGTAACTACCCAATTTTACTTTTTTCAAAATATTATTCTGAAAAGGATCAGAATAATGAACCTAGTGCACCCAAAATTTTCTTTGGCTAAGGAATCACCAAAGACGGAAAAACTTTAGCGGTACGTGGGATTGCCTATAATCTTGCTCTCACTGCTTTGTATTAAAAATAAGGCCGAACCACATTCGAGGCATTTTATTAAAAGGCCAAATCAAGTTTAAATTTAATTAAAAGGCCTTATTGTTTTAAAGTGTTAAGTAAGTAGCCTTATTATTAATTAAGGTTAATTAAACATGATTAGTGGTTAATTAGGATTAATGAAGTATTGTGTAATCTTTTAAAAATTATAATATGTCCCCAAAAAGCCAAAATTCTTGTAACCAAACCCAAACACATTCGTCTTCTTCCTCATACCATTAACGCACCTCCTCTTGTTGTTGTTCCTTCTAAGCTTCGTCTACATCTTCTTCCTCCTTCCTCTACATCTTCTTCTTCCTCTGCCATTTAACATCTTCTCACTGTTTTAAAAGCTGGACCGGACCAGCCTGTCCAACCGGTTGGACCAGGAATCGGTCACGTGTCCGGTTCGAGTCAACCCTAAAACCGCCATTATTAATTGAGCCGCTTTAAACCGTTAAAAAATCGCATAATATCAGTGAATCGCCGGTCCAACTGGACCAGCAGATAAACTGGTCCAAATATTACAATCCCTAATACGCGACGCGATGCAGCCCTTTCTCATCTTCTTCTCCTTCAGTCTTTCTCAGTTTTTCTTATGAAAATTTCTCAGCAAACACTCTGTTCTCTGCGAAAATTTATCAGCTTCGTCTCTGTTGTCTATTCTCTGCGAAAATTCTCATGGTTTCGGCTCTGTCTTTTGTTCTCTTTGAAATCCCACCCAAATCGCATCTGAACTCTCTGAAATCGACGACGACGTCTTCCTCCCTCGTCGGAAATCGATGATGTCTTCTCCCTCGCCGAAAATCGACGACGACAGCTCCCTTCCTCTTTGGAAATAAACTACGATAGCTCTATTCGTTGACGACAGCTACATTCCTCGATCCAGGTAATAAACACGCCATTCCTCGATCCGTTTACATTTAAGTTAACACCCTTTACATTTTTCAATCTGTTGCACTATCCAAATTTGTTAAGTCATGGAAGTTAAAATGAGTTAAGTTGAGTCTCACCAGGTTCACAACTCGTAGGTCTTTTTGGTGTAACGATTTCAGCATGGCCTTCAATGAAACAACTGTTTTCACCAGAGACGGATCTCCCCTGATAACCACCTGTTTCCCATCCACCTCAAACTTCATGGTAAGACACTTCTAATTCGCACACACATCACCTAACGTACTTAACCACGTAATTCCGAGTACCACATCAGCTCCTCCCAAGTCAAAAGGAAAAAAATCTTGTACTACCGTCAATCTTGGCATGACTAACTCCAACCCCTTACACACCCCTGTACTACGCACTGTTAACCTATTTCCCACCATTACACCAAAAGCCTTGTTTCTTGCACCTTTAAACCCAGCTATCGAACTAGATCTTGAGAGATGAAGTTGTGTGAAGCTCCACTGTCAACCATCACAATGACTTCAGATCTTTGCAAATCACCCCGAAGCTTCAGAGTGGTAGTTGACGTCAAACCCACTATGGAGTGCATGGATAGAGCTACTAGATCTTCTTCTGCGTGGCCTTCTTCCTCGGTGTTCACCATTGTTTCAACTTCCCTCAGTTCTTCCTTTACATCTGTGACTAACAAGATCTGGAGAGTTTGATTTTTGCATTTGTGAGCTGGCCCAAACTTCTCATCACACTTGTAACAAAGCCCTCTCTCCCTCTTGTACTGTAGCTCTGCATCGGTGAGTCACCGAAAGTTGTTGTCGTGAGAGGTGGGTGGCGCTGATTCAAGTAGTCTTTCTTCTTTTACATTTCGCAATTGAAAAGGTGGAAGACGATATGGAGGTTTCATTGAATTGGGTACCCTCCCAATTTTAAGAGGTTCTGGGCCAGGTGTAAACCTATTATAAACTTCCCTTTACTGGTCCATTGGGCTTGGCCCGCTTTCCATTTGCTTTTTTTTCTAAAACCCAATTCTTTTCTTCAATCCTATGGGCTTGGTCCATGAGCTCAAACAGATTGTTGGGCCTAACTAATCTCAATTCAGCCCTTATCTCTTCCTTCAGCCCACTTGTAAATGTACCCATGAGCAACTCTTCTTCAACCTCTTGCATGGGTGCCGCCAGCAGCTCAAACTGCTCACGATAGTCAGTCACGGTGGTGGTCTGTTTTAGCGTTACTAGTGATTCAAATGCCGATCCTTTGTATGACGGCCTAAACCGGTCGATCATCGCTTTTTTGAACGATCGCCAGTCCGTAAATGGCACACGTGAATCTACCCATTGGAACCAGTTCAGCGCTCGCCCCTCCATGCACATTGCCGCGGCTTCCAACTTCTCCTCTTCAGCAAACTTGTTCACCTGGAAGTATCTGTCGGCTCTGAAGAGCTAGCCATGGGGATCCTCACCATAAAATACCAGCAACTCCAATTTTATCACCTTCCGATCTTCTCCTCCACTCGCGCTGGACTTTGATTGATTTTGGCTTCGATCATCGTGGCTTCCATGGATCTCCGACGATTCGGTCTTATGCTTCCCTCGGTTCACACTTCCATCCCTCTCCTCCTTCACTTTAATCCATTCCCTCAACTCCAGCAGGTACTCCTTGATATTGCCGACATCCTCCTTAACAGTGTTAACGTCTTCCTTAACACTTCCCACCTCTCTCTCAATTGCTTCCATTCTTCCCTCCATTCTCCTATTCACCATACCAAACCAGGCTCAGATACCAATTTGTTGAGAACCCAGATCCTCCAACTCAACGCAACCCAACTTTGATTGTAATTCCAGAACTCAAACAAACAGTGTTCCAACACCAAACAGAAATGAGGAATGTAGTGTTACTATGAATATTGCACTGTATTGATTGATGAATGTAATGACAACAACACTGTGAAAAACATATAAGAAAAACAATACTGTAAATGTAAAGATAGCTAGCTCTTCGAGGGGCTAGTTCCTCCCAATTTCACACTCAAAAGATATCCCTTTTACAATTTGAATCTCTCAGTATATACCGCAACGTCACACGCAATGCATGGTTCTGTCCACGTGGATAACTAACTCCCCCTCTTGCGCGCACCCGTTATTTGCCCGTAAGGTTCCTTTTGTAAACATGAGTAGTAGGGGTCGAAGCACTATGGTTCCAGATCCTCCTCTTGTTTTTAAGCAGCCAACCAATCTGGTAACTCCATCAGAGATTTTATCAACCGTTGCCTCATGTTCTGAAAATTCTCAGCTTGGTCAGCGCATGAATGCTGGAGCCTCATCCTCAAATCTTATACTTTCAGTGTTCCCTTTACCTTCTAGTTCTTCAGGCGTGTCCTCCTCCGAATGGGTTTTAGATTCTGGAGCATCACACCATATTTCTCATGATTTGAAATCCTTTGTTTCCTTGCATCCACCATCATCTCTGCAAATCATGGCTGTTAGTGGCCCTTATATGGCAATAAAAGCAGTTGGTTCTGTGAAAACAGATAAATTCTCTCTTTTTGATGTTTACTATCATCCTGATCTCAAAGTGAACCTTGTCTCTGTTAGTCAATTGTTTGATTCTGGTTACTTAATCTCTTTTACTCGTACCACTTGTCTTGTGTGGGATCCGCAGTCCCAGAAGCAGATTGGGAAAGGTTGTAGGCAACGGGGATTATATGTTTTGGATGAGCTGAGATTACCAATGCCTGAAGCTGCCAATAGCTTTCCACAAGTCCCTTCCACTACAGGGGATTCTCAGAAAGTCCATCATCTCTCTGGGACATTCTCTTCTCCCTTTCCTCCCTTGGGTTATCCTAGGGCTGGTCCACGTAAGCAAATCTTCTATGACCCCAAAACTACCCGGGCTGCTGTTGTTACATGTGGTGGACTGTGTCCTGGGATGAACACTGTGATTAAGGAACTAGTGGTGGGGTTGTGGGAGCTGTATGGTGTGAGACGAATTTATGGGATTCAAGCTGGGTACAGAGGGTTTTATTCCAGGGAGCCTGTGCAGTTGAGTCCTAAGATGGTGCATGGATGGCATAAGAGAGGTGGCACTGTGCTCGAGACCTCTCGGGGTGGTTTTGATCTCAATAAGATTGTTGATGCTATACAACACCATGGATTTAATCAGGTACCGATTACCTTTACTTTCTGCTTAATGTGTTTTACTTTGTTGCATAGTCAGTATTGTCCCTTTAACTTTCTTTTTTCTTTTCTTTTTCTGAGTAAAAGAATGTTGAAACCATTAAGAACAAGTGGAAAGAACGGTTCCAATAATAAAGCAAAGCATGGAACTGCATTGCTATTTGCTAGTTTCACTGCCTTTAACTTATTTCTTTGTGTAAATTATGCTAATCTTCTCTTTTTCTTTTTGAAACGCAGTAGTTAATGTTGTCTGGTTTTTTCATATTCTTGGAGGTTTTATTTTCATATTTTGATATGCAAGATGACATCCCTTTGCCCTTTTGATAAGATTAATTAGCAATAAGTTTATATTATGTCATCCCATCATCGCACTTGAACATTGTAACTTATTTGATTTTCTTTTTATCACCTCTGCTTCTCTGAAAATGATCAAGTCATTGATTCACTATATCCTCATTTACTAGACTTCAGATTTGGGACCTGCTGCAGCTGTTTCAATATATTACAAATCACAACCGTTTGCGTTAGGCAGACCAAACGACTTGAATAAAATTTATTCTTGATTGACAAGAATTGAATGTACATCATTTTCCCAGCACATTCCGTGTCCCTTAGGAATCTTGAGAAGAGACCCAGCAACTTCTTGAGTGTGAATACATCTACTTCCTTCTGTACTTTATTCTACACATGTAGTAAAGTTTAAAGCAGTCTTGTTCTGATGTTCGCATGCATATATTTTGATATTCTGCTGCAGTATTGGTTTTGGCTTTTAGGAAAACAAAGTAATCATAAGAGTTAAAGCTTAAATAAATGGTACAAACAGGAATCCTGGTATCCTCTTGTGTTGGAACTCTGTTCTGAAATACTTGGGCAGGTATCTGAGTCTTTTCATTTGTGTCTTTCATAAGCTGAAGAATGTTAACATTAACGCGATTTTGTGTGACCTTTTGGGAGTAAGTGTCAAAGAAAGAATTCAAATCCAAGATTTAAGAATTACTTATGTGTCGCTCATTCAATTAAGGACTGTGGTTAATGAAAACCGTAACTCAAAGCGCTTTCATCACGCAAGAAATCCATCAATAGCTAACGTATTATAGGAAGATTACCATTGTTATGAAACCTCAATGGAGTAAAAGGTTATTTCTAATAGAATTATCAGCTGGCGTATGTATCAAAATGCAAGGTTAGTTTATGCTAATATTGGTGGAGGGTCTGCCCCTGGCCTTTGGTTCCAATTATCTTGTCTTGCACCGAGTACGGTAGAAAGAATGACTTCGTTTCATGTAGTTATTATGGCTCCTTTATCGCCTGCATTGTGTGATATTCAGATTCGTTGATAAAGTCTCAAGTGCTTTCTTCAAGAACTGAAAACTGGTTGAAATTGATGATCCCACTACTTGATATTTGTTGAATGAACTATCTGCTGCTTCTCAACTCTTGATTGAATACCATATGCATGCTAGAGAATAGAATCACAAACGCAGGTTTGGTGGATGGAATGCCCTTTTATCTCTTACTCATGTTTTCATTGTAATGGCGATGCTAATTGAATATTTCTGTATGCTGCATTCCAAACACGTGAGCAGGTTTACATCATAGGTGGAGATGGCACCATGCGTGGAGCTCTAGAGATTTTTAATGAAATCCAACAACGGAAACTGCATGTTGGAGTTGTTGGAATTCCAAAAACGGTTGACAACGATGTAGGAATTATTGATAGATCATTTGGGTTCCAGACAGCAGTAGAAATGGCTCAGCAAGCAATCAGTGCTGCTCATGTGGAGGCAGAGAGTGCAGTTAATGGAATTGGCCTGGTGAAGCTAATGGGCCGAAGCACAGGACACATAGCCCTTCATGCAACATTGAGCAGCCGTGATGTGGATTGCTGTCTAATTCCTGAAACTGAATTTTACTTGGAAGGGAAAGGAGGGCTTTTTGAATTTCTTGAAAACCGGCTGAAAGAGAATGGGCATGCCGTACTGGTTGTAGCAGAGGGAGCAGGGCAGGATATGATACCGAGAACTGATGCCCAGAAAGAAGAGAGGGATGAATCTGGAAACTTGGTTTTCTTAGATGTTGGTAGCTGGATGAAGTCAGAGCTAAAGAAGTGGTGGGACAGAGACCACCCAGATGAGTTGTTTACAGTGAAGTACATAGATCCTACATATATGATACGTGCAGTTCCTGCAAATGCTACGGATAACCTGTATTGTACACTACTAGCACATTCGTCAATTCATGGTGTTATGGCAGGTTATACTGGATTTGTGTGTGGTCCTATTAATGGCAACTATGCATATATTCCATTGGAAGAGGTGGCACAGGCTAAGCATGAAGTTAATACAGGGGACCATAAATGGGCATGGGTGAGGTCTGTGACCAATCAGCCTGATTTTGGGAAGAGCTAAATTAATGTTTGAGCTTACAAAAATCCAAGGCCAAATGCTTTCCTCAGTAAATGCATCTGGGTTTGCCAGTGCAGTTTCTTGTTTGTTGATAATAAGAAATTGAGATTATTGAGCTGTATCACAATATGTCAGGACTTAAAAAGGGCATATTTTGATGCCAATCCAGTGTAGTTGGGCTTTTGTTGCTTGCATTCTTCAATGGTAATATACTGCTGTTAAGCACAGATACAGTTAGTTAATAAAATGTATGTTATGTTTTGCTTTCATTCACAATGAAATATATATTTGTTAATGTGTCTATGTGAATGGATTCAAATCTAGCTAGCGCTTTAACAGCAACCTATATGCCAGATGTATTCTAAATGGTAGGATCCTCGAAAAATATGAAATTGTTTCCATCTTTGTAGCCTGGTGGATTATTATGGTAATTTTATACTTGTATAAGAATGATTGAAGAGATTTGTGCTGCTGCCACTTNAGAGAAACAATTATAAAGTACTTCACCAAAAACTACTTAATTGTTTTCCCAGCCCAAAAGGCAATTCGACACTTCAAAACAGCGACAAAAGCGCATATAATAACTCAAATCAATTTTAGCGGACAAAGAACACAAAATGATATGTTACAGTTGTATCATTTGCTTTTATATGTTAATTTTAATCATATTTCATCGCATCAGTTTAAGAAAACTACTCAGTATAAATTTGAATTTACAATATTATTCCCATAATCAAAAAGAAAAAAGAAATGATGGGGAAGCAGACCTCGGCGGCAACCAAGGGGAAATTGCCGGCATTGGCGGCTCCGGCTCCCTTACGCCAATTGATAAGGCGAATAGCATCTGGAGAGTCTCTGGACATGCCGAGGGCGTCAATCAGACACGTGGCAAGCACGGACTCTTTGAGGCCATAACTGCCTCGCTCTCGGTCTAAAGAGGGGAGTATGAGGCGCAAAGAGCTGAAGTAATTGGAGGAGTCGCAGTAGGTGTCGAGGAACTTGCGAAACTTGGAGCGTTTCTTGAGCGGAGGTTTAGATTTCTGTATCCAGTTGAAGAGACTCACCAAAACACTCACTTTTGTTTGCTCAGTCTTGCTCATTTTGAAGCCAGAGGGAGAGGGAGAAGACCTCGTGTCTTGCCGCTTAGTCGGTACGCATATTTATGTTTTGTTTCGGTACTATTCTGTTGCCTTCACTTAGACGGCGTGTCTCGGAAGCTTTGAGTTTGAAAATTAAAATAAAATAAATGATTGCTGTGTTTTAAATTTTAATTGAAAACAACTAACTTCAATTGTGTCTCAAATTAACTAGAAAATAAAAATACTAAAATAATTATATGTATGATAATGACTGTAAACAACCCGAGGTTTACCACCCCCTGTGGTATCAGGAATAATCTTAAAACCCTTGCTGTTACTCAAACGTTATTAACCCTCACATCTGACATGGTACTAACTATATTGCCCTTTGCCCCTTTCCTTTAATTCATTATTTAATACAAAATATATTACTTAATACAGTACTTAATAATAAATAATATAAGTAATAATGTAAAGTTTTAAAAAATGACGGGTGCGTTTGTTTCGCAATTTTTATCCACTCATATCCAAAATACACATTTGTTTCTCTATTCTAAAACTACTGTTCTATTTTATTAAATTTTTTAAACCCCCTAGATTTGTTAATTTAACTAAACACCTCCAAAAAAAGTTTAAAAATTGATAAAAACACCCCCACCAACCCACATTTGTCAAATTTCGGTCACCACCACCGGAAGGTGGTCGAAATCTGGTATAATGGCACACTATTGGCTGGATCTAGCCAGTAGTGTGCCGATCTAGCCTTTTCCGGCCAAATCCACAGTGGATTTGGCTGGAAAAGACCATATCAGCACACGACTGGCTAGATACGACGACTCCGGCCACCCTCCAGCGATGGTGGCTGGCTGCCAATATTTAATAGGTGAGTGAGGGTGTTTTTGTTAATTTTCAATGTTTTATTGCAGGGGTGTTTAGTAAATTAACAAACCTAAGGGGTGTTTTTGTTAATTTTTAAATCATACTTCGTAATAACCATCCAATTTTACTTTTTTCAAAATATTATTCTAAAAAGTATCAAAATAATGAACCAAACGCACCTAGCGTCTCTCGGAAGCTTTGAGTTTGACAATTAAAATAAAATAAAATGATTGCTATGTTTTATTGAAAATAACTGGGGTGTGTTTGTTTTATTATTTTAAGTAGTATTTTTTTAAAAGTTGAGTTGGGTTATTATTATAAAGATAGGATTTAAATTTGAAAATGTATTTGGTAAGATTATTTTTTAATCCCCTACATTTGTTAACTTAGTTAAACACCCCCTATAATAAAAGTTTTAAAATTAACAAAAACACTCACACCCATCCATTGCCGATAGTGGTGGCTAGGGATGGGCATAATACCTGCCCTCGCAAGGACTCATCCCAACCCGCCCCGAACGGGGCAGAGTTTCCCTTATTCGGGGTTTGGCCCGGGCCCAAGCTGAAAATCGGTCCCCAAATTCAAGGACAGGATTGGTCTAGGCCCGCCCCACCCCGGGCCCACCCCCGTTATATATATAAATTTTAACCATTTAATCATATATTAATTTTAATAGTTGAAAATCAATTAATGAAGCCCTAAATTATACAAGAACAAATTATAATTGTGCAAGTATTTTATGAAACCGCATAAAAATAGGTAATAAATAAAACTAGATTAAATATAACAAATCATTATAAATATTTATAATACATAATAAAATTTGTTACATATATATATATATATATATATATATATATAATTATAATTATATAATATTATATATATATATATTTTAATGCTATGAAACAAAAGTTATACATTAGACATTAGACATTATAAATTATATATGTATAATGTATCATTTGATATTTTGATTGATCATAATAAATCAATAAATCATTATAAAAAAAATTTGGTTCCTCATTCAAGCATTATTTCAATTCCATTACCTAATTGCCCTTGTTATATTATGGTAGCTATTTATTTAGAACTTATTATAATATATATGGTAGTTATTTATTTAGAATTTATTATAATATATATGTATAATGTATCATATGTAATATATTATGCATAATGTTATGTATTATTTAGAATATTAATGAGACATTATAATATATATGGTATAATTTATTTAGAATTTATTATAATATATTATATTTTATACATTATACACAATATGCTGTAAAACAAAAATTATACATTATATGTTATTATCCGTAATCATAATATCATTTGTTAATACTTGTTACTTAATACAATAATACATAATATTATACCATTAATATATAATATATTTACATATATGTATAATGTATCATAATTATAATATTGATTCATTATAATTTTTTTTAATCCTTATAGATTAAAAAAAAAAAAACTATAATGTAAAACCCCCAAACGGGGATTTTAGGGATTCCCCGTATTCCCCATTTGGGCTATCATTGGGACTGGGGAATCCCCTTTGGCTTTCGGGCCAGGGTAGGAGACAGGGGTCCCCAGCCTCGCCCCAGCCCATGCCCATCTAGCTGACTGCCGAGAATATGTCGGTGGATGGGGGTATTTTTATCAATTTATAAACTTTTATTGTTGGGGGTGTTTAGTTAAATTAACAAACATAGGAGATTAAAAAAATCTAGGGTGCGTTTGGTTCAATATTTTTGCCCATATTCTCAACTCGATTTTACAAATAACATTTGGCTTATTATTCAGACAATGCAATCCTGAAAATCAAATCCTAACAGGTATCCTGACAGTTTTTTGACCGTTGAAGACAATTTGCAATCCTGCTTTTATTTCACTTTCTCACTTTTCTTCACTGCTTCAGTGCTTCACCATTTCACTTTCTCAGTTCGGTTCACTGCTTTAGTGCTTCACCACCGTCACAAACCATCTTGCTACCCTTCCAACATAATCTTCCACTTGCAAATACAAAACAAAGCACATTAGCCAAACGACCAGCCACCTGAATCAGAAAACCACCCCACAGCACCACCCAATCAATCTGCCAACATCATCACAACAGAACCGCACGGCCACCACCCATCACCATCTTCCACCATCATCGCAAACCCACCACGAATACCCACCGACGTCGTAGATCTGTCACTATGAAGCCCCGACGTCTCCGATCGCCACAACCCCACTGCAACCACCCACGTACGTCTCCGATCTGTCACCGTGAAGCCCCGACGTCTCCGATCGTCACAACCCCACCGCAACCACCCATGTACGTCGGAGATATGTCACCGTGAAGCCCCGATGTCTCCGATCGTCACAACCCCACCACAACCACCCACGTACGTCATAGATTTATCACCATGAAGCCTCGACATCTCCGATCGTCACAACCCCACCGCAACAACCCACATACATCGCAGATCTGTCGCCATGAAGCCCCGACGTCTCCGATCATCACAACCCCACCGCAACCACCCACGTACGTCGCAGATCTGTCACCGTGAAGCCACAAACCCATGAACACCATGACCGAAAAGATTTGACTTCTGTGAAGGGAACACTGTGAACGGGAAAGGTGTTTTTGATTTTTTTTTGGTTTGCAAGTTTGTAAATCTGTTGGACAAAAGATGTGCGCATGCATTTGTTTGCGAATCGAGTTTGTAAATCTGTTGATTTTTTTTGTTTTGCACGTTTGTAAATCTGTTGTACCCATGAATTTATTCAGAGAAGGGAAAGAGACCCGTGAAGTTTGCGAATCCAGTTTCTTAGCTTCCATGACGTGTTTGTTTTCAAGACACCCAACGCAATTGTCCTGATTTTTATTTTTATTTTGGCTTTGTGTTTGTACTCTTTTTTCCTTTTATTATTCCTTTTAATTTGGACTTTAATAATGCATTTTATAATTGGTGAACTCAAAGTGATTTTTGCACATGAGAAACTTGGATCTGGTGGATTTGTTTGTGGGGTTTAACAGTTAGAGCATATGCCATGTTGCTTACAGTGTTTAGCACATGCGTCAAAATATTGTGTAGCTTCATATGTTCTGTATGTGACATGCTGTATGTAATGGATAAATTTTGGGAGTAAAAAATTATTGGATTATTGGAAATATTTTTTTGGGATTTCACTAACTGATATATTTGTTTTGTAGATTCGACATCGTTCTTTAATCGTAAGAACAAATTACGCTCATATGCACAGATGTTAGTATAATTTGTCCCGACGTCACAGGATTGATTACTACTTGC